TTTAGCCCGAACGCCTCTTCTCCAACTAAGAGACTGTGTCCTCTGTAGATGGAGCTCTTGTTCAACTATATTATTGGGGGTATCAATAATAGTCCAGAGCTGCACTTCTATGCCTTGTTGAGATCAGGCCCCCTGGGGAAGAGGAATATAACAAGCTAACGTCATATTCCAAATAAGCCTTTGAGCAAACCTAGTACCTCGACACGCGATATATAGTATTCACCTTGTCTTTGTTTATGACGTAATGGTCATCATGCGCAAAGAGTGTGCGCATTGACACTGTCTTGGAAACGGTTGCGGATAAAACATTTTGCCATAATGCTACATGGAGGATGGAAGAAAAGAAAAAGGAGGAGCCGGGCAGGGATGGGATGGGGGGGAGGGGCGGGAGTTTGTTATAGAGGTGAAGGAGGGAAGGAAGGACGGAGTTAGAGGTCGATAATAAGCTTCTTTTAGAAGGGAAGAGTCACCAAAAACTCGTCATCCTTTTTTTTGCTCCCCGTCTTTCCTCCAGATAAGCGTGAACACTTGAAATATTGTATGAAGCCATGTTATGTTCATGAAAATGTATGATGAAAAAAAAAAAAAAAAGATGCAGAAACCAATAAATCAATTCAATTAAAAAAAAAATGCCTACAACACCCGGTATTCAAAGGCGGTCTCCCATCCAATTACTGACCAGGCCCTATGTTTCTTGACTTCGGTGATCGGACGAGAACCGGTATGTTCAGCATGGTATGGTCGTAGACAAAAGACTCGTCAATTTAAACCTATTTAACATTAAACAATGACGTCACCATCTGATTTCTTTCAATGGGGTGGTAGTAGTAGTTTCAGATGTTCATGATTATTTCAAAGTGCCCGACTGGGTAAGGAAACGGATTTGGCCCGAACGCCTCTTCTCCAACTAAGAGACTGTGTCCTCTGTAGATGGAGCTCTTGTTCAACTATATTATTGGGGGTATCAATAATAGTCCAGAGCTGCACTTCTATGCCTTGTTGAGATCAGGCCCCCTGGGGAAGAGGAATATAACAAGCTAACGTCATATTCCAAATAAGCCTTTGAGCAAACCTAGTACCTCGACACGCGATATATAGTATTCACCTTGTCTTTGTTTATGACGTAATGGTCATCATGCGCAAAGAGTGTGCGCATTGACACTGTCTTGGAAACGGTTGCGGATAAAACATTTTGCCATAATGCTACATGGAGGATGGAAGAAAAGAAAAAGGAGGAGCCGGGCAGGGATGGGATGGGGGGGAGGGGCGGGAGTTTGTTATAGAGTTGAAGGAGGGAAGGAAGGACGGAGTTAGAGGTCGATAATAAGCTTCTTTTAGAAGGGAAGAGTCACCAAAAACTCGTCATCCTTTTTTTTGCTCCCCGTCTTTCCTCCAGATAAGCGTGAACACTTGAAATATTGTATGAAGCCATGTTATGTTCATGAAAATGTATGATGAAAAAAAAAAAAAAAAGATGCAGAAACCAATAAATCAATTCAAATAAAAAAAAAAAAAAAATGCCTACAACACCCGGTATTCAAAGGCGGTCTCCCATCCAATTACTGACCAGGCCCTATGTTTCTTGACTTCGGTGATCGGACGAGAACCGGTATGTTCAGCATGGTATGGTCATAGACAAAAGACTCGTCAATTTAAACCTATTTAACATTAGACAATGACGTCACCATCTGATTTCTTTCAATGGGGTGGTAGTAGTAGTTTCAGATGTTCATGATTATTTCAAAGTGCCCGACTGGGTAAGGAAACGGATTTAGCCCGAACGCCTCTTCTCCAACTAAGAGACTGTGTCCTCTGTAGATGGAGCTCTTGTTCAACTATATTATTGGGGGTATCAATAATAGTCCAGAGCTGCACTTCTATGCCTTGTTGAGATCAGGCCCCCTGGGGAAGAGGAATATAACAAGCTAACGTCATATTCCAAATAAGCCTTTGAGCAAACCTAGTACCTCGACACGCGATATATAGTATTCACCTTGTCTTTGTTTATGACGTAATGGTCATCATGCGCAAAGAGTGTGCGCATTGACACTGTCTTGGAAACGGTTGCGGATAAAACATTTTGCCATAATGCTACATGGAGGATGGAAGAAAAGAAAAAGGAGGAGCCGGGCAGGGATGGGATGGGGGGGGAGGGGCGGGAGTTTGTTATAGAGGTGAAGGAGGGAAGGAAGGACGGAGTTAGAGGTCGATAATAAGCTTCTTTTAGAAGGGAAGAGTCACCAAAAACTCGTCATCCTTTTTTTTGCTCCCCGTCTTTCCTCCAGATAAGCGTGAACACTTGAAATATTGTATGAAGCCATGTTATGTTCATGAAAATGTATGATGAAAAAAAAAAAAAAAGATGCAGAAACCAATAAATCAATTCATATTAAAAAAAAAAATGCCTACAACACCCGGTATTCAAAGGCGGTCTCCCATCCAATTACTGACCAGGCCCTATGTTTCTTGACTTCGGTGATCGGACGAGAACCGGTATGTTCAGCATGGTATGGTCGTAGACAAAAGACTCGTCAATTTAAACCTATTGAACATTAAACAATGACGTCACCATCTGATTTCTTTCAATGGGGTGGTAGTAGTAGTTTCAGATGTTCATGATTATTTCAAAGTGCCCGACTGGGTAAGGAAACGGATTTGGCCCGAACGCCTCTTCTCCAACTAAGAGACTGTGTCCTCTGTAGATGGAGCTCTTGTTCAACTATATTATTGGGGGTATCAATAATAGTCCAGAGCTGCACTTCTATGCCTTGTTGAGATCAGGCCCCCCTGGGGAAGAGGAATATAACAAGATAACGTCATATTCCAAATAAGCCTTTGAGCAAACCTAGTACCTCGACACGCGATATATAGTATTCACCTTGTCTTTGTTTATGACGTAATGGTCATCATGCGCAAAGAGTGTGCGCATTGACACTGTCTTGGAAACGGTTGCGGATAAAACATTTTGCCATAATGCTACATGGAGGATGGAAGAAAAGAAAAAGGAGGAGCCGGGCAGGGATGGGATGGGGGGGAGGGGCGGGAGTTTGTTATAGAGGTGAAGGAGGGAAGGAAGGACGGAGTTAGAGGTCGATAATAAGCTTCTTTTAGAAGGGAAGAGTCACCAAAAACTCGTCATCCTTTTTTTTGCTCCCCGTCTTTCCTCCAGATAAGCGTGAACACTTGAAATATTGTATGAAGCCATGTTATGTTCATGAAAATGTATGATGAAAAAAAAAAAAAAAAAAGATGCAGAAACCAATAAATCAATTCAAATTTAAAAAAATGCCTACAACACCCGGTATTCAAAGGCGGTCTCCCATCCAATTACTGACCAGGCCCTATGTTTCTTGACTTCGGTGATCGGACGAGAACCGGTATGTTCAGCATGGTATGGTCGTAGACAAAAGACTCGTCAGTTTAAACCTATTTAACATTAAACAATGACGTCACCATCTGATTTCTTTCAATGGGGTGGTAGTAGTAGTTTCAGATGTTCATGATTATTTCAAAGTGCCCGACTGGGTGAGGAAACGGATTTAGCCCGAACGCCTATTCTCCAACTAAGAGACTGTGTCCTCTGTAGATGGAGCTCTTGTTCAACTATATTATTGGGGGTATCAATAATAGTCCAGAGCTGCACTTCTATGCCTTGTTGAGATCAGGTCCCCCTGGGGAAGAGGAATATAACAAGCTAACGTCATATTCCAAATAAGCCTTTGAGCAAACCTAGTACCTCGACACGCGATATATAGTATTCACCTTGTCTTTGTTTATGACGTAATGGTCATCATGCGCAAAGAGTGTGCGCATTGACACTGTCTTGGAAACGGTTGCGGATAAAACATTTTGCCATAATGCTACATGGAGGATGGAAGAAAAGAAAAAGGAGGAGCCGGGCAGGGATGGGATGGGGGGGAGGGGCGGGAGTTTGTTATAGAGGTGAAGGAGGGAAGGAAGGACGGAGTTAGAGGTCGATAATAAGCTTCTTTTAGAAGGGAAGAGTCACCAAAAACTCGTCATCCTTTTTTTTGCTCCCCGTCTTTCCTCCAGAAAAGCGTGATATTTTTTTCCTATGAGGGAATATGAAGAGGGGAAAAAAGAGAGAAATAAAATTAAAAGGGTAAGAGAAGGATGTCTCCATGTCTAGGTCATCACATTGTCTACAACTCCTGCATCGAATGTATGTTAATTATGCATTCAATATGTTTGTTTAAATTCAATATATTTGTTTAATATCGTTTATTATCTGTATAAATTATATACACTTGAAATATTGTATCAAGCCATGTTATGTTTATGAAAATGTATGATGAAAAAAAAGAAAAAAGCTGCACTTCTATTCCTTGTTTACAGAATGAAAAACCGAAGCCTAAACCGAAGCCTAAACCTGCTTCCAACCAGCCAGAGTGGTGGACCAAGGATCCTTACTCCATGTTAACGTTATCAAATTGGCAACACACTGAATAGTCGGTTATTTCGCATTTGTCAAGTAGGAGAAACAAAGAAAGGTCATCAGCCAAAAATAAGGATAATAGTTGCGTTAAATGAAAACTGGTGGGAAAATGGAGGAACTGGTATGAATTATTGTAATCTAATGTCAAAGGAATGAAAAATATAGTAAAGGGGTGAAACTTTTCTATTGACTATGTCTGATAAGTGTCACGTTACACACAACAATATAACTTTGCGTTATGTTGTATAGTGTTTTCTTCGCCTTTTGTACATTTTTACTTTTTAAAGTCTGTTGTTCTATTTTCAAGATGACGTTTCAATACGTGCTGAGGTAGTGCTGAACAGTTCTGGGGCCCGTTTCATAAAACTTTTTATCTATAACAAATGCTAAATTTCTATGACAAATTTGCTCTCAGCCAATCAGATGCCATGATCTCAGTAGCTTATAACAGTAGCTTGTAACATGTTGTTGATAACAAGTTTGATGAAACAGGGTCCTGTTTCATTTAATCTCCTATATATTTCTATCAATATTTTATCATCAGTTCACTACACGCCAGATTGATGATCGAACCCTGAGAAAGGTGGAGATCGTGAAGGATGGACCGCTTGAGATGTACCTCGAGGGGGGCTCAATTACACCCCTTCTTGGGAGAGTGGTTGTGGCAGAGGTACTTGAGGACGGTGCTGCTGCTAAAAGTGGTATGTTTGACGTCATTTTGTGAACCAGGGTCTTTTAAAGCCCCACTGCGCTGCTTATAGCTACTTGCGCCCTCTACAAACGATGCCTAATCGGTGCCTGTTGGTCCCCCGTGACCCCCTCCTGTCAGTGACCTTGCAGGGAGGTCTTATCCCCCTGGCTAAACTAGTGCAGACGGGCTTTAAAGAATTGCAATGAATCGCAACTTATTTACGACTGATATCAATCGCAGCTATATCTAAATAAGAGATATAGGAGAGTGAAAACTTGTGATTGATTGGAGGACTTGCCATTGATTCGGATCAAGCACAACACGATTTTTATAAGACTGGTCCCAGATAAGGATGTGATACTGGGCACCCTGATATAAAGTGTTGCGATTGATTTGAATTGATCACTCGCTATTAAATTAATCGTAAACTTTGTGCAACCGCCTGTATCTCTGATGTACGTGTACATAGTGAGATTGATTTTAAGTTACCGTCAATTAATTTGTTATTTCATGCACAACTTGTCTTTATATAATTATGCTCTTCCGGACACTATCATGAATGTAACTTTCTCTCCCTCTACTTCCTCTCTGTCCCTTTTCTTCCTATGCCATTTGTGTACTTTTATTCCTTCCTCTCTTTACTTGTATGCATCGCTGACTATTGTATGAATTATTATTTTAATTTTGAAGAGGACGTCACTTCAAGCTTATGCTTTAGCCGACCCCTTTTCTATCATATACCATGTAATTATCACACATCTAAAGTATTACGGTGGTAAATATAATATATGTTGATGTATAGGCCTATATGGAATAAATAAACATCACATCAAAACAAATCAAATCAAATCAAATTTTGATTAATCAAAATCCGTTTATAAGACGAGGTCCGGGGTCAGATGGAATAAAGTTCTTTCACAGTAGGCCCCTACCCCGAAAACAACATGTAGCCTTAGTATGTAATCACTGTGGCGGATTTCGTTCACGCCCACAATGTGTGCACCATCTCCCGTGGGGAGTATTCATATCATAAATACTATAAAGGCCCATGGTAATTACGATCAGAATGATTTCCACCATCATACCAGGTACCAATTACTCTCCTGAGTATGGAGCGGCAAATATAGATTAATGCCTTGGCAATCATTAAAAGTGACGTACCAGGGCTCGAATCCACGACAATCCGCATCTCCCAGATGAGTGTCATCAAACCACCCGACTCATTAAAGGGCCTCTCTAACCCAACTAACATAGCCTTTAAAAACATGAACACACCTCTACTTATTACTATGCCAACCTTTGATTTTTAAGAAAGTCTCTAAATTGACTAAAAAATGATAATAACCATAACCATAATAAACCAAGAAATCCCCTGCAGTGACGTCATAATTATGCTATTGCGCAATACAGCTCCGAAACTGGGCTTTTTTTGAGCGTTCTGAGTCGTCATTTCTAAATCTATATTCCAGAATTGTTTATGATCTCCAAGAAATATCATTGTCATATTCGGAATCTCCGTCAAAAATTATTCTACATATCTTTTTTTTCATTTTGTTAGCCCGTTTTGGTTAGAGTGGCCCTTTAAATCATTTCTCATTGCAATATTAAAGGAGCCATTAGCAAGGGGGATCAGATCTTAATGCTAGAGGGAAAGAAGCTGATTGACGTCCCCTTGGAAACGGCGCAGTTGACGTTCAAAGACTACATGAAGGGAAAACTTGACGTGAGTATCATTAACGCAAACATCAAAAAGTAAAATAATCCTTTCACACGAAGCGCCATTTTGAATGCGTTGTTACCTGTGCTAATCAAGGCAGTTATAATAATAATAATAATAATAATAATAATAATAATAATAATAATAATAATCTTTTAAAGTCCACTCTAAATTTTATTAAACCGAAACGGAAATTTTTTATACCCAATTGATCGTGAGCCCGGCAGCCACTGAGCAGCGCCAGATCGACGTTGCTCTATCCCTTATACTGTTGAACGCCAAACAAGGTAGCAGCAACTCCCATCTGTTAACGTCTTTTGGTATGACACGGCCGGGATTCGAACCCATAGCACATTTTATAATCATTTTGATTATGAGGCCTCGCTCAGCTTGCACATCGAAGAACACATGAGTTACCGGCGCAGTCTTGGGTCAATAAATAACGCATCATGTGCACATGGGTCGTCAGTACCCCTAGTATACAAACACGCCACAAATCCTGTTAGAAAAGTTTCTAATCATGGTTCCTTTGTTGCTTTTTTTTGGTGACTGCTACCTTTGTGGAAAACTTAGAACATTAGCTACAGATATTGAGTAGAGAAAACAAGGAAGTATATTTAATGGGTGACTTCAACATCAATTTAATGAATTATGATACTGATCGTAGTGTTAAAGATTTTGTAGATTTCATGTACTCATTTGGATTATTTTCTCTCATCACTAAACCTACCCGTATTACTGAAATTAGTGCAACATTGATTGACACTATTTTCACAAACTGCATTCAAAATGAGTTTAGCTCGGGTATAATATGTTCAGATATTTCAGATCATATGCCTATATTTTGTGTTAAAAATGGCTCTGTGGTAACTTCTGTCAAGAGAGATGGACAAGTTATGAGGCGGTCAATAAATGATGAAAGAATCTCAAGGTTCAAGCAACACTTAGCTGAAATTAATTGGCAGGCTCTGCCTTCACTGGAAGGCGTCAATGAGTCATATGAACATTTTCTACAAATATTTCTGGAATTATATAATTTATGTTTCCCATTAATTGAAGTATCGATAAAAAGTAAATGTAAAAAGCCATGGGTAACTCGTGGTTTATTGAAAACAATAAATCATAAACATAAGCTTTATGGTAGTTATGTCAAGAGACCAACAGCTGTGAATAAAAAGAAATATATCGATTATAAGAATGTCTTGGTTAATACTCTTCGTATAGCCAAGCAAAAATATTACAATGATTTGTTCCACAGTGTTAAAGGTGATATTAGGAAAACTTGGTCTCATATCAATGAATTGTTATAGGTCGGTCAACTAGGCATTCACTCCCTCAAGAGATGGATTTTAATGGAGTACTTCTTTCTTCTGCCAAGGATAAGGCTGAAAGTTTTAATAAATATTTCATTGGATTACCCATGAAAATCAGTGCAGACATTCCTCAAGTACCACAATCTTTTCAAGATTATATGAAACAGTGTGATGATAATGCGTCAATGTTTCTAAAACCAACTTCAAACTCTGAGATCATTGATATTGTGTCATCTTTGAAACCATCTAAATCTAGTGGTTCTGATGATATTTCACCTAGAATTATAAAGGAGTGCATTCACCTTTTTATTGATCCCTTGTGTAAAATCATGAATATGTCTTTATCTCAGGGAGTTGTTCCTGATAAACTCAAGGTAGCTAAAGTAGTACCAGTGTATAAAAAATCTGACCGTAAAAACGTCATTAATTACAGGCCAATAGCATTGTTACCAATCTTTTCTAAAATTCTTGAGAAAATAATTTATAAACGCTTAAATGAGTTTCTATCTAAAAAGAATATCTTGATTCCTCAGCAGTGTGGTTTCCGTAAGCACTTCTCCACACAAATGGGTGTGTTTAATTTATTAAGTAATATCATAAAAGCTATTGATGGAGACAAGTATTGTTTGGGGATATTCTTAGATCTATCTAAGGCGTTTGATACTATTGACCATGGCATCCTCCTTAGGAAACTTGAGCATTATGGAATACGTGGTGTAGCATTGTCTTGGTTCCAAAGCTATTTGTTTGACAGGACACAATTTGTTGTGGTGAATGGTACTAATTCTCAACTTGCTTCTATTAAATATGGTGTACCTCAGGGTTCTGTTCTTGGTCCCCTGTTGTTTCTGATCTATATAAATGATATAATACACTCATCAACATTATTCTCATACTCACTTTTTGCTGATGATACCAGCTTGCTGTTGGCTGATAAGAAGGCTGAAGATTTATTACTAATTGCGAATCAAGAGATTCAGAAACTGTATGCATGGTATTGTTGTAATAAGTTATTGTTGAATGTTCAAAAGACCAAATGTGTTATTTTTCGCTCCAAGGGTAAAAAGCTTCCAGATGGCATTACTTTTCTTAATGTTGGAGGCCATGATGTTGCGCTTAGTGAAAATGTTCAGTTCTTAGGGCTAACCATGGATGAGCATTTATCTTGGAGAAATCATTTAGATGCTGTATGCACAAAGTTGTCCCGTAGTGTAGGTGTCATTTTTAGATTAAAATTTATTTTACCTGAAAGGGTGCTGATAACATTATATAATAGTATTATTCTTCCTTATTTGACATATTGTAATGTTGCTTGGGGAAACACCTTTAAGTCATATCTTGATAAGTTGAGAGTATGGCAGAAGAAAGCAATACGGCTTATTACTAATTCTTATTATAGACATCCAAGTTCTCCATTGTTCCTTCGACTAAGAACGTTACCACTAAGTGGACTTGTGTCGTTCAATTGCATATTGTTTATGTTTAATCTTAAGTCTATGCCTCATGAATGTACGTTAAAAGATTTATTCCGTCAGAACTCGCAAATTCATAATTATAATACACGTCAAAGGTGTCTTATTCGACAGCCTTTTGCAAGAACAAATGTCACTCTGACCTCTTTCCATATCTCTTGCATTAAAGAATGGAACAGTCTGCCTGATGATATAAAAAATAGTACAACTCTTTCTAGGTTTAGAAGTTCATCTAAAACGTACCTGCTTGAAAGACTGACATAGTTTTTATTCGCATCTTAGTAATTTCTCATTCTGAAATGCTTTTTGACCACTAAGGACCTACTCGTCAGTGTGTTTGCTGTGTATGGTGATGTGCGTGTGTGGTGTCTGTGTGTGTGTGTGTGTGAGTATTTGTATGTTCTATATTCTGTAGCTTAGTATTTTCATCCATTGTATAATCATACGTAACATTCTTTTTACTGTAAATGTATGTATTTTGTTATAGGGCCCCGCTCACAAGCTTAGCTTCTAAAGGGGTCCTAAAACCATTCAGTTTATGATGTAATCAAGTTAGAATATGTTGATTGATGTACTATTACCAGTCTCTTTTTTATGTAACAGATTATATCATGCTTTGTATGGTTTTGAATAAAATGAACTGAACTGAAAACATGCGTATGTTTGTAAGTAAGCAACCAGGAAACTGACGGCTTTCAGTCCTCTCCGAGGGGACTTAGTAATGAGGATTAATGCATTACCAAAGGATTTTACAGTATCCCTATTTTATTAGCACGTCAAAAATCATGTTAGAAAAGTTTCTAATCGTTGTTTGTTTGTCGTTGTTTTTTTAATGTATTTTAAAACTTTTAATCGGTGGTATTAAATGTCATCTTTTGAGTCAGTTCAAAATTATAAGGAGAAAGACAATCCTTATCGTATTACCTTATAGAAATCTGGGACTAAGCAACGTGTTATGGTTCGTACATTTTAAAGAGTGACATCCCGGCCCCCCACTCCAGGGTCGGAATGACCGCATGCGTGTTACCAAGATGTCCGGTAAAGGGGTACTTTTCACGCACCAAAGTCCGGCTCGTACATACACAAAATTGACTTTACACACCGGACTTGGGGGTGTTTTCAAAAGGAGAGAACACGCATATGCGTACACTAACTTAACACAGAGTGGGGGGGGGGGCGGGAGTGAAATGCCTTTTTATTTGTTTGCATTCGTGTTCTTAATGAGATTAGATATGAAATTTGAAGAAATAAGATATTTATAAATGATTTTTCTTCTACACTGACAGGGATCTCAAATATTGAGAATGATCATTGCCGTAGCTCCTCCAAAGAACTATATGAAGACGAAGTGTAAGTATAGAGTGTATAGTATAAATATGGCAAGTCCACAATATGTTATGTTAACCATTTGGCAATTTTATTTTATTTTCTATCACACCAATAATCAAAACAAGGAGGTTCATTTTAAAGCATTTCCATAGGACGATAGTCGTCATTGCTTCCCATCACAGTTCAAACATTTTTTGAAAAAAATAATTCAATATAATTTATTTTCACAGCTTGTATAAACCCTTAGTATACATAGACCACCCAAGGGAGACAAGAACATGGTCTTTATTTACAGGTTCCTTTAGTACACAGTGGCGGATCCCCCGCCCCCCATAAATATGTTAAAATCAGCCCTAAATTCGCCCAAAATGTACTGACAAAAACAAAAAAATATGCCAATGACTTACCTAAAAAGGTGATCTTAACCACCCCCAACGGAGCAAAATGTCAAATTAAAAAATTTCGTTGACCCCCCCCCCCCCCCCAAAAAAAAAATGTCCTCTTCCCCCCCCCCCCCCCTTCCCCTCCTCCCCCCGCTTATTCAGCGGCTGGCTGAGTCGTTGCAATTCTTTTTTGGGGGACTAAAAAAATATATAAATATGTTCTCTTTCCCACCGTGTGCCCCCCCCCCCCCAGCAAGAAATTTCTGGATCCGCCCCTTGTACATGTTCCAATGAGAAACCATTTTCACGGGATACCAACAAAAATGTGGTCTTTGTAGATAGGTGGTCAGGTTTTACTACTTTATTTTCACATTACTAGAAATTCTTTTAGATAATTGCCAATTTCAAGATTTAAGATTCAAGTTTATTTGTCAATGATAACACAAAAATCTGTTTCCCGTTGGTGTTACATACAATATAAACATTGGTAGAAACATGATATTGTACGCGTAGAGCCAGAAGGGTTTTGAGTTAATGTTGAACAAATTTTCTCAATTTTATTTCTGTTTCCAACAAAACATTACATATCAAATATAATCATTTACAAAAATTAAGGAATACAAATTGGAATCAAAATTGATTCAACACCATTCCAGCTCTCAGTAACGAGATATAATTATCAAGAACATTATTCTGAGTCACACCACAAATGCCTTCATACGTATTCACCACGACGGACTAATTATTCATTGATTTTCTTTATCCAGCCATTTCTCTTTTCACAGCACTTTCTTTTAGGCTCCTGAGATAACTGAGGACGCCCAAATAGCAAACGGAGACAAAAGAAAACAACACAAATTAAAGAAGGCGTTTGCATTTCTACACTGGATGTAATTTTAGAGCATTGTCTGAAATCAAATCTTTTATTCTGTTCAGACCAGGGTCCCGTCTTAAAAATAGTTGCGATTAATCGTCACTTATTTGCGATTGAAATCAGTCGTAACTATGCACATGAGAGATAGAGGACTGCAAACTTGCGATTGATTAGAGGACTTGCGATTGATTCGGCTCAATCGCAACTCTTTTTAACAGGTTTACCAGGACTGGTATAATCGTCATAGACATACAATGTATAAAGATAGAATGTGCTTTCTAACAATTGATCACAATCAAATTATTTCTGCCAACTGCAGCAAAATCATTAATTATTGACACGACTGATTTCATGTTACTGTGAAACACACAACGCATAAACATTTTGTTTCATCTTTCTTAATTACAGATCAAAGCCCATTCTAGTTTCATTGACGGAACTTGAACATTCCTTCAAAAGAAGATCTATTTAATCTAGCGAAAGACACAGTAATGCATAATGGGTCAAAATCATGATAAACCCTGACAACAGGTTTATGATAATTGTAAAACTATGCTATTTTTATAAAAATGTCCTCTTGGCGCTTCCAAAGTAACTTCAAGCTTTCGCCTATATACTAACTCAGTACTCAAAAGTAAACATATAAAATATTTCATTATTATCATATTGATTCGTACTTGAATTATTATACACCTTGTTAATCATCAGGAAATTATTCATGTATCACTATTTTGTGTAGTGTGTCGTTGTGATAGTATTCAAGAAAGTGTATTCAAGATCTTAAAGTTAAAACAAAAAAATATATATACCCAGAATATGATTTGTTCTGTAGACCTACTGCACGCAGCTTTTGAGAGAAGTAAATAGTAAATAGTTTATAATTGTTGTTACTAATTATAAGTCTGATAATAATGATGTATTTTGGACCGAATTTTGTGTGGTGCTATGATTACCGGTCATTATATGTATTTAGTATATAATGTACAAAGTCATGCGAAGAAATCATTATTTCAACAGTTTTAGAGATTATTTTTGTGTTCACATAATACACACAAATATGTCAGGAAGATATCATCAATATTGTGTTTTAGTATGTCGCCTTTAATTTGTGACTCTGTCGATGTAGTTCACTTTTAAGATCAATTAATTGAATTGGTAGCAAACCCAGTCTTGTAACAATATTGTGTTTTGTTCCACAAATCTGTATTTTACAATGCCGCCGTGATTTAGCCCAGATTATTTCGTTTTTTAAAAGCTCTGCAATAAGCTTATATACCATCATGTCTGCCAAGTCAACATGACTCGTTCTAATCTAAGGTTCAGTTCACTCAAATTGGCAACAAAAGTAAAAATGTTGACACTGTGAAACAGTAAACTTGATAGTTATGTTCGACTACTTCTGAGAAACAAGATAGTCTCCTTCTAGACTAAAACTACGTTTTTTAAATGAAACCTCTGTGATTATGTTCATATACATATAGTTGTATTTAAAGATCAAGCTACCCATATAGGCAACACATTAAAACCGCCTATGAATGGCCCGGATAACAAACCATGACTACTAGTAAAGTCAAATTAAGTACTTTTGTTTTCGTTACAGAAAATCATTTAGGGTAACGCCTTCGTGATTTATTTGACTAATTTCTTTTAAGGATCAAGCTCACTCAAATTGGCAACAAATTAAAACCGCCTTTGACTGGCCTGGGGGGTGTTTCACAAAGATCCTAAGTTGAACTTATCTCTAAGTTGGACTTAAAAAATATGGAAAGCCATTAGCATCTTTGAAAATATTTTGTAAAAGTTATTTTGAAAGGCATTCATTGTTTATTGAAATCATTCATATTTTCTATCATCAAGGAGATTTCATGTTCTGGATGTGGAATTAATAAAAAGTCTAAAATACTTGAATTTCTGCTTTTGAATATATTTCATTTAAAGACTCCGATGGCTGTCCATAATTTTTAAGTCCAACTTAGAGTTAAGTTCTACTTAGGATCTTTGTGAAACACCCCCCTGGATAAATAACTAACCATGACTACTAATTTAAAATAAGTATTTTTTTCGTTACGGAAAATCATTTCGGGTAACGCCTTCATGATTTAGTTTACTAATTTCTCTTAGGGACCAAGCTCACCTAAACTAGTAACAAATTAAAACCGCCTCTGACTGGCCTGGATAAGAGACTAGCCATGACTAGTAGTGTGAAATTAAGCACTGTTTTTCGTTACAGAAAATTATTCTTGATGACGCCTTCATAATTTGTCCTACTTAGTTCTTTTAGGGATCAAGTTCACTAAAATTGGCAACAAAACCCCGTCTGGTAACAATGACGTCACTATGGAACAAGACACTAGCAGAGTTACCTTTAACTACTACTGAGGAACGAAATTTTCGAGTTCCACAAAGTCTTGCAATTGATGTCCTTGTTCCGTCTTCGCGATCCTGAAATACCTGCGTAGAAAGAGAAAGAAACCGAATTTACGGGCTTATGATTAAGTATAAATAATTGAATAGGATAGTTGAGATATCCTGCGCTACACAAAATAATTTTGTTGTGAGATAATGAAAAACTGAAGGTCAAATGTGAAAGAATATAATTTAAATGACAAAATCATCTTTGATTGATCAAAATAGGTTCAGAGACGGCTGAAATATCCATAAATATAACCATTTCTAATATTTTGTGGTGCCCCACAAATATTTGGCAATTTTGAACTAGCCGTTGAAAACGAGATAGCGTCTTTATACGTTTTATTCCAGCCAATGCCAATATTGGATTTTTTGTCGGCCATTTCGTGTTGGTTGTAATAAGCACAACCAGCTGGCCTGCGTATTGTTATTATTAATTAATTAATTAACGGTCACCTTTTTTTTTAAAAGTGGATCTGAATTAGTATGATCGTATTCAATCTAAATTAATACATTTTGGGGTCTAGAATTACCTTCAAAGCACTTTTAGGTCCTAAAAAAGCACTAGAAATGTCCTAAATAAGAATAAGAGCAATAACCATGCACTTTGAAGGCATTTGCGGTCTGAAACAGGAGCTCAACTATCCCTTTAAGTATAAAACAATTGAACTCATCAAGTTACAGAGATGTTGACTAAGCAATTATGTTGGATGAAAAAGAAAGCATCTTGAAGTTTATCAGCCTCACATGAGTCAAACTTAGAACTCTTTATGATTTGCTTTATGATGTTTTTTAAATTAATAAAATGGAATCGGTAAATGACTAGAATCGGGAAGAATACCATTGGTATTTAAAAGCATGAGCAAGAACATGAAATGGGAGATGGAGAGGGGAATAGATGAAATTAAAAGAGCAGAGAACGATTTTAAAAAAAAAGGAGAATGGAAAGAAAAGAAGAAAGACTGATGTGAAAGGGAAGAAAGAGAGAGAGAGAGAGAGAGCGATCGAGATCTTTCATTTTTCATTATACGGAAACGTTCTAAAATTTAAGTATGAACAAACCACAACAGAGAGCTACATGTATATTGCAGTATTGTTACCTCTACATAGTCGTATATGCAGCCAGGAGCTGGTTCTAACTCGAAGCTTTGAAAGGTCAGATCAATCCAGTAACCCGGATTAACTTTAATTCTGGTGATGCAGTCAATATCGGTCGGGTAGTTCCCGGGATGATTAGGAGATGTGAACGAACCCTCTGATGCAAAGATGGTCTTATTGCAAGTGACTGTCAGTGAGGGAAGAAAATAGTGGATTGAATTCTCTTTCAGAAAAAATGCAAAGGTCTACTTTTATTCTACCAGTCTAAAAACAATTATAAATCAATCCCATTTTATCAGAAGCGAAAAAAATTATCCCCCAACATTGCCGGTAGCGCGCGCACCATGCGTATTTTCGGAAATCTCGCCGGTCCATTTTAGGCTCTTAAAATAACACATTCCACCTTTTTTTCAAAGCCACAACAAAGTGTTTCATGTTTTTGTTTCTTTTATAAATCAGATATGTCTGTTTGAATCCCCGAAATGAATATGGAAATTTGTATTAACCTGGATTCTTAGGTCCTTCTCTTTTTTTTTGTATTTTTATAAAAAGGAGATTTTAAAATCATTCAGCAAATCTGTCGGAAACTTCGTTCCAACATCATTGAACAGCACACCTTCTGCTCTTACCTCTACCATCTTCAAGACAAGCCGGTGCTTCACAGTGTTCCTCCAGCAAAGGTTCCAACCTATCCGCGCAGGTCACATGGGGGAGGATCTCGATTAGCCCCGCCGTGTTCTCCCGGACGCAGTATGCCTGACGGAACCTCATGCCAACCCCGCAAGATACAGAGCAGTCGCCCCACTCACCCACCTCCCATCTGTCAGTAAACGTAACAAATTTAGAAGAAGTTATTGTGGTTATGCATATCATTTTAGCTTACAGTCTGATAGCTTCGGGGGCATGTAACCAGGGGGCGTTTCACAAAGCCCCTTTTCAATGACAAATCGTAAAAAGCAGTGACAAATCTTCTGATAACCATTTAGAAGCAAGGAGTTCAATAGCTTATAACAAAAAATGTCATTTGTCACTGATGATAAGTTTTGTGAAACGCCCCCGAGGCCTCCCCTAAACAATCGAACAATCAAATACTGAGAAAAATAACATCGCAAAGACTTTCGCGAAATCAATTAAGTTCTATTTGAATACCCTGTTGTAAATCCTATATAAATCATGATCACGGCCCTGTTTTTTAAAACTGGATATCAATTACAGATGCTAAATTTCTATGATAAATTTGCCTCAGCCAATCAAATAGCACGATTTATTTGTTATTGATAACAAGGTTTATGAAACCACATGGCCCTTATTTCCTATACGTTATTGTAAATGCTAGCACATTTCTAAAGGTGACTGACAGGCTACTATTAGGTTTCATTTGAGGTTTACGAAATTCTTTGAGATCATGTTGCTATGGAAAATGGGAGGGATGGAGGAAAAAGTCATAGGGAGAGGGAACGAGAAAATAAATGGATACAACTTGTCACATCCTCCCCTCCCTTGATAAGATGGTTTCCAATAATTCCAAATAAATATAGCATCAACCCTCTGCTTACTGGTATCGGGTGATCCATGTATTAACCCTATGTGAATGAGAGAAATTAGAAGTCAACTGGTTAAGAACAAATAACACTTTACTTGTGGGGGCAGTTAAACTCGTTGCACGGTTTTGTAACTGGTTCAGGCTTCTTGAGATGCAAGCAATGAAAAGGCTCAACAGATCTACCATCCAGAGTTCCAACAAGCCCAAGCTCGGTACAGATAACTTCTTGCATTTGCAGTCCTGTAGTATAGAGCAAATATGATATAAGCATGTTACCAGAATGTTATAGCACAATAAAGGTGTTCGGCAATTATAATGATAATAATAGTCACATTTGTATATCCCTTAATATTATGTTCCTAAGCGCTTTACATTTTAATTGGTACTACCCCGGTCATTAGATTCAATTGCTAATCCGCATATGATTATGATAGTGCACATGCTCCGCTCCCTGGGGACTACTTTAGCAAGGCGCTGTTTTACAAGCGCACACATGCAAATTCAACCACATCAAAGTCCGCATAATACAGGGTACCCATTTAACACCTGGTCGGAGAGAGCCAAATGTAGATAAGACACCCTATTCAAAATGATATATTGGCAAACCTTTATGCCCGAATTCACAAAGGAGGTTTGAGCTCAAACCTTGGTTTTCGTACGTCATATGACGCGTTTTACGCGTTTTTTACAGACCTGGGGGGTGTTTCACAAAGATCCTAAGTTGAACTTATCTCTAAGTTGGACTTAAAAAATATGGAAAGCCATTAGCATCTTTGAAAATATTTTGTAAAAGTTATTTTGAAAGGCATTCATTGTTTATTGAAATCATTCATATTTTCTATCATCAAGGAGATTTCATGTTCTGGATGTGGAATTAATAAAAAGTCTAAAATACTTGAATTTCTGCTTTTGAATATATTTCATTTAAAGACTCCAATGGCTGTCCATAATTTTTAAGTCCAACTTAGAGTTAAGTTCTACTTAGGATCTTTGTGAAACACCCCCCTGGTTTGTAAAGTACAAAAGGAGGTTTGGCGAAACAAAAGGAGGTTTGAGCTCAAACCTTGCTTTGTGAATTCGGGCCTTAGAGTCTTGTCAGTAAGTCATTGATTACCATCTTACTTAATTATTTGGTCCTGTCCATGGTCACTGTCGATATATCTGAAACTTTTGTCCTGGCTTGCTGGAAACGATCCGGGCTATTTTCTTTTTGAAAAGTTTCCTCCACATCTCCCCCCCCCCCCAGCACCACCACCATCATCATCATCATAATCATCATCACCACCACCATTATCATCAACATTATCACCACCATCATGATCATCATAACCACCACCGTCACCACCATCATCACCACCATCATCATCACAACCACCATCATCATCATCATCATCATCATAATCACCATCATAACCATCATCACCACCATCATCATCATCACCATCATCATAATCATCATCATAACCATCATTATCATGATCATCATAACCACTACCATCATCATCAACATCATCACCGCCATCAACATCATCATCATCATAATCATCATCATAACCATCATCATCATCATCATCATCATAACCACCACCATCATCATCAACATCACCACCACCATCATCATCACCACCATCATCACCACCACCATCATCATCATCATCATAATCATCATCATAACCATCATCATCATCATCATGATCATCATAACCACCACCATCATCATCAATATCATCATCATCATAACCATCATCATCATCATCATAATCATCATCATAACCATCATCATCATCATGATCATCATAACCACCACCATCACCACCATCATCACCACCATAATCATCACCATCATCGCCATCATCATCATCATCATCATCACCATCCTCATCATCATCGCTATTTTCTATCAATAATAACAAATAATTTCTGACCGTAACCACACGTTTTGCTGCAAGGTGTATCAATGATGCTCCATCGGTATGCAGGTCTATCTTGAATCGGTTTGAAGAAAACCCAGCGCGCTTCTGAGCTCTTCTTGGCATCATCTAAAACATGGTATGTAGACGCGTAAACCTGTACAGTTAAGTGAAGAGAACACGAGATTATGGAAAACAATATCTAGTTTCTGGCTGCTACAATTGAATAAATTGATTGAAGTTGTAGGTTGTAAGCATAATATGCTCGGGCGATAGTTTTTACTTCTCCGTAAATTTCCGACGCCAACCGAGGCTTAACTCCAAACCTGGACCTAGTACTCTACCAATAACCATCATCATCATCATCATCATCATCATCATCTTCATTCATCATTTTCATCAGCATCATGTTCATCATCATCATCATCATCATCATCATCATCGTCACCACCACCACCATCATCATCATCATCATCACCATCATCATCATCATCATCATCATCATCAGTATCATCATTATCATCATCATCGTCATCATCATCATCATCATCATCATCATCATCATTATCATCATCAGTATCATCATCATTATCATCATCATCATCATCGTCATCATCATCATCATCAGTATCATCATCAGTATCATCATCGTCATCATCATCATCATCATCATCATCATCAGTATCATCATCAGTATCATCATCATCATCATCATCATCGTCATCACCACCACCATCATCAGCAGCAGCAGCATTCAAGTCCATTTGCAATCCTATTTCTATTAACCCTATTATTATTATCTTGATCCGGGAGTAATCGTTGTGAGTGAAATGTTTAAATGGTCATATTTTCACAAATGAGGGCATTTGAAGAGTAATCCTTTTAGGGGACATCCATCTATAATATTCTTCCATTCTAATATTTAATATATGCAAATACTCGCAAACTATTTTTGCTCTGATATTTATGAGAGCTCAACTAAGTGAACATTAAAGTGACTTAGTAACATTGTTCAGATAAGAGAAAAATTATGCTAAGGTAGTGACTTCATAATGCTAGATGTACAATTAAAGATTATCTGACAGTTTGAGTGAAAACGGACCATTATTAATGATACAAATTTAGATAAACTGATCTGATCGATTCCTTAATTCTCCCAACTACAATTTAATTACATTTTAGGTGAATGTAAATTGTCACAAAGCCATGAATTTGCTCTATATACCATTCAAGACATTTAAGTTTTGAAAGATTTTTAAAAGCCTGTCTAATGTCTTATTTTAAAGGAAAAATGGTTGGGAGAATTAACTGTTAATCAGTGTTAGAGGATGTTGCACAGTGACGCCTTCATAGAAAACCGTAAATATGTTTGAAGTTTGAGAATTTTCTCAGGATTTTTTGCCTGTTAGACGGTAAGTACAATAGAAGGTATATAATAAGTAACATTTATACAAAAGTTACAGTTTTTCATCAACCTTCAACAAGGTTACCGAGTCACTTTAACATAGTTACACACCTGTATAGTTATTTTTGAGCTGGTCGGTCCCCTGATTTGGATACTTTCCCCATCTCCACCTACGTAAGATATGACGTCATCCCCCATCGAGTACGCACGGGACTTCCCCCTTTCTCCTGCGCCACCGATGACGTATTGGTCTTCTATGATCAATGCTGTATATAAGAAAGAATATACAAACTCTTAATTTTCTTATTTTAAAGTCTACTCTTCTCTTTAAAGGGGAAGTCCACCATGATAATCTGTTGGTTTTATTAGAAGCACAAAATGAGAGGAACAGGTCAGTGAAAAATAAGTTAAGATTAAGATAAGATAGTTATGATATCTTTTAAAAGTTGATCAGTCGATCAGTCAAACACACATTGGCAACTCTGTTACTCCCATTTTCTCTGTACAAACAAAATTAGAAAGTTTATTTTCCCTCAAGAAAATGTCCAATTATACGTGCACCCTTAATATCATTATTGTAAATATGTTTCTCTACAACCCCGGTAATAATAATAATAATAAAGAAGGAAATAAAAGTTTAGGAAATGTTATTAATTGTTCAATAGTTTTATTTCATTGTGTTATATTTCACATCCCACCATTTTGATTAAGATAGCTCAGTGGTAGAGCACTCGTGGCCTCGAAACCGGGAGCTCCCGGGTTCGACACCAAGCCAATAAGCTAGTGCCCTTTGGTATGGGATTAATCCTCATTATCAAGTCCCTCTGAGAGGACTTAAAGCCGTCCGTCTCCTAGTTACTTACTTACAAGAGCAAATCATCATCATCATCATCATCATACCAAAAATTGATTATGAACTTGCAAAGCATTCAGACTCTTTGAGAGACATGATGAATGTCACTTTTAAGATGGGCAGGTGGAAATGTCAACTTATTAGATCGATTTAATCTATCTTTCTATCTATCAGGCTATAGTTCATCCAGACGTTGGACAAAGCCCTCCTCATAACATTTCCACTCTATTCCGTTTCTAGCTGTCCTAGTCCAAGCGGCCGTTCTCATGTATGATGTTAGGTCATCCCTCCATCTTCTCTTCTGTCTTCCTCTTCTTCTCTTTCCCCTCCTTGGCTGCCATGCTGTTAAACGATTTGTCCATCTATTGTCCTGAAGTCTTGCTACATGCCCAGGCCCAGCCCATCTCCACTTTGATTCTCTGACTTTCTCCATGATATCTTTAACCTTTGTTTTCTGGCGTGTGACTTAATCATCTTACCGAAATGACAATCTCCGCACGGTTGTGTGATGTTGATATAAGTGGAACCTATCGGGATCTCCAAAAGATTAGTATAATCTGAAATAAAAAACACATACAAAGATCGTGTAACATGTACAATAGATGCCGTACAACAATCAACCCCGCACGGACGATGACCTAAACATCCGACTTTCCAATATTGCCAAAATATCAGTAAAGTAATAAGAATAATATTCGGTTCTTGTACAGCGCATATTTTTTTATCACATAAAGTCTACATGCGCTTCCAAAGAGCTTTGGAAATTACGAGCTTACGAAACCTAAAAAAGGAAACATTTTTGAGCGGCCTCGTGACTCGGAGCTGCCGCCCTCGACTACATCACTGTCATCGACCCTTGTCGGACTTGCTCAGGAGGGACGGGTAAAGATAAAAATAAATCTGCCTTGATAATGTTTTGCCTTTATTCTCCCTTTTACAAAAGATGAAATCTAAGTGAGGGGAAGGGGGCGGTTGATTCGGACCCTATAGACATCATGGCCTACAAGCAATTAGTGAATGAAAATGAAAATGATAATAATAATAATGATGAAGATGGTGATGATGATGATGATGATGATGATGATGGTAATGATGATGATGATGATGATGATGATGGTCATAATAATGATAATCATAATAATATGTGAAATTTGTAAGGCAACGAATCTACTTGATATCAAATGTTTAAGGCGCACCTGTGAAACAAAAAAATAGAAGGAAAAAAAAAAGAAAAGGGATCGCATGAAAAGCATCGGCATTAAAAACAAAGGTACAGATGTAAAAGTTAACCCATACCCAAATGACAGAACACTAATTAATTATATGCCTAATTAAACAGATCCGTCTAATGCTTACCATAAAACGCGGGAGGGTGACTGACACCACCAGTCTGTATCTCGCATGTTGAGTTATCTCCGTCACAAACTCCACAAGAATCAAAACGTCGATCAGAATCTTCCTCGAGATCACATCCGAAATGCTGCAATGAGACAATTATTATCATTATTATATAATCATTATTATCTATATAAGGCTTCCAATTGGTACAATAAATCAGTGTATGTAATATTTTTAGCGCAGTACCCGGATGACAGATCAATTTTTTTCTGCTGTCATCCGGGAACTTCAAATGTCGATACAATATTGCTTGATTATCAAGTCAAATTATGTTATTTCGCTAGTCAGCCTGATATAGATAACAATAATAATATTGTATGGCTTTGTTTTCGTGTGATACTATATGAATATTGCTCTCGCTATGACAATATATTCTTGCATCACACTGCATCCAATAAATATATAATTATTGTTTGGTTGCTTTTATCAATATTCCATGTATAATTAACAATGCATAACATATTTTATAAAACACCAACATTTCGTTATGTAATATGGAAATAAGCAATCCGGACTCATTAATCAATAACATGAAAGAATGTTTTTTAATCATGTAATACGGAAATTAAAAGTGAACCTACTTAAAAGCTAACCCTTAACCCTAAACTCAATCCTTAACCCAAATTGCGACCCTAACCATCCTAAACCTAATCCTCTATCTTCCTAGGAATAAAGCCAGAATAATGTTGAAATTCAAAGGTCGTGGGTTCAAAGGTCATGGGTTCGATCCCCGAACACTAAACTAATGTCCTCTGACAAGGCCTGGTTTAGGATGACATAGCATTTGTGTTAGTAATTTGCCCTCACGGTGACTGTATGGTAGGAACACTCATCAGAGAGAGGATAGGGTGCACATTGTGCGTGAATAAAACCGATGACCGGGTTAATGATATCCGTAAAGCGCCTCAATAAAGACGGTAATTCGTTTTAAGCGCTATATCAAGTTCAAGTTCAAGTTCAAGTTTTATTTATCTTTCTTTCATAACACAAATTTTAAATATGACCTGAATATAACAAGTTGACAGAATATTGCGTTACAATAGAAAGATGAGGTGACCTTGGTTGAAAGCAATAAATCCAGATTATTTTTTTTTAAATAATTAGATGTTACGTCCCTACCTTACACTCGCCTTCAACGCATATGGCCGTTTTGTCTTCTAATGGATTGAGAACATCGCATCGAGTGCCGTCTGTAAACTGACCAAACTTGACCACTTTACTGAGCCCATACGACACACAGTTATGCTGGCAGAAATCATCACCAGACGTTTCTGTATTTCAAAGAAATGTAATCAAATCGAATCAATTCAATTCAATTCAAATCAATTCAAATAATAGTGTTTTCATAACTCAATCAAAAGATTAAAAATTTCTTACATAAAATGAATATCAAATGGCATTTGCAAAACAACTTAGAAAATAAAATATATTTGTAACTAAACAATCTTATATGGCGACAAGTAATAAATGCGTTTTAGGATACAAAATAGTATTTAAAAAACACATCATAAACTATTGACTTGGTAAAGCGGCGTATACTTTGCTGTTTGAAGAACAGAGGGGTTTTGCTCGACCATTTTCAAAAGCAAAAAATTCTATAACAAGCAAAAAACAAAATTAATTCATGCGATTTAAGGCTGTAACAGGTCATGCTTAAAGGTTATCTTGAATGAGTTTATACCCCTCGTCATTGGATATATCTTGTCATTTAACAATTCTTCTGTTTTATTTTCATGCTGCTAATAAAATGAAATAAATGAATGAACATATTTTGATAATTTTGCCAAAATAAAAGGAAAATCAACAACAACAACTCACGGCTTCTATCTGTATAAGGCAACCACGTTGTGAGCTGATCTTTGTAAGGAATATCATCTCGGGATCCACACTGTTCTTCTGCAAACTGGTACTGGGTGGAACCGGGACAGTTCTAAAAATGATGAAGAAAAACAAATAAATCATTCAATCTCCGTTTCATCATTCAATGTTGGTATAGGACATTATAGACCATCATTCAATGTTGGTATATGACATTATAGACCATCATGTAATGTTGGTATATGACATTATAGACCATCATTCAGTGTTGGTATATGACATTATAGACCATCATTCAATGTTGATATATGACATTATAGACCATCATTCAATGTTGGTATATGACATTATAGACCATCATTCAATGTTGATATATGACATTATAGACCATCATTCAATGTTGGTATATGACATTATAGACCATCATTCAATGTTGGTATATGACATTATAGACCATCATGTAATGTTGGTATATGACATTATAGACCATCATTCAATGTTGGTATATGACATTATAGACCATCATTCAATGTTGATATATGACATTATAGACCATCATTCAATGTTGGTATATGACATTATAGACCATCATTCAATGTTGGCATATGACATTATAGACTATCATTCAATGTTGGTATATGACATTATAGACCATCATTCAATGTTGGTATATGACATTATAGACCATCATTCAATGTTGGTATATGACATTATAGACCATCATTCAATGTTGATATATGACATTATAGACCATCATTCAATGTTGATATATGACATTATAGACCATCATTCAATGTTGGTATATGACATTATAGACCATCATTCAATGTTGGTATATGACATTATAGACCATCATTCAATGTTGATATATGACATTATAGACCATCATGTTGGTATATGACATTATAGACCATCATTCAATGTTGATATATGACATTATAGACCATCATTCGATGTTGGTATATGACATTATTGACCATCATTCAATGTTGGTATATGACATTATAGACCATCATTCAATGTTGGTATATGACATTATAGACCATCATTCAATGTTGGTATATGACATTATAGACCATCATTCAATGTTGGTACTTTTGATCATATTCCGTAACAGTATTGTATCGTGTTTCCTTCCCCTAATTGAGTCGTCAGAGTTTTAATACCCTACGTGTATATATCGTGCCTGCAGTATTCAAGGTAAAGTTATATGTTATGTTGTTAATATGTTATGGAGTTATATCCGTACATCAATAAGCCTGTTCGTAAATAGCTCTGGAACGCATGACCCCCAAACATCCACAGATCTTTTACACTATGGATACGTCCCACTTGTGCATTTTAGAATAATCACTGTCGAAGTGATGGAGGTGCTTCATGAATACCTTTTGTTTGCCTTCTTGAGAAGAATACTTCCATCTGTGTATCAGATAAATGTACTGTCGGTACATAAATGAATACTAATACACAGGGCGGCGATCCCGGGGGGACGGGGGTACACGTCCCCCCCCCCCCCCCCCCCCTCAATTTTTTTAGGGGAATCATCCCCCCCCCCCTGGAAATTTGAAAAAGTGCAAAACAAATTGTATAGCATATGCTGAATAATGACTGCAACACACTTTTAGGCTCCGGAAGGCCCAAGAGTGCAGCGTTTAGACTAATAAAATTGCAAAAAAAATCTCGCTCGGTCGCTACGCTCCCTCGCATAACATCCTTGTAAAAAAAAAATCGCATTTCGTCCCCCCGGTCATTAACAGAAATCGCCGCCCCTGCGGAACGAATGACCTTAATCTGCACATGCGCAAATCGTAATTACGAACTCGCTTATAGGTAATGCGCAAGGCTGTTAAAACTGGCGTTAAATTGATTATCTTGAAATAAGTTGAGATTGTTCATTAATATATTCCTAGCAAATAGTAATTACTTTCTTGGACAAGAAGTGTACAATGATGATAGTCAGAGAGTATTGTCGGTATTTCTTTGTTTGATTTTTATTATATTTCTGCATTGTTCAACGTAGTACAAAGTTATATACAAAAGTCAAAATACAAAAGTCAAAATACGTATAAAATAATATCATAATATAAATAACTGTAATAATTACACCTTTAAAAAGATTTCAAATCCAAACATGTAGAAGATATTGAATATAAAATTAGCAAACTTACAAACACGTTGCACGTTTCTATTTCAGTATCTTCTCCTTGGCAGTGGTACCCGCCAAAAGACGGTCTAAGTGATTTTAAAAGAGAAAAATAAGTTGAATAAAATAGTAAACAATCATTAAATAGTGTATAAATTGTTGCAAGTTAAATCATTGTAATATTAACTTAATTAATTCGAGAATTGAAGCTGTCTTCATCTCTAAATATTTGTCTACAAGATTTGCATGTTTACTTTTTGTCTTGACGTGAATGACGTTTATAGTTTGGTTTTCTACAATTTAAATAATTCTCATTCTGCTTTGGATTCATTTTTGCTTACATTTTTGCTACCTTTTCCTAATTCATGTACTTACGAAGTCTATGTTCATTTAAAAGTAAAATTCAAAGGAAATATTAGTTCTCTTAACATACTAAGTACCTTTAACGGTCGCTTCATCTTCAGAGTAATGTTTACAGGAAATTGATAAAATACAGTGATTTGTATACACAGAGAATTACAGTAATACATCTTCGTCTTACGTTGGACTATTGCAATGCCGACGTTTCCTTCGGATCCCTCCGCCGCAAGTTCGGGAACAATCGGAAAACATCGGCTCCCATTCGGACCATTGGCCATGAATAGGTTCGGGGCCTTCGTCTCCGTAAGAAACGCACTGTCCACTAATACACCACTGAAAGAGAGATAACAATTGTGAACATTGAAACACGTTTGGTGTTGTCCGACAAATTTTTTTTTAATTGTTTATTTGTTTTGTATTTGTTTTGCTTTTTTAAATTTTATGTTTAGGCCTACAATTAAGTTAACGGTGAACAATATTGTTAGTATTTATCAAAAGTAGAACATCATGCAGTATACAGTGCATATACATCAACTGAATTTTTTTGCCTGTTGCGTTAGACATCTTAGAGCATCAATATTCAAATTATTTAAGTAAATCATTTCAAGAATATGAAAAGAATAAGTATACGAAAAAAAAAACACTGATGAATACTATAAACAAAAAAGTGCAAGAGGAGGATAGTAATGATAATAATGAATCAATAATTAAATAACAATAGGTTTAATAAATAAATGATTATAAAAAAGTAAAGAGAACGAAAGTGAAAAGGGAGAAGGAGAAGAAGAACAAGAAAAAGAAGAAGAAGAAGGAAGAGGAGGAGTAGAAGAAGAAGAGAAGAAAAAGAAGGAGAAGAAGATAAAGAGGAAGAAGAAGGAGGAGGAGGAGTAGAAGAAGAAGATAAAGAGGAAGAAGAAGAAGAAGAAAAAGAAGGAGAAGAAGATAAAGAGGAAGGAGAAGGAGGAGGAAGAAGAAGAAGATAAAGAGGAAGAAGAAGAAGAAGATAAAGAGGAAGAAGAAGAAGAAGAAGAAGAAGAAGATAAAGAAGAAGAAGAAGATAAAGAAGAAGAAGAAGAAGAAGAAGAAGAAGAAGATAAAGAGGAAGAAGAAGAAGAAGAAGAAGAAGAAGAAGAAGAAGGAGAAGAAAAAGAAGGAGAAGAAGATAAAGAGGAAGAAGAAGGAGGAGGAGGAGTAGAAGAGAAGAAGAAGAAGAAGAAGAAGAAGAAGAAGAAGAAGAAGAAGAAAAAGAAGGAGAAGAAGATAAAGAGGAGAAGAAGAAGAAGAAGAAGAAGAAGAAGAAGAAGAAGAGAAGGAGAAGAAAAAGAAGGAGAAGAAGATAAAGAGGAAGAAGAAGGAGGAGGAGGAGTAGAAGAAGAAGAAGAAGAAGAAGAAGAAGAAGAAGAAGAAGAAGGACGAGGATGAGAACAATGATGATGATGAGGAGAAGGGGTACTCTCACCTTTCCGTCACCGCATTCAGTGCCGTCTGCCGGTGGTGAGCGGTTGGTGCTGCAGATTTTCTTACCATCTTTCGTTCTCATGCACCATAGCTTCGCACAGTCCGTCTTTAAAGGGATCAAGATTTTTGTTAAATAATAATAAAGAAGTAAGTGGTGGAAACGGGGGCAAGGGCACGTGCCTCTGGCCAAACCCATTTTGTATTTATGGGGGGTAAAAATTACGATTACAAAAATAGTGGCCCCTAAATCTGTTGCTTGTGTAGTAAGAAATCACTTTAAAAATATGATGACCCTTTATTATTTTGTTCCTCTCTTGCTTGATATTATTTTTTTCTCGCTTTCATATCACCCGAACCACTACTACGAGACAACAAAAATATTGCACGTTTAATGAGTAGTTGCCCAAGGTCAATTGTACTAGGGTGTCTTGGTGATTGTCCAGGGGGAGTTGTCCTTGGGAAGTAGTCAGGGGATCCTAAATGTTGATGCCTTGAGATAGTTGTCCGTGTGTGCCAGTGTGGGAATAGTTGTCCTGCTAGATGTTATAGGCATATGATCGCAGAGTGAAATCTGAACTCTTTCACGTAAGTATTCACACTGTTTTTTTTACAGTAATTGGCGACGATAAAACACTGGGTAGACGGATAGAGTGTTACCTGTCGATGTGAACAAGCCCCACTGCTATCTGCATAGAGGAATTTACACTGCTCGTTACGGTGAAAGAGTTGACCCGGTCGCCAACCTCGGTAGAGTGAAAGGTTCTTGTTCATTTCCGGTTCGTCATTAAGACAGTGTGATATTGGTGACCTGTAACCAGAAAATTGTGACAATCTAACTTTAACTAAGAGATTTTCAATCTATGGTTACGCTATTTGGGCAAACAATTTGTGGTTTTCATTCACTTCTATTTTTCAGGCAGGGTATTGAAATAGCCCTTTAAATAGCCCCACTGTACTATTAGTAGCTACTTGCTCCCTCTATATAGAAAACTTCCCCAATCGGTGCATGTTGGTCCCCCATGATCCTCTTTTTCTTATGTTAATTGAAAGCTGAGTTGAAGAGATAGTCACCTGTCAGTGTGGTCTAATCCCCCCCCCCCCCCCCACTCAGTGTTATTTAGGGTACGCATATGCTCGTTCCCTCTTTTTGAAAGCACCCCCTATCTGAGGACTGCCAACATTTTCGAACCCCCCTTTCGCGGGCTTTTCGCGGGCTTTTCCTGCCTTGGAGACCCCCCTAAATCAGGAAAAATGCTCAATGTACCCCCCTAAATTCGGAATAATTTCTCAGGAGTCGAAAGAGATGAGAGAAAAAAAAATCACCCCTTTTTAAAGAAATCTCCGGGTGAAAACTCAAAATCACCCTTTTTTTCTTACAGTTCTCGGGCCGGACTTTGTCGCACGAAAAGTACTCCTAACGGACATTTTGGCAACACGCATGCGGTCATTCCTACCTCTGAGTGGGGGGGGGGGGGGCGGGGTCTAATCCCTCTCAGCCAAACTAGTACAGATGGCCTTTAAGAAAATATCTTGCAAGTCTTTGCCTGATAATTTGTCATATTTCAAGCATATTTTTTTCAAGCCATTCACTTACAACGGTCGTTCTTCCGTAAATAATATTTTGTAAAATTTGATGAAATATGATAACTTTCAGGTGGTCAAGAACAGCCTTTCTTTGAACAGCAAGCAAACATTTGAATATGTTAATAAATCGGTCTATTCCCCATGAGAGCCCACTACTATGCGTCTTTAAATCGAGGAGTCAGTGACACAACGACGTAACTCCATTTTGGCCATTTTGAGAAAAAGTGGTTTATGTGTCACTGAGCACTTGGGCCTTAAGGAGTTAGGTCTATGTTTCATTAGCCATTGGCTTCAATGGAGTGTTGGGTGGAGTTAAGCCTGTGTGTTTCCTGGAAAGCCCACACTTTTCTGAGCATTTTGATATTAAATACTCATTTGGCAAAATATGGAGTTACGTCTTTGCGTCATTGAACCCTGGAAATGATTGTAGGTTTTTGGATTATTATCCTCTTACCTGAGAAACGAATTCAGATATCTGACACTGCATTCCGACCAGGTGTAGGCACCGGCTCCCGACGACGTCACAGAGGCCATGATGTGACCTGAGGTCGGGCAACTGTTTCCGGCGCCGTCATGCCCAATACCCAGCCTGAAAAGAAGGGAAAGGAAGTGAAGATGAGGAGCAAAAAAATGACCATCCTCACATTTGTAGACAATCAGCTTACATTTTTGACGATATTACACAATAATTATGCCACGATATTTAAAGAGAAAGTCCCCCCTGGTATTCAGATAGATTTGATAGCAGCAGAAAAATGAGAGAAACAAGTCAGTTAAAGTTTAAACAAAACCGATTATAAATCAGAAATTTACGATTATTTTAAGGAGCGATCAATAAAAAACATAAACTGGCACTTTGTGATGTATCTCGCGAGCTCCCCTCCCATTTGCCCTGTACTAAATGCTTAAAATAATTCATTTTTTCCGGTAAGAATGTTTTTAATCAATATTCGCCTTAGATAATAATTGGTGCAAATAATTATGTTTTTATACAACCTTTTTATATAAGAAAATGGAAGTTCATTAAATTTAACAACCTCATTGCTAGAATCTTATTTAATAAGCCAGTTCATAGAAACAATCTGCACATGAGCAGATAAAGGTCATTTGTACCAAAATGGTAAAACCCACAGAGATGAATACCGGATATGCGCTCATGAAAGTTATGTAAAATTATTCATTTATGCACCAACGGTACATTCTATGATACGCAGGTGGAAGTATTCTTTTCAAGAGCTCAAACAAAAGGTATTCATGAAGCACGTCTAGGACTTTGGCAGTTATTATTCTAAGATGCTCAAAGTGGAACTTCTCCATGTGTAAAAGATCTGTGGATATTTGGGGTCATTTGTACCATGTGCTATCTGTAAACTCCCTTATATAACCATACTTTATGTAAATGAATAACGGGCACTGCTAAGCTTCTTGTATACTTACGCGTGTCCTATTTCATGTGCCACCGTTAGACCTGTTGCTAGACCGTTATCTTCAACGATTGAACACCGTCTCGATCTGACGCAAGCCGACGCCATGTTTGCAAGCCCAAGAACGCCATGTACAGTTGACCCTGTGAAGATGTCTTTCCTCGAAAGGTCGTGCCTAAATAGAAATATATTAGATAAGGTATAGGTATAGGATAATAGCATTCACACGTATACATCGGACTTTGTTTTACAGCTCATAATCTTTGCATTCTATGCCCCCTCCCCCTTTTCCCCTTACTATCCCCCTTCTCTCTTTCATGATAGAATCATCTTTCATCTTTCTCTTCCATCTTTCTCTTCGGCCGTCATTTCCTTCTTCATTTTTATACCCTCTGTTTGCTCCCACCCTCTCTCTCTCTCTCTCTCTCTCTATCTCATAATAGAAATATTTATTCTCCTGTATGTATTTCCTTTTCGCTATATAAACACTCTCTCCCATCATCTTTCTCTCCCATCTTTCTCTGCGTCTGTAATTACCTTCTTCCTGTTTAAATCCTCTCACTTTCCCTCACCTCTCTATCTCTATTTCTCTCTCTCTCTCTCTCACTCTCTCTCTCTCTCTCTCTCTATCTCACTCTCTCTCTCTCTCTCTCTCTCTCTCTCTCTCCTTTTCTCTCTAACTCTGTCCCTCTCTCCGTGCTCCCTTTCCCAGATGTAATACTTCCAGTTTTACATTACCCTTTCTGGCTATTTCTAGAACAGGGTTATTGGATGCGGACGATTACTCCTCGATCTTTTTAAACAAAAAAATATTATGATCAATCCTCAAATGTAGACTGCTTACCTCGTTATCAATGTCGCTACATCAAAGTGTTCAGGGTCCCCTACATTTTCAGGATAAACTCGTTTCTGCCAGTCACAGAAGTAACGCAATGATGTTTGAGCGTCCGGTACGATCATGGGATCGACCTGTGAAGGAGGATAAAACACGTTATAAGACGGATTCTAGAATCTAAGCAATCCGATTGGTCCATTGACATCACGTGGGCGTGCATTTATTTGTCCCACCGTGCAAAACATCTCCCATCAAATATCGATAACCCATGTTTGATATCTGCCGATATCGCTTTCGCGTAATTCAGTCAAATTGAATGTGTGCATATAATAGATCTAACGTGAGAATATTCGGCTGGCCCAAGACGCTAGGCGTCGGATGTAGCCCCCAGAGCCCCCAAACACATCATGAAATAGGGTAGATTTCAGTACCCCCATCTCATGCCCCCACTTAACTGGGAAGATTATTTACTTACCTCTACTGCCTCTAGCACCAAGCAGCGAACGACATGCAGAGAAATATTAACCATAATTGAAGGGCTCCGAAATGTATTAGCCGCCTGTAGAAGAAACAGTTATCAAGACAAAATCACGTACGAAATTTCTCGATTGAAAAATGAAGTGTACTTCCTGATTATGCTGATTGCCATCATTGATATCTATAAAGTAGAGCCCTTTGAAACTGTTGGGGAGATTAGGGACTTTTAGATTATGCACGACGAGAACGTGGACTGCCATTTTAAGGCAATGTGACGTCACTGCCAGTGTCTTAAAAGGACGTCACATTGCCTTAAAAGGGCAGTCCACGTTCTCGTCGTGCAGAATCTAAAAGTCCCTATTATGAAATAGGGCACTCAATACATTTTAACCAGGGCCCCATTTCACAAAACTTGTCATTAGTGACAAATGCCAGTTTTTTGTTGTAATGTAGTGACGTCCTTGCTTCTGATTGGTTATCAGCAGATTTGTCACTGATTTTGGTCATTTCGAGCTTTCGTGGGTTATCCTGTTCAAGCTGACTTATTTTTGATCTGTTATTATTGTATATTGTCAGACTGTATATTGTTGTATGCTGGAAGCTTGAAAAAAGGCTTTGAGAAACGGGTCCCAGGTATATTTGCTTTGCAAATGGTGAAACTAGTGGTATTGTGAGGGTCGTGCTATGGATGGAGGGGAGGGGGGGGGGTTACTTGTCTTATTTTAAATGGACGGACGGGCGGGGATTATAATATATGCCGTGTCGTCGTATTATCTCCCCCTCCCCCTGTTCATTCTGTTTTTCATTTGTTAACTTTGATGCATCAACTTTGATGAATCAACTTTGATGAATCAACTTTAATTTCAGTTTTGATGCCCTACTGTTTATCTTGAATAGGAATCATGTTCAGATTACGCAATACGTAATTGTCATGTTCGAAAATTTCAATTGGTGATGTACAAGGCCATTAAAATTGCCTAAGGTTGACTTTTTTCGAAAGTCTTTAGGATCGTTCTTTAAATTTACAACAGAAAAGAAAAGAAAAGAAAAGAAAAGAAAAGAAAAGAAAAGAAAAGAAAAGAAAGAAAAGTAAACTTACAATAGACATGATGGTCTTGAGATAATTCTCCAATTCGTTGCCATGGTACTCAAACATGGTTGAATCGCTTACGATCATCACCTCGATGTATTTCCGATCATGCTCTTGTGGTATCGAACGCATGTCCAATCGTCGACTTTCTTCTTGATCTGAAAAGAGATACAAAAATATTAAAGGGATAGTTGAGTTCTGTTGCAGAGGGCGCTACACAAAATAATTTTTTTGTGAGATAATGAAAAACCTGAGTATCAAATTTGAAAGAACATAATATTTAAATGACAAAGTCATCTTTGTTTGATCAAAATCGGTTCAGAGACGGCTGAAATATAACGATTTCTAATAATAATACCGCCACAAATATTAGATATTTTGAAAAGTTTGAAGGAAAAAAACGTTGAAAACACGAAATAACGCCTTTTCACGTCATATTTCAGCCAATGCCGATGTTGGCTTTTTAAATGGCATTTTCGTGTTGCTTATATTACGCACAACCAGCCGGCCCATGTTTTGCTGTTTTTAATTAAATAATTAATTAACGGTCACCCTGTTTTTTTGAAAGTGGAGCTGAATTGGTACGATCGTATTGGCTAAATTTCACACATTTTGGAGTATAAAATTACCTTCATAGCAATTTTAGGGCACTAGAAATGTCATAGATAAAAATAAGAGCAATAACCATGCACTTTTGAAGGCATTTGCGGTCTGAAAACAGAACTCAACTATCCCTTTAATGACACACGCTGAGGACTGAACACTCCCACCTAGACCAGATAATAGCGAATGTATATCAGTGATTGAATGTAAGTCTAAATCATTAGATTTTTAAGCAAAAATTAAAGCGAGCAAATTGTACACATGCTTAATATATCTCAATAAACTACAGGAATAACATAATGAAAACATTCAGTGAGGAATAAGTTGATCAATTTATGTTTACGCTTTTTATGTATGTTTTTTGTAACGTTTTTATACATATATGTTTTTTTATTGGGAGGGGGGAGGTAAAATATTTAGAAAAGGTTATTTTAAAAGGCATGAAATGTTGATTCAAATCATTCATATTGTCCATAATCAAGGAGATTTCTTGTTCTTGATGTGGAATTTCTGAAAAGTTTAAAATACTTGAATTTTTGCTTTTGAATATATTTTATTCTAAGGCTACTAATGGCTCTCCATAATATTTAAATCCAATTTAGAGTTAAGTTTGACTTGGGATCTGTGTGAAACACCCCCCCCCCCCCTGATTTAAGATAGTTTGCGTGGTTAATATTACGCACCCTCATTCGTAGGTCCTGTCTCACACGTCTTTCTTTCCTGGCGTTTGAATACGAGATGGGGAGGCGACCATACCTCTTGTTGCTCCTCCTGCTCACCGGGGCGAAAATCCCCAACGAGGTGACGAAATTTTTCAGGAACTGGTCTTATCAATAAGTCCAAGTCCTTACTCGCTACAAGACCATTCTGCATCAAAGCGAATTATACCAATTAAAATAATAATTAATCATAGGTGTACGAGTTAGTGAGGTTGGGGCCTCAGCTTGGAAATGCCCGGTATAGCGTCATGTGTTGGCAGCGGAAAAGATAGGTTAGTGCATTTCGATGATGAAATAACACTTCTCTATTTTGCCCGCATCTTTGCCGGCTCGCTGACAAGATGTACAAACGGGAAACTGGGATTTCCAGTCAAGAAGCGTCAGCCGCTCCACCCCCTTGGCAAAAATGTACCCAACCTACGCCTGTGTTATTAATAACCTATTACAGTGCATATTCCTACTATTTTTTTTTAGGAAAAGGCATTAATACAAACAAAAAGCCTAGACCTACTCTTCTTAAAGGGAAAGTCCACCCCAAAAATAAGTTTGTTTCGATAGAGGCAGAATAATAAGAAAATCAGGTGAGTGAAAGTTTGAGCAAATTCTGAATGAAAATAAGAAAGTTATGAATTATTGAAGTCGTGATCAATCAAATACAAATTGGCAACTCTGTGACTTATTATACGAGCTCTCCTTCATTTGCTTTGTGCATAATTTTCCATAAAATCATGTTTTCTTTGTTATTGATGACGGAATATATATTTGTTCCTTGCAGGGGGAGTATAGAAACATATTTGCAATTATTATATTTAGGGTGCATGTATGGTTGAAATTTTTCTTGAGGGAAAATGAAAATTTTAGATTTTTTTAGTACTGAGCAAATGAAAGTTGAGCTCGCATGATACGTCATAGAGTTGCCAATTTGTATTTGATTGATCACAACTTCAATAATTCATAACTTTCTTATTTTCATTCAGAATTTGCTCAAACTTTCACTCACCTGATTTTCTTATTATTCTGCCTCTGTCGAAACAAACTTATTTTGGGGGTGGACTTTCCCTTTAATAATCTGCACAAAGATTGCACATATTCCAGTTTGATTTAAAAACTGAAAAAAACAAGTAAATTGTCCAGACTATCATTACTTATAGTGAAATTTTGTGAAATTTGTGTTTGTAATTGTTTAGAAAAATGTAAAGCCATAAAACAATATACGATTCGTTTAAAATGAATCAATACTTTAAATATTCAGAAAACAATACATACCAATAGGCTTCCATCTTGTTCGCTCAAAGACACCATAGAATCGAGCTCTCGGCCTCTCACGTGACCAATATAGTATCCATGGTTACGGTGTAAACGTTGAGCTCTGAGTGACGTAAGGTTGGTGCTATGCCAGTGGTGAATGACAAGATGATCAGGAAAGACATCGTCTATAAGAGAAAAAAAATAATAAGGATAGAGTAAGAAAGTGAGAAGGTAAAGAAAATACAAAAAAACAACGAGAGAAAAGAAAAGAAACAGAACTTTAACCGTACCACGGTTTAAGACATGGGGAATTTCACAACATACAGGAAATATAATTATCGAAGGACAGTTTGGATAGGTATACAAATACCCAAGTTTTATAATTTTTCTTAAAATTAAATGTATTCAACTATATGATGCAGTTTCGGAGCTGCATATGAGTCGATTAGAGGGTTGAGCACTTGGGATGGCAAATGACTCCGTGCCCCTCGTTTCTACGAAAAATAGAAGATTGACCCTCCACTCCCCATCGCCCCCGCCCCCACCCCCGCCGCTTCTCTTTAAATTATTTCTTCCATCCCTCTTCCCTTTGCGCTCATGCACTCGGCCAACTACTCACTATTATCCGGCTCCAAATCGAGCATATATTCTTTGCCGACCGCTCGGATGAGGTATGAACGTTCTCCAACACTGTGACGCGATTGGCCGGAAGTTTGATCACGTGACAGACTTGGCCGATGTCTCTGCACTCTGATTGGCTGAACGATCTCGTACTCGGGAACTGCATATCGAAAGGATATAGACCAACTAAGGTTGAGGTATGATAGTATAGCGTTTCGTATGTTGATTTTTGAATAGGTTTCTAACGTTTTAAGGGATGCATCATATTTTTTTTTTTTAATAATTTCATTTATATATTTCGGACACTATGCTAAGCGGACCGTGCATCATTAAACGTGTGCCTTTTTTCTTCAAAGGTTGGCAAAACATATTTTGTTCCACCCCTCTCACATCCCTTTATTCAAGAAACCATTGTTTGATAAACGTTAAACCAATTAAGGACAAACTTTGACTATTTCAGTTTATAACTTGTATTTTTTTTATAGTAAAAAAACTACCGTATATTTTTAAAAGAATTACATACCTTCGCTATACGATTTAACTCCAAAAATATCCACCAGTTCGTCTTGGGACATATGCTGATGTACCTGTTGGTAAATATTAAATCAGCTTCCATAATTATCGTGATTGAAGTAATAATTATAGAAAACACCACTGTATTTCACATCCAGAAGAGATACGAATGGGGTCATTGTGTTGATATTCAAAAGAATGATAATAAAAATAAGAATTATACGAGTGATGAAAGTCACATTTATAGAGCGCTTAATAATACGTTTCTTTGTTGTAAATTGCTAATCTGCACATGATAGTCCACATGCTCCGTAAGAGGACACTTTTTTCTTTTCTTTTTTGGTCACGAAATTTTTAAATTTGACGTTTTGCTCCGTTGGGGGGGGGGGTAAGGTCACCTTTTTAGGTCAGCCATTGGCAATTTTTTTTTTTTTTTTTTTTATAATAATTTTTTTTTTAAACGTGCCCCCTGCCCCCCCCCCCCCCCCCCTGGATCCGCCACTGGTTGGTATTACCAGATAGAGGTTATATTTGGATTGGTTGTGATTTAAAATCCCGTTTCCCCCAATTTCCTCATAATATTCCAGAGTTACAACGCACAGGGCTTATAAAGATCATGGCCTTCTAATTGTTTCATAAGATCATGGGTGTGTGCGAAAGTGTGCAAATCAGTAATAATACATTTCATATCACCACAATCGTCTGCTTTTCAACTTTGCTGCTTCCCATTGGGGATGTTTTTATTTAAGACACACTCTTACAGAGCACACCATCCAAACAAAACCCAAGAGAGGGAAACTGCTCCTTTGTCAATGACCGAAAATGCTTACGCAGTCGTTATTGTTAAAACAGCTGAATGTTCTCATTAAGATGCACATAATCAGAAGGCGGTAACTATCAATGGATCAAAGAAAGAATCACTTTGAATGTCCATCCGTAATAGGTCCATGGGCAAATAGACCATTTATGTAATGTAACCAAATTTATACGCAAGTGCCTCGATACGAATTATTTCATTCACCTGTTACGAATTGTATTTCATTAGTCAGAATGCAAATTGCATATATTGCGTGTGATAAAGAAGGGGAAGCCATAACGTTTGTCCTACCTAGCAACAATTCATGTATGCAATTCTCATTTTGACGATCGAGGTACATTCATTCGTAAACAGGTGAATGAAATATTTCGTATCGAGGAGTTTCACAAAGGTAATATGAATAAATTTGATTACATTACGAAAATGACCTATTGTAAAGTTCAAGAAGTCGTTCGGAAATAACCGTCAAACCAAATAATACAGTACATGGTAAATAAAACAGGCGTACAATTTTCCAAAAAGATCAACTTACCTCTATACTTGATGCGTACGAAGAGGCTGGTAGCAAGTAGCACATTATATGAAGTGCTACGAAGAAATGGTCATATATAAACCCCAGTTCCATGGTGTACTAATCCGTTCACTAAATCTTGGAATCGAGCCGCAATAAACATGAAACACTTAAACGTTTACAGTAACAAAAGTTCACACATAAATCGGCAATGGATCATTTTCGTAATGTAATCAAATTTAATGTAGAAGTTTTTGTTGAGTGCCATGTGAGAAATTATTTCATTCACCTGTTTTACGAATTTTTGTATTTCAATATAGTCAAAATGAGAATTGCATACATTAATTGTTGCTAGGTATAGGACACACATTATGGCTTGTATTATTCAACAACACATAATGTATGCAATTCGCATTCTGACTATTGAAATACAATTATACGCAACAGGTGCATAGAATAATATGTAACGAGGCACATAACAAAGATTTGTGCATTAAATTGATTACATTACGGAAGTGGCCTATACATGCCCAGACGCGGATCCACGAGCCGATTTTACCGGCCCGCCCCCACCCCCCCCCCAAAAAAAAACGGTAACATAATTGAATAGTAACTTAAATTGTACCTTTTTTTAAACAAAAAACGAAGCGGCCCCCATGACCCCTCCCCCCCCCCCCAAAAAAAAGGAATATTTTAAAAATGTTGCCCCCCCCCCCGCAGAAATTAGTGGTCCTCGATCCTCTCCAGCATCCCCTCCCCCCATATTCACCGGCCGGCTGAGTCGGAGCTAAAATGTTACCTCAAGAACTGGACCCCCCCCCCCCCCCCCCCCCCGCTTATTCGCCGTTCGCCAGCTGGCTGATTCGCCGCTAAATATTTTTTCAAGAAAACATACGTCACACAAACTTCAAGTCTGTTACTGTTAAATTTCATCAAACTTTTACATCGAGGCGAGTCACATAATGGTACAAAACTCAAATCGTTTCTTTTTTGTTCTGATAAAAATTTAATGCCCAAACAAGAAAACAACGCGTGAACGCTTATAAACGATAACATGGAAAAGTATGTACATAATAAATCGGGGATAACAAATTATCTTGATCAGTTGTAATTGGAATTACCATGATTAGTCATTAGAATACTACCGTAATCAGAATTAAATATTATATACAACAGACTCAGAGTCGAAATTATTTTGCATCATGAACGATTTGGAGATTATTCCTCTTCCGTTTACAGCAACCAATGAACTAACATTCATATGTATATGGATTCAAAAAAGTTAAACGATCATCAAACGGAAGTATTTTATTGCACACTTTCGTGGCAAGAATTATGCACGAAACTGCCTAAAAGAGATCAATAGGATTCATTACGTGTAATATGTTGCCATGTTGTCGAAACTGGATTAGGTGTTCTACAAGACATAGATTTCAGCCGCTACATGCTTCGATTTCAACAATTACTTGAATCAGTATTTTGTACGTATGCTTGTCATTATGGATTATCTACGATATTAAAAGTCAACAAATATTACGAATGATCCACACGTGTTCAGTACAAATACAACCATAATATCAAATCAAATATCTTCATCGTCTCTTTCGTAGGAAAAACCCTTAGAGAAAACGTTTCCTTTTTGTATATAAACAATATAATATAATGTCTCAACTAGCCACCTAGACATGACCCCTAATCTCGAACTAACCGTAGAGTTCCTCACTACAAGTGGACTCAGTCTTAACAGGGGCTTTTAGATTTGCACGTCGACATAGTGGACTGCTACGTGTGACGTCATTTTAAGGTACTGGCGCAGTGCTTTAAAATGACTTTAAAATGACGTCACACGTTCCAGACGACTATGTCCACGTGCAAATCTAAAAGTCCCTAATGTCAGTAATAGTGTGGTACGGTATGTCACTGAAACTGCTCTCGTAGGATTTTTGTGCCAAAGTTGTTGTTTTTTGTGTGTATTTTTGGATTAATTGGGGTCCAAGCTATCAGAAATTGATGGGGTACAAATTTTCACGAAGACACCAAATTTCCTTATTGCGCGTGCCATTTTGGCGCCCAATATGGACCCCCAAGAAATGAAGGAGGGGTCTGAAAATTTGAACCCCATTATTTTTGGCCAATTGGGACCCTTTTGAAGCCAAAACAGCAACAACAACAAAAATCAATTTTGGCAAAAAAATCCGACGGGATTACATACCATATCGCACTATAAGTGCGAAGTACATGTATTTCTCATCACCCCGATTAAGAAGTCATTTCGGGTCAATGAGGAAGACAATATTTAATGGGGTGGTGGGACGGGAAGCCATCCCGTGGGTAGAACCAGGCGATACAGCCAAGTATAAACCATTATCATCACTTCCAAGCTGGAACTCGCATATAAAACTGATTTGACGCGAATGAAAGTCCTAAACTATCAACAGTCCCCCCCCCCCCCCCAATAACCAGATAACGGGTTAAAAAACTAAGATTTCTTTAATGCTTATAAGGAAATAGGGATAACGTTGCATGAAATTTTAAGCAATAGGTAATCAGATTGCTTATGGTATGAATGATTAAAACAAGCTTTGCTGTGTCGTTTCTTTTCCATTTACAGACTTTTCTGAAGAAAAACCAACTGCATTCAAAAGCAGTTTACATCACATATAACCCGTGGAATGTAGGCCTACATAACGTTTATATCTAGAACCTTTGCATAAGCCATATACAATAAGTATACTGCATATTTGGCCAAAAAAACTTCTAAAATTTGCCTAGTAAACAAAATGTTCACCCTAAAGACAACTTCAACAAAACTAAGCACTGAAGGTTTACAAAGTGATGACGGCTGTAAAATGGCGTGGCAATATGGATATGGATGAGGTCAATAAACTTTCTTTCAGTTATTGGTTGACTGTATACTATATGTAATCATAATTTACTACGGATATTTTGATAAAATGCTGATAGATATAAGCCCTGATATATGATTACATAAACAAAATGAATGAATAATGGGTAAAACGTACAGAACTTGTCTGCACAAAATAATGAAAGAACATGTTAGAATTCCACACATTAAATGCATGTTGAAGAATGTAGATCACATGGCTTATAAGCTACACATAATAGTAACACGCAGACACAAATAACTTAGCGATCCTTTATTTGTATTTGTATTAGAAATCATTTTCGGCAAAAGAAATGATATAAATATTGAAGCCAAGATGTCAGAATATAAACGCATAATAAGTGAACACAAAGCTTAGTGAAAATATATAAAAACATAAATATTGGATATATGCTGAATAAAATGTATTGCACTCGGGCGTGTAATGGACGATTGGGATAAGAAAAATCATAATTTTCATAAAATAGTCTTAATAATACTACAAATTAACATAAAATTAAATGAACGGTAAAATGCCTGAAATAAATGGCTAGATTTTTGTTGGTAAAATCAAATTGCCGGTTATACAGCTTCTGCCACGGAAAATAGGAAAATGAAAAAATCCATTGTATATACCGGGGGGTCGATAAGGTAATAGTATTTGGGGGATATTGGGTGATATTGGGGGACATTATTCACTACATGTATTTTGCCTACAATTTTGTGTACAATTTTGTGTTTTTGATATGCTGCATTATAATATTTATTAATTATGTCCAAGAAAGCAGCGAAAAATTGATTTTTAGAGAAGCAGCGAAAATGATGGTGTGCAGAAAAGCAGTGAATATAAGATTTACATAAAGCAACGAACATTATATTAGCAGAAAAAACAAAGAATATAGCTTTTCGTAAAATTAACGAACGTATAGATTCGCAGAAACACAACGGACATAGGTTTGAAGAAAAACAATGAAATAAGATTGAAAGAAATGCAAAACAGAGAAAATCGATTTGCAGAAAAGCAACGAACATAGATTCGGAGAAACGCAATGACGTAGATTTTAAGAAAAACAATGAAATACGATTTGCGGAAATGAAAACAATGAATTTCGAATTGCAGAAAAGCAACGAAGATAGATTTCAAGAGAAACAATGAAATTCGATTTGCTGAAAAACAACTACACAGATTTAAAGAAAAACAATGAAATAAGATTTGCAGAAACGCAATGAACATAGATTTGAAGAAAAACAATGAAATCAGATTTGCAGAAATGAAAACAACGAACATAGATTTCAAGAAAAGCAACGCACACATAGTTTTGCAGGAAAAATATAAATCAATTGAAACAAAAACTATGAAAACTGACTTTAGTGAAATATGGGACGGCTCAGTTCTATAATTCTACTACTGCAAACATTTCTTGCGCCAAATCGGCCAAAATGTAATATGACAAGAGAACACAAATTGGAGAAAAAATACATTATGGAACCACAAATTCAGTAATCAATTTCTTTCAATGCTTAAACAAAATATGTATTGATTTTCTTCTTTTCATTCGTAGTAAGGAACAATAAGAACTAGCCAGCATTCATGGCTTATGATAAGCAGTAAAATGTAACAAATCATGAGTTCTTAATTGGAATATATGACGTAGAAATTATGAATTATGTAATGATTTAGTAATTTCTTAATTTTCAGATTATACTTATAGAATTATTAACTATGTGAAGATTCCCGATTGACTAAACCATGTATTGGAACGAGAAAACTTAAAACTGTCAGACAGCTGAACAGGAAACTTTCATGGGGTAATTGCATTAAAATGCATAAATTATGTCTAAACGAGCGATTTATGCACTTTAATTATTGCTCTCTGGAATGTTAGGGGTAAAGAAACTCACATGCTTTCCTAGTGGCATTCTTTAATAGTAGGTGGGCACCCATTCACTGGGTCTATAATACTCATATCCCCCTTCCCGGTAGGTACTCTCGCGGTATTCACCCCGATAATAACTTGTGACGTAATGGGGGAAATCCCTCCCGTTTGATGCCGGGTGCGCCCCGACACCACTGCAAGGGGCGGAACTTCCCCACTGCAAGTGGCCGACGTCAACAACGGGGGCGGGGTGAAGGGTGCCATTTGGGGCGTGGCCAAGGTGACTCGCAGGCAAAGTGCCGTCCAATGACGCGACGAACTCGGCAGCGTTGTGGAGCATCGTCAGCGGGTTGGTTGATCTGGTTTCTGGGTGATGCCATCCGCTGCCATGGTAACCATTTCGAGGCGTGTTGCTAGGCGGCGGGTCAGGTACATCGAGAGGACGCCGCTTTGAATTCCGACGTCTGTTTGCAAACCAGTTGTGGACTTGCGTTCGCGTCAAATCAGTTTTATATGCGAGTTCCAGCTTGGAAATGATGATAAAGGTATTTGAGACGGAGAAAAATAACAATTAGAATTTAGAATGTCAACGCACGAGAGTCGGTGCATGATCAGATTGTTCATATTAGAGGCATCCTTTCATTAGGAAAAAAAGAAAGTGCATAGCTGTACAAACACCTTTAGAAACAAAGAATATTATAAGAAGTTAAAGTAAAAGATAAACCATTATTCCGGGCATTATTCTATAGCATTGTCAATAGTACTTTGATGATGATGATGATAATGATGATGACGACAGCTATAAAAATGGTAATGATACTAATGGTCATTATATTGAACTTTGCAAAGTAGTATATCAGTGCTTGTAACATTATAGAGTACCGAAGTGCTCACACTCGTCCAGATTACTGATTCTAAACAACAGAGCCTGCGCATGAGTTTCACCGTGAAATCATTCAAGCAACGGGGCTGGAGCAGGGCAAATTAAGGGTTAGCACCAAATTGAATTGGAACCAGCAACCTTGACAACTTGGCCAATCTGACATCACACTTCGGTAAACTCTATATTGTACGATTCAAGAAGTTTATAGTTTTACCAATTCAACTTCTTTAATTTTTGAAAATCTAAAATGTATATACTATAATCTCAAAAGTGATAAGAGATTAAGACGAGATATGCATCGTACCTTTTGTTGAGTTGATGGAAACGTTGTAACAGTTCTAAAGAAGTTCATGAGTGTTGCCCTTGTTGATGTTGAGAGGCTGTGCTTGGAGCGTACCCCTGATGGGCATATGCTCTTAGGTGGAGGAAACCTTCAGAGAAGAGAGTAAGAATGATGATGAAACAATAGCAGCAACAACGAGTATAATAACACAATAATAAAGATGATGATAATAATATTAAAGCTAATCTTGAGCACTGGTATGGGTATGTTATGTCCAGAGAACGTAGCTATAATTCATTATGGGTTGTTTATCCTGCAGTAGATTGATTGTTTGAACCAGTAAAATCAAAACAACCTCACAAAACCTTGCTAAAAATCATCTTCAATAAAAACCACAACTCTCATTTGCACATGGTGATCTGTGTAAAGCACATAGTGTCGGACCTACTTACCTTGATTTCCTTTTCTTTCTAAGCTTATTACTCAGTCCCTAATTATGTTCTACCAAAATCGTTTGGCACATGTATGTAATTTATTTGTAATCTTGACATTCAGTGTAAGTTTTGTTGGGTTCTGTGAGAATTTATTTTTCATCATTACCAGAACTCAAGCTTATCTTTAAAGGGGAAGTCCACCGTAAAATTAAGTTAGTTTTAATAGGAGTAGAAAAATGAGAGAAACAAGTCAGTGAAAGTTTGAGCAAATTCCGATTAAAAATAAGGAAGTTAGGATTTTTGAAGTTGTGATCAATCAAACACAAATTGGCAACTCTATGACGTATCATGCGAGCTCAACTTCCATTTGCTCAGTACTAAAAAAATCTAAAATTTTCATTTTCCCTCAAGAAAAATTTCAACCATACATGCACCCTTAATATAATAATTGCAAATATGTTTCTATACTCCCCCTGCAAGGAACAAATATATATTCCGTCATCAATAACGAAGAAAACATGATTTTATGGAATATTATGCACAAAGCAAATGAAGGAGAGCTTGTATAATAAGTCACAGAGTTGCCAATTTGTATTTGATTGATCACAACTTCAATAATTCATAACTTTCTTATTTTCATTCAGAATTTGCTCAAACTTTCACTCACCTGATTTTCTTATTATTCTGCCTCTATCGAAACAAACTTATTTTGGGGGTGGACTTTCCCTTTAATAAGAGTAATGATGGTAATGATGATAGTAATAACAATTATTTCTGATGATATTAATCATAATCACAATATTAGCAATAATAATGATATGAACAGAACCAATATACAGCCTAATTGATAATGGTATGATGTTGATGATAATGATGATACAATTATTGATACATTATTTTTACTCGCCGGGTGGTATCACGTCTATTGTATTGGGATCAGTTTGTGTCCTGGGTGCGTAGTGGCATTTGTAAAGTGCGTTAGTCGTGCAAGTAATACAAATGAGACGCGATAGATATCACGAATGCGTTTTCTATTAAAGTGTGCACACTTATACTTTATATAATTATAGTTTATGCACCATCTTCACTCCCTGGGGATTTTTTATTTTTATGTACACTGTGGTGACCTTGAGTTCATAGCAAAATAAATCATAAACAAGCGATGTATAACAACTTACATATTTTATATTTCAACATTATGCATTTTGTTTCCACATTTAAGACACTTTTCCTATGTTTTTCAATTAAAATAGTTTATTATTTTACCATAAATGAAGGAAAAGTGTATTGATGACATACCTCTCTCTGATGCGATACTTCGCAACAGCGGTCAAATGTCGCTTGAGGCACTTCTTCTGTATTTCGTACCGACATTCATCCCACAGTTTTATGAGATCGGATCCATCTCGAAACGATCCAATCTGTCATGACAAAAACAAGAGGGACTTTTAGATTTGCACGACGGAGAACGTGGACTGCCCTTTTAAGGCAATGTGACGTCACTGCCAGTGCCTTAAAAGGACGTCACATTGCCTTAAAAGGGCAGTCCACGTTCTCCGTTGTGCAAATCTAAAAGTCCCTAGTAATTATACAATGTTCCCCATTAAGTTGGAATAATATTTCATTACCTATTTTCGTGAAGTGATTGTGACAATGAGTTTTTATTCTTGATGGATAAAGCGTATATCTTCTCAGAACTTTATTGATCGATCTAAAAAGTCGCAGTGATTAATCAATACAGTTCTGAAAAATCATTATAAACTTTATCTATCGAGAATAAGTCATATTATCACAATCATTTCATGAAAAGTGGTAAGAATACCTATTGCAGGTTTATGGGCGACAGTGATAACCCATTGCTTATCCAATACATGAAAGTACTTTTAGCCATGTTGACAATTAACCCCCCCCCCCCCCCCCTTCCCCGGAGAAAGTCCATTCAAGTTGCAGTATTATACAATAATCCGACAATCCAATCTATAATGAAATAATACAAATTATATTAATCGATGATAATCCATAGACGTATACCAAACACAACTGGCGAACAACTCCTCACCCCCCCCCCCCCCCCCCTCCCCCGGCGCTAAAAGTAATTCAGTTCAGGTTGGACTTCGCTCTTCAATCATCACACGGTTTTGAAAGATCGGATCCGTGCCATATCAATCTAATCTCTTATAAGAAAATAAGAATTCCTTCAATCGTTATTCATTCATCATCAGGGGCGTAGACAACGGGGGGGATGAGGGGGATGGCATGTACAATCATCCCCCCCAGGTTTTGGGGAATGATATTTGCTTACTTAATAAGTCATAATGATGATAATAATAGTAATAATAATAATGATAACAATTATAATATTAATAATAATAATACTTATGATGATGATGATAATAATAATCCTCATCATTATTGTAATTGTGTTTATTGTTATTAGCCGCATTCACACGGTGAAAGCCAATTCAGACGGTAAAAAAAAAGAAAATCTTACAAGTATTTTGTGGTTATCTTGTGGTTTGGAAACCACAAGATAACCACAAGATTAAACAGGCGCGGATCTACGGGGGGGGGGGGGTTAGGGGGTTTAAACCCCCCCCCCCCTTGGGCGGCCCAAAAAACAAACAAAACAAAAAAGGAAAAAAAAAGGAAAAAAAAAAGGAAAAAAGAAAGAAAAAAGAACGCACGCTGGAGAGAAACCCTTTCAAGTGCAAATATTGTGAGAAGATATTCAACTCATCTGGTAACTTAACCAAACACATGATAACTCTGGATATAACTGTGTTATTAACTGTTACTTGATTTAAAAAGACGTTATCATGCACTGCTTTTTATGGTCTCCATTGTGTTAATAGATGCCAGGAAAACATCACTTACGGGGTTAAAATAAACACCCCCAAAAAAATCGGCTCGCCGCTTCGCGGCTCGTGGACGATGCTCCGCATCGTCATTATTGGTCAATCCCCCCCTTAGCAAAAAGCTAGATCCGCCCCTGAGTCATCCCCCCCAGGTGTACGAACCTGTCTACGCCACTGTTCATCATTCATTATTCCGTTCCTTCCATCCTTCTGTCATTCATTCATTTTGATTCATTTATTTACGCATTTAATCACTCGTTCATTCAAAGTTCATTAATTTTATTCATTCACTCGATTCATCCTTTCATTCATTTATTCATCTTTTCACCCATTGACTATCATTATGTTTGTTTTATATAGTATAATGTTAATCATTCATCACATTTGGATCTAGATTACTTTATCATGGTGTATTTATTTTAGTGCAGTGGGAATAAATGTGTCTTGCGTATTTTCATGATAAACTCTATATCTTCTCGGAATGTATTGATCAATCTAAAGAGTCAAAGAGATACGAAAAATATGTGAGAGATTATAAACTTTATATATCGAGAATAAATCATATTGTCAAAATCATCTCTTGAAAAATAGGTAAGTAAAATATTATTCCAACTTTATGGGCAACGGTATATTTGTAAACATCAAATTTAAAAAAATGAAATGCATTGCAGATGCATGCTGTTTTTTGTTTTTGTTGTTGTATGGTTTACTCTATCAATACAATAAACATAAAGGCTACCTCAATTAATCGACACGCATGCTGGAAGTTTCCCTTCGCCTTCGCGTTCATGATCTCCGCGCGCAGGATCGACTCGTTGTCGCGGTAGTGCTCGATGAACCCCGCGAAGACCTCTTCGAACAGCGTGTCGATCTCGGCCCATCGCTTCGCCTTCAGTAGCTCCTGACATATCGTAGAGGCCAGGCTGATGACCGTGTGATCGGGAGGGCGTTTGTTGTCTAGGGAAATGTGGTAGAGTAGGGCGTCGATGTATTTTCGGACGTCGATCGTCGTTTCTATTCCGAAAATGAAGGAAAAAAAGTATTTAATGATGATATCACTACTCTATTACAACTGCTACTATTACTACTACTAGGGCCTACTACTATTTTCTTGTCAATATCACCTTTATTGTGAAGAAAACAAAACACAAAATATTCCAGGTTACATATTTTAGATAACACTGGACAGTATATATAATAATAATGAAAGACATATTACATAACATACTAGACCTTGAAACATAAAATATACATAGTAACAACTTATTTTTCACAAAACAAATTGGAACACAATGGGGGTAAACAGGGTTGAAATCAAAATGTTCCATCTTTATAAAACTTCAACTCGAGTTAAGGTTATGATATTGCAAAATTGAACGTAATGTTTTGACATTCGAAGCAAAGCTGATAATGATAATAAATAGCATAATAATCAGGGATAGTATTAGTAATGAAGATGACTGAGTAAAAAAAGAAAATTCAAAAGATGTTTATTAAAACTCCTCCAAGCAGACGGCTTGTCCTGTCTAACCAAGACCTAGACCTGATATTGTTGGTTGTTCCACCGTGACTACAAAATTGATAAATGTCAGTTTTATCAAAGAATTCCACATACCAGACGGTTATTTCTGTCTAGTAATAAAATGTGTTTTGGTTGCCTTCTTTATCTTACTTAGTTTAGACCAGAATTGGACTAGATAATGAATGTGTGTCTTCACTTTCAATGTAGACTTTGCAAGTACGCTTAATCTTGCAAAAAATAAGAAGCTCAGTGGCCCGTCAGCCCGTCAGTGGTAGTTATCTAGTCTCGTCTCGTCCAATTATCATATCACCTTTATCCGTGTTTAGGTAAGATTGATATTGATAATATCGTGGTTGAAGATGATATCAACAATTTCTTGTGTAACATACTTACCTTCCATGGTTGTTAATTCCATTTTGTAGATTATCTGGTTATCGTCTGTTTCTAATCAGAATAGTTCGTTGAGGTTCAGGGGACGTACTCTTGTTTCTGATTCTATCCTCAACTTCAAATATGTAACTGTCATTTGCAGATTCCTTTCAATTTTCAGAGCGAATCTTGAGTCTAAACTTGATATCAACGTCAAAATATCTCCATGCATGTCAATGCCCTCGTTTATTCATCAAGTTCACGATGTGTCGCAACACCGCGCGCACGTTAGACTGTGAAAAACATAAAAAGAAAGTTACACAATACACCGCACCACCCACCCGGTACGCGCGCACGAGGCTACGATTGGGGGTCAAATACCACACCTACATCAAACAGGTGGTGGTCGCATTGTTCTGGTTGGAAATCTACCCGCGTGGAATTCGCGTAGTCGAATTATAATTCCAGTGCGCGCGGATGACCTTTTATTATCGATTGCTTCGTGTTTCAGTGTCGCCTGCGCGGACTAGTGATTCAAGTTATTGGTTTAGGGAATGTTGACAAGAAAATTATTGAAAAAAGTACACGTTCCACATAAAGGTTATAGGCTAGATGTGAAGGTTAGCTGCTTTCTCCCCCAACCCCTCCCCCTAAAAAATATTGGAGACAGGAAGACATAGGAGAGAGAGAGACGGAGATAGAGAGAGCCCGGGGAAAAAAAGGGGGGGGGGTACTCACATATTAGGACATACTGTGGTGTGCCGCTCTAATGGGTCACTTTTTCACACAAAAATCCTTAAACGTGAGTCCCACTTTTAACAAAAATACCATTAAATATCGGTCTACCCGAAAATTGTGAAAATGACCCAACATGACCTCTTATAATGGGTAGGGGTTTTGAGGCTTGAGCGGCACACCCCGTCCAAACCAAATCAGAGTACCCCCCCCCCCCCCCCGAGAGAGAGGGGGGGGGCGAAGTGAGAGCTAAAGAGATGGAGGGAGAGAGAGACGGAGAGAGAGAGAGAGAGAGAGAGTGACGGAGAGAGAGAGAGTGTGACGGAGAGAGAGACGGAGAGAGAGACGGAGAGAGAGACGGAGAGAGAGACGGAGAGAGAGAGAGTGACGGAGACAAAGAGATTGAGATGGATTGAACAAGAATACCGAGTAGAGAAGATTATTATAAGGCCTAACAAAAAAGATGTATTGCCCTTTTGGTCCCCGCACCTGGGGTCGGTCGGTCGATTCTTTTAATATAATTTGTTTGTTGTTGCTTTTCTTCCCTTTGGTCTGATATTTTTTTTAAATAGTTTTTACTGCATTTATACATATATTATGATTCATCAAACAATTTTTTCTTCTAAAAACTGGTTTAAAAAAAATTAATACAAAGCCAACCGTAGATTTTTACAATTTTGGGGTCGGTCACAAAGGAAAATACAACGACTTTTTGTTAAAGCCTAATATTGAAGCGCCATGCAGGCAGGAGTGGTAATGTGCCAGACATGTGCGCTATACAAAACTTCACTTTTATTATTTTCATTATTATTATTGTTATTGATATTAACATTACTTTAATTATAATCATCATTGTTATTATCATTATTATTATAGTTGTTGTTTACTATTATGCAATTATTTAAAATCAGTATTAGCAATAGAAGATGAAAGAATGAAGAGTATGAGAAATGGGGAGGAAATGAACAAGAAGGAAAAGGAGGAGGGGGAGAAAGAGGAAGAGAATCTAAAAACATTTGTGATTGCCTGCTCGATCCTTGCTTGTATACCTCTTTTTTATTGCGGGGAGGGGAGGGGGTGTCCCCATTCTTTCGGTTTTTCAATATTAAGATTATCTTTACTGACTTTCATAGCATTTCTAATATACTCTTTGATTTTCTGTTATATTTTCCTTTCTTGGTTACAAATTTGGAGTTATTACTTACATAATTCAGGGCGCTTCGTATCCGAGTTTTTTGTTCAAACCACATGTAACTTACAATTACTTACAAGCAAACCAATTGATTTGATATATTAAATTATCTAAAATACGTTTATCTAAAATACCTTAGTATTAGCTTTGGTATGATCATGTTTCGTGTAAACAATACTTACTAATATGTGAAATATGAAATATCAGAAGTGGAAAACCAATTTGAACAAAACTGAAACGGAACTGTCCTTCCCCTACAGTGTGATGGCGCTATCCATGCAGTGCGCTGCACGACAAGACTTCCCCTGTGTGCTTTCTCTGGCTCTTGTGTATGTGTGTGGTTTGGTTTAATTGGTCCGCGTTCAAAATAATGCATAGACACTCATGTTCGTCATCCAGAAAATGAAATAGTGTAAATATCGTCATCAACAACAACAAAGTCAACAAGACACGTTTTCGTATAAGAGTATAATTATTGACATTCTGATGATAATGATAATAATATATTACATTTTTATATAGCGCTTATAAATGTCTCTAAACGCTTTACAAATATACTATATGATATATGATTAAAAACATGTCTAGAAGGGCGGGGAGGGGGGGGGGTCACAAGACATATCGAAAGACAGTGGTGGATCCATGATTCTCTTCGGGGGAAGGGGCAGCAGAAGTCGGCAGAAGTCTTTAAAAAAAATTATCCTCTGATATGTAAGCAAGAATATTTTTTGTTAAGGTTCCAATAAGATATTGAATCGCCCTTTAGTTGCTTTTGGCAAAGCATTTGCTTTATCGTGCTTCATGGGTATTTAAAAAAAATATACGAGAATTACATGCAGTTTTGCTGGTGGGCACCCCCCCCCCCCCCCCCCCCCCCCCCTTATATCGTATCGGCTAAAAGAGAGAGAGAGAGAGAGAGACAGACAGACAGACAGAGAGAGAGACAGAGACAGATATAAAGCGGGGTGGATACAAGTAAGATGCTAGACTATATAAACGCCCCACCCATTCTCTGATATAGAGACCTAGGGCTATCCACAAGAGTTGCAAATAATGATGCAATGGTTAAAAATTAATAATCTTGGAAAATGTCCCGTGTTCAGCAAGCCTATGCTGCAAAACATTGAACCTCAATTCAACATCGGTCCCTCTGAGAAGTCTCAAATTCCTACGCCTTCAAGATTTCTTCTTTTTTTTTTTGGATTACTTTAGTAAAACAGAAGTTGTTCCATCAAGGTACCCATAACAAATGAAAAACAATACGAAGAAAAAAGACAATTACCATACCTTCAAACTGTTCGAAAGGATTCTCATTATGAAATTATTCAAATTAATATTAGAGTATTCATTAGAATATATTTTAAAACTGCCCCGTATACGCCTTTCTCTTATTTAGTCTTGTATATTCTATTCCAGTAAAACCTACAGGTTTTTGTTCTCTCTCTCTCCTTTTATTTTCTCTATTTTATTTTTTCATACTTGTTCTGTGGCTTTTTAAACATCATTACTGTTGCATACCTTGTCTCTGTTTTATTTGACAATTTCCCAGGTGATCGCCACCTCTTCACCTCATACACCTATTTTGTTTACTACACTTAACCCTTATCTACAACCTCCCCGCCCCTTATTTTATACCTCTATCCACCGGTTCTAGGACACCTACCCCCTGGACAACCACCCTCTGGTTAACCACCCCTAGTCAACAACCCCCTATAGCACAACTACCCCCTAGGGCAACCACCCTCTATAGGACGACTAAATGTCCAAGATCGGTTGAACTTTTTTAGACCCCTTTTTTTTTACCTCGATCGATTACATGTATGTGCCCCCCCCCCCCCCCCCCCCCTCCAAACATCAAACTCTGGCTACGTGCCTGCCTAGCGGTAGTTGTCCTGGGGTAGTTGTCCTAGGGGGTAGTTATCCTAGGGGGTAGATGTCCTAGTTCCTAGGGGTGGTTGTCCAGGGGTAGGTGTCCGGATACGCTCCTCATCCCCTCCTCATTCCCTCCCTATCCCCTCCCCACCCCGTTTTGTTTCCGTTGTCAAGTATCAAAAACTTTCATCCAATCAACTTTTAAACTCTCACTGATCACCTGACCAGCTGACCGGAAGGTTCCGATAGCTCGTCTACGACCAGCCAGCTGAGCAGCGATCGATATTGCATGTAAACAGTCTAGCTAGATGCAGATGTGAGCGGTAAGGCACTTCTTAATTGCTGCAACAAATGATGATTTTTATCTATCTTTCTTGAAATCAGGTATGTAAGGTGGCCTTAGTTTGATAATATTGAGTTATTGTTCGTTTCTGTCGAATGCCAAGGTCCTGTCATTCAGTGATAAGCCAATTGTTGAGCATTTTGTATTTGGTCGGACGAGTCTTTTGTTTGTGCTGGCATGACACGGCCGAGCAAGCCATGACATTGGCATTGCATTGTGATTGTGATGGTTTTAGTACACGTACGTTGCATGCATTTAACAATACATACCGGTAGTTCTGCACGTAAAAATGCCGAGCTTTTAGTTTTGGCTGTACTCTGTAGTCGCATGCACTGTGCATGTATGACTGAGGTGGACGGGATTTATTTGCTGGAAGGAACATATGTTCAGCCTTTGAATAATGGCTGGAGTGGAGTGGGGGCTAGGACTATAGAAAGTCGAAGTGTTTGACTGTTGTCCATCTCATGTTTGTTGTTTGTTTGTTTGTTGTTGTTTTGTGTTTTTTTTTTTTTTTTTTTTTTTGGGGGGGGGGGGGGGGGGGGGGGGGGTGTTATACTGTTAAGAGGCTGCATCTTGATTGCACATGTTTCATTCAATGTTTGTTAAAGGGGGTGTAGCATGGCAAATACTTGTTAACGTGAACGCATGGTTTTGATACACCGTCAGCGTGCTCTAGCGTTCGCGAAACAGACTGAAGTTCGATCTCCTTTGCGCTTCGGTTATACTACAAGATTTCTTAAAAATTACTGACAATAACCCTAACTGGTTGGTTGGGTCATTAATTGCCTTACCAATTGGGACTCTAGCGCATTGACTTTGTTTTGAACTCGGGACCTCCCAATTGCGAGACCACTGCTCTTCCTCCGAGCCATCGCAGCTCCTTAAAGCCTGTCTGCACTAGTTTGGCCAGGAGGGATTAGACCTTCCTGCATGGTCACTGACGGGTGGTTATCTCATCAAATCAGCTCTCAATTAACATAAAGGGGACCATGGGGGACCAACGGTCATCGATTACATTAGGCATTGTTTGCTATAATAACAATGATAATAATAATGAATAATAACTTAGGCTTCTATTGCTCATTTCATTGTCAGAGAAAATAACAATGCACTTTACAACAATAAAACAACAAAATTACACATAACTACTAATTCATGAACTAAAGACGTATCAAAACAAAAATCATCATGAACATCAATTACAGAGAAATGAAAGATATACACTGTAGAGGGCGCAAGTAACTTTAAGTAGTGCAGTGGGGCTTTAAGAGACACACTATCTTATAAGGTTATCCAAGAATCTTCAAGATGACAGGAAGCAGACTATTTCTAAGGGTGCGTTCAAGCTATTTTTAAAGCTAGAATCACAAACATGAATCACAAATCAAAACACCTTTAAAAAACATGGTTACTGCGGGAGAGCGTTCAAGCAATTTTTCATCAACGCTGATTCTCGCTCATTTCAAGCCCACCCACTGCCCATCACGCTGTGCAGTTTGACACAGGAAGTATAGGTCAACTTCGCCGAATGCTTTCTGAATTTGTTTACGGTCGACTGTCGGCCAAACCGGAAGCAGGCCACGATAGTGACGTTATGGAATCATGAATGAGATGCTCAAAATAGATTGTGAAAGTCATTGTACTTTATTCTTTACAATAGCATTTTGGACCATTTATAAATTGATTGTTAAACAAAATATAACTGAGATAGACAAGAGAAAAGTTGCTTCTAAACAAAATTTCCATAGAGAAATTATGAAAAGAATGGAAAGTAAATCAAACATAAAGATGACCAGAAAGCTTTTCCCAAAAGAATTGTTAGGTGTTATTTAAGAAAAAAAAGAAAAAAAGAGAGGGAAAAGTATAATTTTTATGTTAATTATGATTCAATTGCTTTGCAAAGAAAAATTTAATTTCAATTCTCTGTTATGATAATAATAATGTTTTTGTGATTATGTAAATTTGATATGTAGTATTGTATCTTTGAATGTAACCATGTATATATCAATAAATCCTCTGATGAGGCAAAGAGAAAAAAAAAATGATTGAGATCTCCGTTCGTTCAACTGATTTTTAGCAACCATGATTCTGCAGTCTGATTCCTTTTTTTTCAGCATTTCGTGTTTGCATTTTTAAACATGGAAACAAATTGTTTCAAAATCGTTGAACGCAACCGTGTTTTAAACTAAACGTCTTTGAAAACCGTGTTCTAGGGTGAAAAAGTGTCTCTTGAACACACCCTAAGAAGAAGAAGAACATGGTCAGTGAAGCAGATTTAACTGTCTGTATGAGGGCCTTAATCTGATAATGATAGATTTGACAAAGGAGTAAATCTTGGTTGATGACATAAAGGGTAATTTGGTTCTTATAAACCCTTTCTTTTCTTAAAAAGTTGGTCAGCAGATTACTGGTCATGGGTAGGTACATGTACACTGTAATGCATTCATTGGAACCCTTGTGTAGGTACTATACACTGCACATGTACATGTATGTACACTACACTTTAGGTCCAGGAGTTAATGATACGTCTTCTTAAACTCTTTTCCTTTAATATAATCATTCTAAAAGCTCTACACTGTCTCATAGCTGTTGAGTGGTACATCGTACAATTTTCACTCACAAGTCTGTTGCAAGATAAAGCTGCATGACTGTACTGACAGCATCTTGAAACATCAGGGTGGTGAAGAAAGTAACTCTGGTCAGCTGATATTGCAGTTGCAGGAGGCAGTGAACTCTATTATTAAAAGAGAAGCGATTATTTGTTGATTGGTGGTATTCCTTACAAAATGTGGAAAGCAGGATTGTAGTGGGCGTGCAAGCATCTAATGTACATGTACCTGCAAGAACCTTGAACCTCTGAGACTCCAAAACTCAGTGGCAAGCCTTGTCTTCTCTGCTCCTCTTCGGACTCGCATACAACCTCTTCGACTTGAACTCCATTGGCTGCCTGTACGACAGAGAATAGCTTTTAAGATCCTACTACTGGTCTACAAGTCTCTTAACCACCTATGTCCCCCGTACATAGCTGACTGCTTGGTTCGTCGTCCTCGAGTCCGAAATACCCGCTCATCATCATCCATCTGGCTCACTCAGTGTCTCTCTAAGAAACGTGCTGGTGAATTGTCTTTTCCATCGGTTGCTGCAAAACTGTGGAACCAACTACCTACTGCTGTGCAGACGGCCTCATCTGTTGACCAGGGGCGGTATTCTGAACCCTGTGTTATCTCTAATATTGTTGTATCTTTGGAGATAAGATAAAGTTGGTATTCTGAACATTGTTGTAACTTTTGTGTTATCTTTTGTTGTATCTTTTCTCTCATCTTATTGGCCGCGCCTGCGCTCATACTTTGGTGCGCTTGTAATTGTGCGTATTATTAATAAAGTGGCATTTAATCCTCATTTGCATATGCGCACGGGAGATAATATGTCGAGATAATTGGTATTCTGAAAGTTGTTGTATCTTTTATCTTATCTTATCTTTCATGGTATTTACAACAATATTTACAACAGGTAGGGGGCTGTTGTATCTTTCGTGGTGATATAATGGCGGCAATATTTTTTGCCCAGAACCAACTTCTTGCCAATAGACGAGTTAGAAAAACATTGTGTGTCGACCGGAAACATCACAGATGAGAACTTTTTAAGAAATTACATGCTAGAATATGACGATTTTATAGTGCTCTCATCTCAACCAATATAGTGAAAGCATTTGTCTTCATGATCCACATGCCACAGCGCATATCAAAGACGCGCGTACTAAATGCTCAAAAACCTAATTACGCCCAAGATTAGTATGCGCTAGGCGCATCTTCAGATATGGCATAAAGTATTCCTATTGGTTGACCTACTTATCATGCTTATATAAAACAGATTTTGATTGGTAGGGTCCATAGAAATGGGCGTGTCAACAGTGGTAAAAGATAAGATAGAGGCGGTCCTTCTAGAGATAACACAGGGATAAAACAATGTTCAGAATACCAACTTACAACAATATTAGCGCTGTGTTATCTCTGGAAGATACAACAAAAGATAACACAAAACTTACAACAATGTTCAGAATACCACCCCAGTTCAAGAAACTACTCAAGTAACATCTATTCTGCTAGAAATTATTTTTTACCAGCCTACATGTACCTATGCTTTACTGATCTCTGAGAAGTGTCTAACTTTCGTTTTTAAGTGGCCCAAACATTGTGGAGCGTGTGTGCAGCGCTTTGTAACTGCAAGGAAAAGGCGCTATATCAAATATCTTTTGGATTGGATTGGATGGACACTGACATGTGGTGCCTTTGTTGGATGAGTTTCTAGTTTTATTCTTTGCAAACTCTTGGAACAAGACCTGCAGTGGCTGTGTAATTTAACCTTCTGCACGATTCATTGAGCGGTTACCGGTACTCTAAGATATTTCGCATTTGCTGAATGATTTGTAGCCTTTTGCTACAAGACGTGTGCATATCATCTGTAACCCACAAGTCACTACCCAGAAGTCACTACATTGAAAAGAAAAAAAGTTTGTTTTTTTTCCCATTAGAAAAGAAAATGGATCAGAAAGGAAAGAAAGATGAGCAGATAAGTAAGGCAGAGGAAGAAAAGGAAGAAGAAAGTTTTGCTGGGATGGAGAATAAAGAGAAGGAGATAGAAACAAGAGATATGTCTATGGAGGAAGATACGCTTGGAGAGGAGGAGGAGCAGGGAGATGGAGAGAAAGATAAACCAGAAGAATCAATGGAAAAGGAAGGAAACAGTTTTGATGGAATGGAGAATAAAGAGAAGGAGATAGAAGCAAGAGATATGTCTATGGAGGAAGATACGCTTAGAGAGGAGGAGGAGGAGGGAGATGGAGAGACAGGTAAACCAGAAGAATCAATGGAAAAGGAAGGAAACGGTTTTGATGGAATGAAGATTAATGAGAAGAGGAACGAAATAAAAATTATGGAGGAAGACGAAGAAAGGGAAGGGGAAATTCTTGATGCGATGGAGAATAAAGAAAAGAGGATAGAAACTACATCTGTTAAGAAAGATACCCATAGAGAGGAGGAGCAAGCAGAACCAGAAGAATCAAAGGAAAAGGAAAGAAACGGTTTTGATGGAATGAAGATTAATGAGAAGAGGAAAGAAATAAAAATGATGAAGGAAGACATAGCGGAAGAGGGAGAAAGGGAGAAAGACAAAAGAGAAGAATCAGACAGTTTTGCTCAAATAGAGGAGGAAGAGAATGAAATGGACAAGAAGGGTGCGCAGAGTGAAAAGGACAGGAAAGAAGACGAGAAGAACGTGGAAACAGAAGAAGAGAAAGACGAAGAAGACGACAGTTCAATAGTTACTATTCCATCTTGGATCTTTGAAGATGCGAATAGCCAGCAAGATGATGTTACACGTAAGCTCATTAATATGCAGTCATTGAAAATCGGCTGACCAATAGAAATAAATATGTAACATTTACAATATGCCATGGGTCTATTTGTTACTGTATGAAATCAGGGGGGGGGGGGGAGGGGGGGAGAGAGGAGGGGGCGTGAAGTATTTGTTTGTTTTTCTTCCTCGGGCATTGCTTGATTATTTTCCCATTAAAATATATTTGGGCAGGGGTAGTGAGGAGGGGAGGGGGGGGAGGGGGTAGTAAACATTTTCATATTCATTTCTCATGGCAATATGAATACAGGAATCCTTTTAAAGCCCCACTACACTACTTATAGCTTCTTGCGCCCTCTATATACATGTAGCAAACGATGCCTAATCGGTGCCTGTTGCCCCCCCCCCCCCCCCACCCATAATCTCCTTTTTTCTTATTAAACAAGAGCTGGTTTGATGAGATAACCACCTGTCAATGACCTTGCAGGGAGGTCTAATTCCTCCTGGCCAAACTGCAGACAGGCTTTAAATGGATGGACGCATTCCTCTCAGCGGTAGGACTGTGTTATTAGTCAAACAATCAATTGAAATGCAACTGAAGTTTGTTTGTTCTATGACGCATGCACACCACTCTGCAGTGGAAGCCGGATTTCAACAATGAAGGTTGAATTGATTCAAAATTTCAGAAGATATTGCAATTGCATGTGTATATCGTGTTTGCTTTCACTTTTGCCATCCAAAAACATCATGTTTTGTCAATGTACTTGATTTTATCTGTATGTCATGTTTGAATAGATCTACGATAATTTGACTAGAAATTTCAGAAGATATCGCATGTGAATATCGTGTTTTGCTTTCACTTTTGCCATCCATAATTATAAACATTATGGTTTGTCAATGTACTTGATTTTATTTATGTCATGTTTGAACAGATCTGCAAAAAAAATTAACTTTCGTTTTCAAATCTCCTCTCTTCTTGCCTGTGTTTGACCATGGTTGTAATGAGATTCACACAGCACATTGCTTTCATCATGCGATCATGAGTGTCGTAAACTGACATAATGGCTATAACAATTTCTATACACGATATCCTGTTCAAAACATGCTGCTCTGGTGTATGTTGGGTTGTACACTTTTTTTTTGTATAAATGTTGACATGAAATTGGTAACTGCTCGCAATTATTTTGGCCAGAGTCTATGGCAAATAAGTGCTATTGTATCAAATTGTGTCCAGACTCCAAATGATGTAATGTTTTTCGACACCTCTTCACTGTACAAAAATTGATGATTTTATACCGGCACAAGTTAAATTAAAAAAGTTAAATTAAAAAGGTACCGGTAAATAAAAAAATCATCATCTTTTGTATCCATTGGAGAAGAGGTACTGTACATGTATAGATTTAATAGAGTTCCATACATGTTGTATGTCATTGCACAGAAAATGAGAATATGATACCAGCTAGTTCTGAAATGAATTTAACGTTTTTTTATGTAAGTTCTGAAATGAATTTAACGTATTTTATATAAGTTCTGAAATGAATTTAACGTTTTTTAATATAAGTTCTGAAATGAATTTAACTCTTTTTTTTATATAAGTTATGAAATGAATTTAACACATTTAAATAAGTTCTGAAATGAATTTTAACGGTTTTATATAATTTCTGAAATGAATTTAACAGTTTTTTTTTTAAGTTCTGAAATGAATTTAACATTTTTTATTATAAGCTTTGAAATGAATTAAATGTTTTTTATATAAATTCTGAAATGAATTTTTATATTTTTTAAAATAAAAGTTATGAAATGAATACCATGTTTTTTTTACATAAGTTCTGAAATGAATTTACCGGTAATTTTTTTTTATAGAAGTTCTGAAATGAATTTAACTTTCTTTGACAGGAGGAGCCAGTCGTTCATCATCGACCGAAGTTAAGATGGAGTCTCCCCGATGCAGATGTTGCTCCTCGTGGCATCCCTGGTTCTTCATCGGTCTAGGGTGGCTACCCATCATGGTCGGACTCCTTCTCTGCCTCAGCATCGTCATTCCGTAAGTACAAATCAATCAGTATTACCTGACTCAAATTGGCAGCAATAGAGTTTGGTTTCATTCGTTCATACTTGAGATAAAAAGAAAGTGTATTACCTGCACAAATGATGGTTCTTAGATACCTGTGGATTAATTTGTAGAGGATCACCCAAAGGACTATTTAGGTCTAATTAAAAAAAATATATAAAAAAAGATCATAAATTTTAGCTCCTCAAATTGCCACCTGATTCTGAATATATGGAAATTAAATGATCTACGATGTGGTATCAATGACTAATAAAAAGTGCAAATTGATTAACCCACTAAAAAAAGTTCAGAGGTCTGAATAAATCAGGTCCCTGTTTCATAAAACTTGTTATCAATAACAAGTTTCAATAACTGTTATAAGCTACTGAAATTGTGGTATTTGATTGGCTGAGAGCAAATTTGTCATAGAAATTTAGCATTTGTTATTGATAACAAGTTTTATGAATCAGGGCCCCGCTTTGCCTCCTCAAGTTGGCGCCTATTTTATTGCATTTTTGTCCTTCACTCATACCAGGGAGAAAAGTGCTATTAAACAAAACTAATGAAACAAAATGAAAACAAAACACACTTCGGCTTCTTCAAATAGGCACAGTACATGCACATGTATTTTATTTTACTTTCACTTTCAGATTACATTCCAAGGACAATATTAAATGATCAAGTACCATATGAGTGTTTAATGACCAATGAAAAGTCCAATGAAAATATCCAGAGGTCATAGATCAGTTTCACCTCTTGAATTTGCTTTTTTTTTTTTTTCTCTCTCTCTCTCTCTCTCTCTCTCTCACTTTCTCTCTCTCTCTCTCTCTCTCTCTCTCTCTCTCAAACCCTCTCTCTCTCTCTCTCTCTCTCTTATTTTCTCTCTCTCTCATTTTCTCTCTCTCTCTCTCTCACTTTCTCTCTCTTTCTCTCTCTCGATCGATCTAATATTGCACGTTCATATCTAGTCAAAACCAGTGTGCATCAAATGTTGAATTGCCAATAGTATACCAATAGTGAATGGCCATGAGTGCAATGGTACAAGATTTTGCACGAGGTATTTTCTCAGTATTTTCAAATTAGAAATTTGATAGATCTAAACAGTCCAATGAAAATTTCCAGAAGTCAAATAAATCAGTAGAGTACTTGAGTAAATGTCTACAGAAACTGAATCTAGTTTTTATGTAATCTACATGTATAAAAAGTTTTTTATTACTACAAATATTTAAAGGGGCATTGATTTATTATTGTCTTTCAAATTTTAATGCAGGTAGTTTGTACATGTAGATCCTGCTCTGTACATTGATATTTTTATAGCTCCTTTGTTTAAAAGGAAGTTAGCTTTCTGGTCTATTGGGTTTTGATAGCCTTGTTTATCGTGAAAGGAACCTCTCGTGAACTTTGTATTTCAGTTTCTATTTCACTTTCTATTTCCTTCAGATACTGTATAGCTGTTGGCTTAAAACACGTGTCACCGGGGTTCCCCTATATCAGGTAAGCACTAGTCTGTCTGCAAGGCTCAACATTCATTTTTTCTGGTGATGGTTTTGATGGTTTGTTTTTACCTGATGACTTAAAAAGCAGTTAAGGGGGGGGGGGGGGGGGAGGGGATTAAACAAATATATATTAATTTATAACGTGCACATATCCAAAACTTTCGGATCTAGGCCTCCCAATTAATGAATATGCAAGTTACATAGAAAATAGCTGAACAGATAATCTACAATAACGGTGTTCACATGATGGCAATTTTGGTCGGCGTAAAGGTTGTGTTTTAATAATAATAACAATAATAAACAATGAAAATAATAATCTTTTAAAGTCCACTCCTAATTTTATTAAGTTAAACCGAAAATGGAAATTCTTTTTGCCCAATTGCTTGTGAGCCCGGCAGCCACTGAGCAGCGCCAGCTCGACGTTGCTCTATCCCTTAGGGCTAGTCGGCGTAAATATGGTAAGGTCTGAACGATAGTCATGTTAAATAGCTATGCCCACCTTTACGCCGACTGATTTACTCCTGAATTTTTGCAGGAGTAACACGCTAACACGACTAGAGGGTAGCGTAAGTTGACCGTGTGGATGCTCTCACTTGGCACTCAGAGTATCTGTGACTTTTCACAAGGGTTGTTTGTTTACAAAAATAAAAAATGAAAATTAGATTTTGCGCAGTTTAGATGCGGAAGCTGGGTTGAGGTCTACTAATGCGAGCGCCACCACTTTTGGAAGTTACGCTGTGTAAGACTGGGTCGTTGGATGGACGTGTTAACTTAATCATGCCAAGTTGGTCGGGGTAAGAGCATATGGACAACTAACGGTGTAAGTCAAATATTTATAGAATATTTATTGCTACAGGGCTAAATACACCGTCTGAACATGGCTATATTGTGAAAGTCAAATTTTAGTGAAACAAATATGTTTTCAGCTGTGTTTAGAATTGTTCTATGGAATCTAACTTCCTGAGATAAGAAAGCTAGGAAAGTGTTGGTCTGCAGGCATATACATGTAGAAACAATTTTGACACTTAACAGAAATTCATAAAGTTGTAAGCTGAGCCTAACTTTGTCGGTCTACAGACTACAGACTAAACAAAGGCTCAGAAGTGCACTCTACAGCCTTTATTACAATTGAGCTTTTTTTGCCCTGAACTTTCCTATTTAATTGATTGGCCATGTATAGATAACTCACTATCTCTTTATTACTGAAACCAAATAAAGCCTCACAGCAACTTTGCATGTATTTGTGATGTTACTGGTACTCTTGACAGTGACAAGCCTTATCTTTCTTGCTTGTTTGTCAGATGCATGGTAAACTTTTTTAATTCTACAGCCGTATACACTGTAATTTAGATTTATTTAACCCTGAACTTTTCCATAATTGATCGGCCATACAGAAACTTCATTATCTATTATCTGAAAACCAATAAAACCTCTCAGCAATTGCACATGCATGTACATGTCATTTTTACAGGTACTCTTGGCAGTGACAATCAAGCCTTATCTTTTTTCCTTGTTTTTCAGATGCATGCTCAACATTTTGAATTCTACAGCCATACAATTTAGATTTTTGTGCCTTGAACTTACCCATAATTGATTGGCCAAACAGAAACTTCTCTATTGATACTGAAAACCAATGAAACCTCTAAGCAACATTTATTGGCCATACAGAAACTTCACTGTTGATACTGAAAACCAATGAAACCTCTAATACTCTTTTCACACTGGTTTTGCTTAACCCCGTACTTTGCTTAGCCCCGGACTATCCTTAACCCCGGACTATTTTTTTGGCTTTTCACACACGCTGTTTTTAGTCCCGTACTAGCGCCTATTCCGGAATAAGAAAATTCCCGCTGTTCTCACTGCATTTCGTTAACCCCGGATATCGTGTATGTTATGATTGGACATACTTCGCATCTGGCCAGCTGCGATACGCTCCATTTGCGTAGTACCGGACTATTTTTCGTTTCTGTTCTCATTCATTTGCTTAGCACCGCAATTGCGGGGTTAGCAGGAGTTAGCACCACAATTGCGGAGTTAGCCCTGCTATTTTGCAGGGTTAGTTAACCCCGTACTATAGGTGGGGTTAGCCAACTTTAGCCCACTTTGGTAAAAACCAGTCTGAACAGAAAGTGGAATAGGCTTAACCCCGTACTATAGGTGGGGCTAAGACCCCCCTTAACCCCACCTATAGTACGGGGTTAAGCAAAATATTGCCAGTGTGAAAACAGTATAAGCAACTTTACATACATGTACTTGTGATTTTGACTGGTACTCTTGACCGTGACAGCTAGCTAGCCATATCTTTCTTCCTTGTTTTTCACACGCATGTTCAACATCTTGAACATGCCGAGATGTCCCTATGCATGTACATGTATGTACCAGTAACATTTAAAATGCATCATTGAGACCCTTTTAAAAGACAACAATACATTTAAAAGCGCTTGAAAAAAACCCGTCACGGGGAAAAGAAAATGGCATAAAGATATCGTGTGCTCCATATTTCTGCCTGAAAGCGCCTATGATCATTAGGGTAATTCTTTGTTGCACATAGATAAATATAAATACTTTTTACCGCTCATTTACATGTACCGGTACTTGTAAAATATGGTTCCTGTTTTGTCATGATGGATTTTTTAGATGGCTTACTAGGATATGTTTGAATAAAGCTTAATAATTTATGTGACTTCTTCACTATACAAACATCCATTTCTGTTGCATAAAAGCTTTATGGTTTCGCTGCTAATCATCATGATCCTGATTGATTCATTGTTTCCCCTGTAGTGTACGTGCCAAACTTGAAAAAAAAATACAGGTGTGTGCTTTCACAATGCTTGTCCTGAAAATAAAAGGACTTTGGAGTCATGATCCTAGCTACTTTAGGGTTATGACAAAAAAAAATTATCCATGCGATTTTTTTTGGATATAAAGAAGAAGTGAAGATGGAGGAGGATATTGAGGAAGACAAAAAAGATGTAAGAAAAAGAAGAAGAATAAGGAGGAGGAAAAGGAAAAGAAGAAGGTAAGGGAGGGAGGGAGGAGGGAGGGAGGAGGGAGGGAGGAGGGAGGGAGGAAAGAGCTAGGAAGGAGGGGTGGGGAGGAGGAGGAAGGATAAGAAGGAGAAGAAGAAAAAGGAGAAGGAGGAGGAGATGAGGATGAAGAAAAAGATGTAAGAAGAAGAAGAAGCAGTAGAACAAAGGAGGTGGCAAAAGCTTTGAGGAAGAAGAAGAACAAGGAGGAGGAAAAGGAAAAGAAGAAGGTAGAGGAGAGAGGGAGGAAAGAGCTAGGGAGGAGGAGGTGAGGGAGGAGAAGAAGAAGGAGAAGGAGAAGGAGGAGGAGATGACGAAGAAAAAGTAGTAAAAGAAGAAGGACGATAAGAACTAGTGGTATTCATAGTGCAAATCTCAGCACATGTTTCTGTACAGTGCAACAAGAGAAAGAAAGAAGGAAAAGATGAACAGTTGGCCGTATCATGTGCATGCATGAAGTTAATATTTTCTGGATTAGATTGCCACACTTTACACTCGACGTACATGTACATTAATAGTCAGGTATAGTGTAGGATTAGGAGTCAAATTACATCTTTGCTGTGATGTGATATCACAAGTATCATCTTTCACTGCTAGATTTAGAAAAAATCTCACTGTGATTAATGAGCGTGACCGTTTTAAAGGGAAATAAGGCAACAAAATACAAAATGATGTGAATGATAATGATGATAACAATAAAAGTTTGCTTATGTACATGTACAGTATAAACAAAATAGTTAGAATGATAGAGTACTGATCATCATTCCCCCTATAATACAAGATGTAAATGTATTTAATAAAGTATTCAGAGTATATTAAGGGGAAATTCATTTCCTATCAAATCTGAATTGAATTTATGTTGGAATTATTACTTCTGTGTTCATATGTGTACAGGTGCTTCACTAGACACTAGTCATCATTAACTTTCATAAAGCGGGACTGCACTACTTGTATCTACTTGCGCCCTCTATATAGCAAACAATGCCTAAGCGGTAACCGTTGGTCCCCCATGTTCCCTTTTTCTTATTTCCACGCATGTAGGTCGATCCTCCTAGCCAAACTAGTGCAGATAGGCTTTAAGAGTGGATTTAAAACTTGCAATATGTACAGGTACTGTACATGTATCTCTTTGCAGTTCTAAGTATTAAAAATATCCGGTAGTTATTGGGCAGATATTTGATGCACAGTATGGAACCCAAACACACCAAGAAAAATATGTTTTTTAAGTTTTGGTGATTGCACCCTTTAGACATCATGTGTCACAGAGCAAATATACCGTACTGGGATTCCCACAAGTTCAAAGTTTGTGAGCATGATGATATCAAAGTGCAAATAATACCCTCTCATTCGATCCAGAACTTCCCTCTATATAAATACCACAAATAAATATGGGGGAATCATGGCTAAAACTAAGTTAGCTACCTACAGTACCTTGTGTGCTGGTCATGTGATCATGGTCAGATAGTGAAACTGTGCATCATCGTTCTTCCCAAGGTTTTTTCCCCATTATATGAAAAATAGTCTCCTTCTAATCTAATACCTATATATTTGTTGTTCATTTCCTTTAATAGTTGACTATTAAATGTTCCCTTTGAAGAAATTGAAAACTCCTCTAGAAAGAATACAAAAATACCATGATCAGGAACAGTCAAATCATGGTTAAAAATAGGTTTATTTCCTTGTGAGGTTATGTGATCTGACCACATATTGAAACTGTGATATGTTCTTAACTCATATTATTGTTCTTTGAAAGGGACTTTGTAACATTGTTCAGATGATAGAAAACGTTGCTAAGGTAGTGATTTCAATGTTAGATGTACCATTAGAGACAATCAGAAAGTTTCAGTGAAAACAGAGCGTTATTAATAATAAAAATTGGGAAAAACATATTTGATCGATCCCTAAATTCTCCCAACTATACTATTGCAATCAAATTAAATTTTAAGTGAATGTTTATAGGTACGGGGTTCAAATCCCAGCCCGGCACTAACGTCCTTTGGCAAGATATTAATCTACATTTGCGACTCTCCAACCCGGTGTTAAATGGGTACCCGGTAGGATGCGAAAGTTAATGTAGTTTGCTCAGCATTGTGAGCATTTGTAAAATGATGCCTGGCTGGAATGCTCCCCAGGGAGTAGAGAATGTGCATACACTGTGTGTGGGCAAGCCTAAATCCGATGACTGGGGTAATGATATATCCGTAAAGCGCTTAGAGAGATAAGCGCCATATATAAAAGCGGAATATTGTTATTATATTGTCACAAAGCAATGAATTGGCTCTATATACCATTCCAGACATTTAAAAAGGCTGTTTTATGTCCTGTTTTCATGGAAAAACAGTTGGGATAATTCAAAAATTGGTTGGGAGAATTAAACAGAAATTACTGTTAGAGGGTGTTGCACAGTGACGCCTTTCAAAGAAGACCATAAATATCTTTGTGGTTTGAGATTTCTTTTTTCGGTCATGTGTTATGGCTTTATATTGAAACTGAAAAGTGTTTACGAGTACATGTTTTTCTCAAAGGTTTTTTTCCCCTTAAAGGTAAAGACCAGTTATGGTCATGCGATTGCATTGTGAAAGAAACGTTGTTGAATCAATCAGAAAAGGTTGATCATCTACCATCTAGCATCTGCAAGGTTCTGGAATCATCAAAATGATAAGAAATTTGGCCCATTCTTTGTAAAGTTACAAGCACTATACACAGAAAGATGTATATGGGACTACCCTATATCTCTCACAGACCATGAGAGAAACAAATTTACCAAATATATGAATTAGTAGGCGGTTTCCCGGCAAATTATGTATCATCATGTATTAGTCAAAACATATTATTTCACATGATTGGTAATGAGAGCTTCCATTTCATTTTTTGAAATTGGGGCGTTTCCAATACTGGTCTTTACCTTCAATGAGCATGAAAGTATCCTATTTTGAAATACTGTTAATTCCCCAAGTTTCGTTCTTCCGCTTTGATTGAGTAAATTGGTATTGATATTGTTCATTTATCAAAGTTTGGCAAAATTCTGACAAATCGAAAAATGAGTATGAGGACCAGAATAAGAGTACTGAATTGTTACATCTACCCAGTACTTATGTACATGTATCGTAGTGAAACATGGACTTTAGCCTCTGATACTAGTAGTAGTAGTAGTAGTAGAATGTTTTTTTATTAGACAACTTCAAAATGGTAGCCCGAAAGCTAAATTACATTGCAAGTTTTACATGTATCAAAAATCATTTCAACAAACTTAGATGTGGACAAGTACACATAATACACAGTCGGCTAGATCATAACTAATTGCATATTCCTATTGACTAAAAAACGTTTGGAAAGTTGTGAAATGTGATTTTTAAGAAGAATGATGAAAATCCCCTGGACTGACAAAGTAAGTAATGAGGAAGTTCTTACACGAGTGCAAAGGAAAATGATATGTGAGATGCTGATTAGGCAGTGGAAGTTCATGGGTCACATTACACGTAAAGAAGGCCTAGAGAATCTTGCTTTGACAGGGAAAATTGTGGGAAGAAGGAGTAGGGGAAGAAGGAGGATACTTTGGATGGACAGTCTGCAGAAATTGTTGGAAGAGAGAGAGGAGTGAAAGAACTGGGAGTGGTACTAATACAGAAGGCTAGGAACCGAGGGTTGTGGAACAGCATGATCGCCGAAGTCAAACGATATGGCACTTCGAGAGAGAAAGAGAAATTATGTGTTGTAATGACATTAAGTAGATCAATGATTTCCTGTAAACATACGCTTTCACTTCCTCTTCCTGATTATAATACCTATTTCCTATTGTGACAATCATCTGTGACACATCACAACATTTTGATACTCTATCAAAAGAATCTGGATTCTAGTAGCCTGGCCAAATAAATGTAAATAAAATTGTTTGTTTATTTATTTATTTATTTCTAATCTTTTGTCAGGGTAGCCCATTCACCAATAAGTAGTGGTCTTCCATGGGGCCCTGAATAATTATGAACATATTTACATTAAAAAGCATAACATTTTATAATTAAAGTGTATCAATCACAGAAATCTCTTGGGTACTTTTAACTCTCTTTCTTTTTTCTTTTTTTAATTCCTCAACTGGTAACCTAAAAAATGTCAGATAAAGGTTTTTTAAGGTTGATTTAGCCTATAATCTAGGCGGAGTGCCGAGCTTTTTTCTTTGCTGCTAGACTAACCCTAAGCAGAACGTCTGATACGGCGAGACTACGAACCGTGAGTCGCGAAGCGGCTCACCGCCTATAATCACTGGTCTAGCTAATCAATATTCATATATATTCAAAATGGCGGATCTATGAATCATTCAACAGCCCTACCAAATAAGGTACACCTATGTTACGTTCGACCAATCAGATATAAGAAACCGCAACGAAAAAAGATTGCGCTCGTCCATTACTCGAGTCATCATGATCATAGAATCCGTGGTCGCGTAGAAAATCACAGCACAAGGGGATTGCTTGGTATATTGCACTCTTTCCAAAACCAGTAGGTAATGCAACAAAAATATCCCTGCCGGCTTCAATAATGCTACGAATAGCGGATTCCTGCAGTTCTCTGAATTTTCCATTAGGAATGCCTAGTTTGTTGGCCGCATATGATAAACTTTCTCGCAGAAGATCGTCGTCGCATGAACTACCCGTCATCTTGGATGAAGAAAATGACGTATGTCACGTGATTTATAATATGCATATGCATAGACTCTTCTCCATACGTGTTTCTGATTGGTTGAGTTCATTTCGTATTCATGAGGTTTTTTCATACGAAAAACTGCCACGGATTCATGGTCGATAATAAAAAAAACAACGTCTAAAGCTAGACCAGTGATTATAGGCGGTGAGCCGCTGGCTCACGGTTCGTAGTCTCGCCGTATCAGACGTTCTGCTTAAGGTTAGTCTAGCAGCAAAGAAAAAAGCTCGGCACTCCGCCTAGATTATAGGCTAAGGTTGATTATATACATTCTTGCTAGGTATACACAAATTATCAAAGTGATTGGTAGACTTTTATAATAATGAATTATATGCAATTGTAATAATTCATGGAGGGGCAATTATGAGTCTACAATTAAATGATTAGTACAGTGAAACCTGTCTATAAAGACTTAAAGACCACCCAAGGGAGACAAGAAGAAAAGTGGTCTTTATAGGCAGGTGCATGGTCTTTATGAACAGGTTCCTTTAAATATTGCATGTTTCAATGAGAAACCACTTTCAAGGGAAACAAAAAATGTGGTCTCTGTAGACAGGTGGTCTTTCTATACAGGTGGTCACTAAAACAGGTTTGACTGTATACTCCTTTGACCCTCAATCAGATCACCATACTGGATTTACATCTATATCCTCTTCTTCTGCGAATCCCTCGCATCAATTCGAAGAAGGGTCAACAAAATATATAACTTTTTCTGGTCCCACTATTTGAAAGCATTCGTTCCTGCTTCTCAGTCGGATCATTTAAGAGAAATCTCAAGACTTATTTGTTTTCTTTGTAATTGTTTTTTTGACAAGGCGTTGTGTGCATGGAGTTGTGTGGGATGTGAACGAGGTTGTGTACTGTGTATGAACCAGGCTTGGCTCATGCGGTGCACAACTTTTTGAATAACTTTACACAATAAAAATTACAGTGTATATGCACTTGGAGAGCAACATAATCATTCTGTTTTATTTAATAATGTAAAGCGCTTTGAGCATGTTTATGTAATGGCACTATATACATGTAAATATCAATATGTATGTATGTATATTATCAATGACCAAACCCTCTTCCTTTGTCTTTTGTTCTACAGTGACTCAGGAACCTTACCACCAGAAAGCTGTATATTTGGACAGTTATTAAACATGGCAGCCGGGCTAGGTACGTAAGCTTATCTCAGGGGTCGGTTGATGTTGAATCACCTTAACTGACAATCGGCCTGTCTTCATCAGCTTGAGTTTGCCAAATAACCCGCTATTTTCAGACTCAGGGTATTATCTCGAAGCTCAAAATTGCATCCTCACCAGACTGAAACTAGCTCGTATGAGCATTTGGGAAATAGCGGGATATTTTGGAAACAAGACCAAGATTTCTCGGGATATTTTCTCGACCAAATATCCCGCTAATAGCAACTGCGGGCTGATGAAGATGCAAATTAATTGGCTAATTTGCGATCAGGATACTTTAAATAGCGGGTTTTATTTGGCAAACTTGAGCTGCACAGGACAGGCCTACTGACATTAATATATATGTGTGTATAGTACACTTGACTTGAAATTCAAAGGTTGCATTGGTTCAATCCCCGACACGGCATTTTTGGCAAGGCATTAATCTACATTTGCCACTCAATACCCAAGAGATAAATGGAGTCCCGGTAGGATGTCTAGAGCATTATTGTTAGTAATTGCCTATGCCCTCACGGTGACCATATGATAGGAATTATACTCCCCAGGGAGTGGAGATGGTGCACATTGGGCGTGAATGAATCAAAAGACTGGGGTAATAATATCTGTAAAGCCCTTAGAGACGGTATTGCGTATTAAGTGCTATATAAATCCAGAATATTATTATTTCATGTGAAATTAAATGGTTATTCCCTAAAAGATCAAACTTTTCACCCAGTACACTGTGTTTTCTCATTTCTCTATACATGTACATGTAAAAGTTGTACTAAAATAAGTGAGTAAAGACTGGGGGGGAGGACATTATTATAGTTAATCAATTTTCAATTTTCTATGTTTATGAACTGACATAATGGTAATTTACAGAAAATATTCTTTTAAATTGTAAAAAATTGCACCAGGTTTTTTTTCTTCTTCACTGTTAGACCTATTAAAAAAAGATGTTGTTTTGCCCTTTCCAAAAATCTTAAAATCTAGGGTCTTCTTTTTATTAATTTTTTTTAAATCGTTTTTTTAGAAGAAAAAAAGTTGAATCGTTTTTTTAGAAGAAAAAAAGTTGAATTGACAAAATAGTATGTATTAAAGCGTACTAGTTTACAGAAGGGATTAGACCGCCCTGCAAGGTCACTGGACAGGTGGTTATCTCATCAACTCAGCTCTCATTTAACATTTTTTTAAAGCGGATCATGGGGGACCAATGGTCACCGATTAGGCATGGTTTGTTATATGGAGGGCGCAATTAGCTACAAGTAGTGCAGTGGGCCTTTAAAGCATTCAAAACTAAACATATATGCCCATAGAGGGAGAAAAAAAAATTATTAAATTGACCGACCGACCCAGGTGATGGCACCTTAAAGGCAATACATCATCTTTTTTTTGTGTGCCTTATAAATCTTACTTTAAAATTGACTGTGATATTGCCCAAATATTTATTACGGTACCTTTAATACGAGTACCTTATCTTTTGATTTCCTTCATATTTCCAAAGGTTTTGCAGGTATATACGTCAGATACAAGCAGGTCGAGTTCTTATCAGAAGATTATGGTTCAAGAAGAAAAAGAATGCTGCAAGTCAACAAAATAGGCCTTATGGTTGGGGCCACTGCAAGCTTTGGAATGTCAGTTGTTGCTAATTTTCAGGTAGGCATTATTCATTTTCTTGTATTTCCCTTTATAGGCATCGTTTAACAATGTTAAATCTGAGATGCATGGCCCTACCCTGTTATCAGTGTTGGTGATATGGTGTAACATTATAAGCCCTAAAAAATTGCAATTCAAAATATCAAGAAATGTCTCAAAATAGTAAAAACCTTTGAGTGACCGGTTTGCATTCTGACAATTGAAATACTACTATTCTTATCAGGTGAATGATATAATTTGCATTGAGGCACTGCACAAAGACTTCTGTATTAAATTTGGTTACATTGCCTATTGTTGCTAGGTAGGACAAACAATATGCCATCACCAATAACAATAATATCTCTTTTTCTTCTCTCTCTCTCTTTCAGATTGGCAATGTCAAATCGATCCATTTTACCGGTGCCTTTCTTCTCTTCGCTCCCGGGGCTATGTACGGTTTCTTTCAATCCTGGCTCTCGTACAAGATGCATCCTCAACATGCCTCTATCCTCGTCTGTCACATTCGTCTTTTCCTGTCAGTCATCATAGCCCTCTTCTTTGCTTCCTGTATCCTTTCGCCGAACAAAGCAGATTTTTCATTTTCAAATTGGCGACAAAATATTTTGTATTTCCATTATAATTGTATTCTGCCTAAATAATAATAATAATAATAATATTTAATTTTTATATAGCTCTTAATACAAATGTCTCTAAGCACTTTACAAATATACTAAAAACATCCTTTTGAAATGAATCCCAAATGATGACAACAAATACCACCACGATGATGATGATGAAGATGTAGAAAGCTAATAGTTATATCTTATGTGTAGCACCACAAGGCTTTGTTTTAGGCCCTTCATACTGAGAATCTTGATTGTTTTCCTTAATACTGGTCTATATCAGGTATGATTTTTACTCTACTTGCTCAGGAACTGACGACTGTAAAAAAATTAAATCTTTTCTGGGTACTTGCAGATGGGGTAAGTTTATATGGACTTTCAGAGCCATCTATACACAGAGTTTGGCCAACTTGGTTTCACTGGGTCACATTATGGCATATATTCTTTTGTTTTGTGCTTGCCCAACAAAGCAGTAGTCGCCATATTGTGTTTGTTCAAACTCTGTGTATAGATGGCTCTGTAGACCTTTATTTGGAGTTGTGGTGGAAGTGTTGTATAGTAGTTCATTGACTTAACTCTTTAGGCCTGTCTTCATCAGCTTGCGTTTGCCAAATAACCCGCTATTTTCAGACTCGGGATATAATCCCGAAGCTCAAAATTGTGTCTTCTCCAGACCTATACGCTCATCACAAACTATCGCTCAGACAGGCGCAAATAGCGGGATATTTTAGAACAAAGACCAAGATTTTTTTTGGATGTTTTCTTGACCAAATATCCCGCTAATTGCAACTGTGGGCTGATGAAGGCGCAGATTAACTGGTTAATTTGTGATCGGGATAGTTGAAATAGCAGGTTATTTGGCAAATTCGAGCTGACGAAGACAGGCATTTTGAAGCAGACATGATGGCTTTAATAGTGGTAGAGCAGTGGTCTCGTAACTGGGAGGTACAGGGTTCGAAACCAAGTCGATGCACTAGTGCTCTTTGGTAAAGCATTAATCCTCATTACCAAGTCCCTCGGAGAGGACTTTATGCTGTTTTTTACGCTGGTTGCTTTATACTTTCATATGTTTTGGGGTTGTCCGTACGTTCCCATCTTAAGATAGCGTTATCTCAAGAACCGAACGAATGGATTCCTGCCAAACTAAGGTCATGTATGTATCTTGCAGAGCCAGTGAACCAATTGGACCTTGTTCTTTTATCTCTTTCATCCCTCTCATTATCTCTCACTGCCTCTCTCTCTCTCTCTCTCTCTTATCTCTTTCTCTCTTTCTTTGCATGTAACTGTCACCTTAATCGTTCACCTATTATCTCTCTTTCTCTTATCAGTCATCTCCAAGCTACTGTAAATGTAGAAATATTTGCAGTACATTAATTGCGGATTTCGTGCAAAGATCTGCAAGCGCAAATTTTAGCACTCGAGAGAATATATAAGCATGACTTCTTATGCATGTTTTTAATGGGCTTAATGGCGTGCAAACGAATTTAAGAACCAGTGAATATGTTTCGGGGTCGCTCAGTGCGAAAAATAAATCAGGCAAGAATAACGGCGTTGACAGTATGCATTTTATTATGATTTCTTTAATTTTTAATCTTTATTATCATTTTTTGTAACCCTCCCAGGGTTACCCTGAGCACATAGTAGCGACCGTCTCTGAGTGGGTTGTGGCGATCTCTTTCCTCCTCTACTTCTTTCATTAACCTAGCAATCTTTATTATCACTATTCTTTATCCATCCTAGGGTTACGCTGAGCACATAGTAGCGACCGTCTCTGAGTGGGTTGTGGCGATCGCTTTCCTCCTCTACTTCTTTCATTAACCTAGCAATCTTTATTATCATTATTCTTTATCCATCCTAGGGTTACGCTGAGCACATAGTAGTGACCGTCTCTGAGTGGGTTGTGGCGATCGCTTTCCTCCTCTGCTTCTTTCATTAACCTAGCAATCTTTATTATCATTATTCTTTATCCATCCTAGGGTTACGCTGAGCACATAGTAGCGACCGTCTCTGAGTGGGTTGTGGCGATCGTTTTTCTCCTCTACTTCTTTCATTAACCTAGCAATCTTTATTATCATTATTCTTTATCCATCCTAGGGTTACGCTGAGCACATAGTAGCGACCGTCTCTGAGTGGGTTGTGGCGATCGCTTTTCTACTTTACTTCTTCACCTTCATCAGGGATTTTCAGAAGATAAACCTCCACGCCGAGATCAAGCACCATCTCGGCTACGATGCCCTGGTCGAAGCCAACAGCTATCCCCCAGTGGCCAACTACGACAATAGCTTTAGCGGGGCTCTGTAAATAAGCCATCCTCTGTGAGCCATCCGTCGGAGCAGCGCAAGTGCGGTAGGGTTCAACTTTACCCATTTGAAAGTCGTTTTTTCTTGGGATTTGGTTCAATAGGGGAATGTTAACCATCTGGACCCTATTTCACGAAACTTGTCATCTGTGACTAATGACTATTTTTGTTATAAGCTAGTGAAATCCTTGCTTCTGATTGGTTATCAGCAGATTGGTCACTGAGCTTTGTCATTTGTCATTGAAAAAAAGGACTTTGAGAAACTGGTCCTTGTTGTAATATTCCAGTATGGTCCATTGAAATACACATATTGTTCTTACCAATTTCTTATTTTCTTAGGGAATGTATGTACGCTTCAATGGGGCACTTTGGGCTGTCTGCTATTTACGACTCGTGTGTGATAGGGTTGAATTCCTAGATGGAAAGCTAATATTTCTTTGGGAATGGCTTTAATGGGGTGTTTTGAGCCGCGATACACCACTTAAGTTTACTTTGATTTATTTTAGCGCCTTTCCGTCTCATTCCCAAATCGTAAAACAGGTTTACTTCAAATCTTCAAATAATTGCCAGTCTTGAGTGTACCAGTACACTTCTGGCTACTTTGCAATATACATGTATCTGAAATAATGTTCAGTTTTGAATATGATGTTTGTTTATATATACCAACTCCTACAAGGCTTGCCCATTGTATTGTGAGAAAAAGGAAAAAGCGATTTTGGAAAAGAAGACAATTTATGTTGAAAGAGAAAAAAACATTTAAATTTATTTTAAAAATTATTTTCACTTGTTTAGAAAAAAAAAATCACGCAAAGTTTGAGATGCATTGGCAGTACACACCATTCCGGGGTAAATACGACTCACAGGATTTTTATATTACAAATGAGGTGTACAATCTACATACTGCTTGCAGTGCAAAATTGTCCCATATTTTGTCCATGTACTAGAACATGTTTTTTTTTTTGCTTTTGCTGCAAGAGATAAGATTGAAATGCCAATGTGACGAACAGTACCAATTTGATTTTTCTTTTTAAAGTAATTTTTCTGAAAGATATGAAAATTTTACCCTGAACACTCATGTTTCATGAAACTGTCTTCAGTACAAACTTGTATGAATTCTTTTTTTTTCTTTCTTTAGATACACGTATGTCCCATTCTCCCATTCTCCCATTCAAATGCATGTTAGTTCAAATACACATCTTTTGAAAGGGAGGTTTGCAAACTTGTACTTGGCCCAGATCCTGCTGTGGCTGCTATATACATGTTTGGTAAAATTCCAAAAAATTATTAAAAAAAAAAAAATAGGAAAATGAAAGTGTTACCTAACTTGGCCCGTTGCTAAAACGGTAATTTTTTACAGGTTTATAGGATTAGGGTAAAAGACAAAAAAAGGACAGTTTTTTGCATCGGGCCGAGTTGTCTCCGGGTTCGAGTTAGCCCGGATCCATATACATGTATGTATGTGTAGGTGCACTAAATTATGAGTTGAAGATTACCTAGCTTTTAAATATTATTACTATCATTTTGATAAAACTCTAGTAAATGTACATAAACTTAATTTGCAGCTGAGGTTTAATCATGAGTACATGTGTAACTTTAGAGAAAATCTTTTCAATGGACAGATAAATTGTTTTGCTTTCTATTTTTAAGTGATACATGAATTTGATTTTGCACCAGAAAAAATAACTATATTGCCAAAAAGTTGGGCTGTCATAAAATGTGCAATTTTGGGTTATTTTGCTGCAAATTCAAATTGCCTTCGGCCTTTGTATTGGTCACAACATATACAAAATGGGTATGATGCACACTTGTAATTTTTTCTTTTTTTAATCTTGTTATTTGAAGCTTGGAAATGTTGAATATACTTTGTTGTTTAGAAAAATAATTTCTTAAAGTGGTGATTTTTGCTTGTTTGATTGATAATGGTTTAAGTTGTGAGGACATAAATAATTATTGTCTCCCTGTATTTTTGTTTCAATATGAGCTACGTATTATCTGTATCAATTAATATTTGTGCTGAAATTTTCCAAATAGTAAAATACCATAGTACCATATTGTGCAGTGTTGTATGATATCTTATGTATGTGGTGGTGGTGGTGGTTATGTTGGTGGTTTCTTTACCTGGCTGCTACGAAAGCATATTTTGATATTGAATCATCTTTTCAATGTACATGAACTTGAAGATTGGAGGTACCATCACAAATATGAAAAAAATTACCAGTTAACTGACTTTGAATTTGTTAGTCGCTGTACATGTCAACAAGTAATAATAGTTTCATTGTATATGTTCATGTACAGTTATCATCTGAATTATTCATACCCCTTGTAAATTTGATGTTTTTGTGTGTTTTAGTAATTTAAGAAAGGTGGATCTATTGGATTAATTAGGGCCTTTGTTGAATACTTTTAGATCTAACTGAGCTTTCATATGTCACATACATAATCTATAATTATGTACATTGTTTGTAACACCTCTACAAGTGAACAACCAATTTCCATTTTGTATGGACAATAAATCGGTTCAATTATCAAGAAACAGAAATCAGGACATATCTATTTTCACAGACTTATAAAATTACAAAACCTGGTAGGGGTATGAGTAATTTATGTGTGAACTGTTTGTCCATTAAAATGTGTAGAATGCAAGTACCAGCATAAATATGAGACGTAATTACCAGTAAAATTAAGTTTGAATTTGTTGGTTGATGTACATGTCAGTTTCAAGCTTTATTCATTCTCTAGTTTAAGACATTAACATTAATATATACAAAGCATTGCAAAGGTGAAATACAATGTTCATTAAATGAATTTGTACAAAATAAGAAAAGGGCCCGGCCATCATTAGCCTATTGAAAGGTGACAGGCTGATGGTCACAAGAATTGGCGAGTTATGAAATAAATATTTATGTGGAAGAGAAACAGTATGGAAAGACAAAGGTGTTCGGGAATAAATTAGACAATTATGTTAAATTTAATTTTTTTTTTAAATAAAATCATATTTTCATAAATTTCCAATGGAAAAACATGTTTGTATAACGAAATCATGTAAAACAAATTGTTACAAACTAAGTTATTGAAAAAACAACTGATCATTTCATTCTATTTGTACAAAATAATTACAGGCCTCTTAATGCATTTTTAATTTGTTTTGGATAAAATAAATATGGTAATTTTTGTATTTGCTTGTAGGATTTTAAACGTGGGAGCAGTGCTTTTTTGTTAGCTATTCATATCTGTGAAGTTTCAGCGTTTTTATAATTATGGTATGTTTTGTATTTGCTTGACGCGACTTTAGATGTTGGAGCAGTGCTTCTAGATTTGTTTATGTACCAGTAATATTCATGTCATCTATTAAGTTCAGCGTACCGGTACATTTGATGGTTTGGTTTCCGCATAGAATTCTGTGAGAATATATACCATCGATACAATCACCTTGACTTTCAACCAAGGGTAATTTCAATATCCATACCCACTCTGATTGGATTGCATGGCTTTAAAGCCTATCTGCACTACTTGTATCTACTTGCACCCTCTACATAGCAAACAATGCCTAAGCAGTATCTGTTGATCCCCTTTTTCTTATGTTAATTGAGAGCTGATTTGATGAGATAACCACCTGTCGGTGACCATGGCAGGGAGGTCTAATCCCTCCTGGCCAAACTAGTGCAGACAGGCTTTTGAAAAAAAAGTTGTATTGCTCTTTTCGACCGACCAAAAATTCTTAAAATCTATGGTCATCAGCTTTCTTTTTACTTTTTTTTTAGATTAAAACATGTTTAATGAATACAAAAAATATGTATCAAAGTTTTCAAAACTAAAAATATCAGCCCAAAGAGGGAGGAAAAGCCCCCCCCCCCCCCCCCCCAAAAAAATAGACCGACCGACCCAGGTGCTGGCACCTAAGGGGCAGTACCTTTTTTTTGTTAGGCCTATTGTTCATGCTCCTGCCATTGAATGGCCCTGAAGTTGATTTTTAAGAGGCATTATTTTGAAAGTCTATGTGATTGTTCTCGAGTTCTTCTCGTGGAGCAGAATAATCAGGTGTATAGGTGTAGTGCTAGTTTTAGGGAAAAATTAAGGCTTGCCATTTGTTTTTGTTCTTTTCATGATGGTGGTAAGACAGCAAAAAATATTAGAGGCTAAAAGTGTACTGGTACTAAAAGATTTGCAAGTCATCTTTGTATGTTTAGGTTGGTTTAACAATGCATACAAGATGCAATGAATGAAACTGATTTGAAAGCTTTGGTGTCTATGAAAAATTTATTGTCTTTAGTGCGTTATTCTTTTGTCCATATTTGATTCTACCTTTTCAATTATTCTGTGATTTATTTCTTTGTCTTTGCGCTCTCCATGATGCTATTTGTTACACGTGTCAGACATGTTTAGTTACTTTAAAACAAAATAGATTAGAGATACATAACTTAGTAACTTACACTATCTGAGGATTCTGAGCAGCAGCGAAGCAACTTGATTGGTCTGTTTTGGGAGACCCCTTACAGGGACTGCTGGTGTGACCAGCTATCACCAATTATCTGTTGATGCCTGAACTGGCAATTGTTCATAATTGCAAAATACCTTTAAAAAAATTAATACTTCGTACTAATTTTACATCACACAATTGAAAATTACCTCTGAACAAGAGATTATACATAAATGTTTCTGAAAAATGATGATTAATAAGTGTGTGAAGTTGGTGTGAAAATCAGATTCCAGGAATATGTCAAACAGTAAATTGTGAAATTGTCAGTTTTAAACTGTGTGCTTGGATATGGTATTGATTTTGAATTGCAAATAGTACTATAGTTTTTATAGCAGCAAAGTCTTTCATGTGGGATGTAAGTAGGCTCATGTGAAATATTAGTTTTAGAATAGTACATATAAATGCCACTTTGACTAAGAGAGTAATTTGCTTGCCGAATTGAAATAATAAAGTAAGTTATACTTTTTTATTGAACATCAACTGAATTGTGTATTTCCTGTTTGATCTCTCTCTCGTCTCTCCTTCTCTCTCCCTCCCTCTCTCGTCTCTCCCTCCCTCTCTCATCTTTCTCTTTCTTATCTCTCTCTCATCTCTCTCTTGCCTTTCTCCCTCTCTTGCTCTCTTTCTCGTGTCTGTCTCCCTCTCTCTTTCTCTCTCATCTCTCCCTCTCTTCTCTCCCTCTCGTCTCTCGCCTCTCTTGTCTCTCTCATTTCTCTCTCTCTTGTCTCTCTCTTATCTATCCCTCTCTTGCTATCTCTTTCTCTCTCTTTCTCTCGTCTCTCCCTTTCTCTCATCTCTCCCTCTCTCTCTGTCTCGTGTCTTTCCTTCTCTCTTCCTCTCGTGTCTCTCTCCCTCTCTCGTCTCTCTCTCTGTCTCGTGTCTTTCCTTCTCTCTCCCTCTCGTGTCTCTCTCTCTCTCTCTTCTCTCCCTCTCTTGCTCTCTCGTCTCTCCCTCTCTCTCTGTCTCGTGTCTTTCCTTCTCTCTCCCTCTCGTGTCTCTCTCTCTCTCTCTTCTCTCCCTCTCTTGCTCTCTCGTCTCTCCCTCTCTCTCTGTCTCGTGTCTTTCCTTCTCTCTCCCTCTCGTGTCTCTCTCTCTCTCTCTTCTCTCTCTCTCTTGCTCTCTCGTCTCTCCCTCTCTCTCTGTCTCGTGTCTTTCCTTCTCTCTCCCTCTCGTGTCTCTCTCTCTCTCTCTTCTCTCCCTCTCTTGCTCTCTCGTCTCTCCCTCTCTCTCTGTCTCGTGTCTTTCCTTCTCTCTCCCTCTCGTGTCTCTCTCTCTCTCTCTTCTCTCTCTCTCTTGCTCTCTCGTCTCTCCCTCTCTCTCTCACTCTCGTGTCTTTCCTTCTCTCTCCCTCTCGTGTCTCTCTCTCTCTCTCTTCTCTCCCTCTCTTGCTCTCTCGTCTCTCCCTCTCTCTCTGTCTCGTGCCTTTCCTTCTCTCTTCCTCTCGTGTCTCTCTCTCTTCTCTCCCTCTCTTGCTCTCTCTTCTCTCCCTCTCTCTCTCTCTCTCTCTCTCATGTCTTTCCTTCTCTCTCCATCTCGTGTCTCTCTCTCTCTCTCTCTTCTCTCCCTCTCTTGCTCTCTCGTCTCTCCCTCTCTCTCTCTCTCTCTCTCTCATGTCTTTCCTTCTCTCTCCATCTCGTGTCTCTCTCTCTCTCTCTTCTCTCCCTCTCTTGCTCTCTCGTCTCTCCCTCTCTCTCTCTCTCTCTCTCTCTCTCTCTCATGTCTTTCCTTCTCTCTTCTCTCGCTCTCTCCCTCTCATGTCTCTCCCTCTCACTCTCTCCCTTTCTCCTATTTTTTTTGCATCTTTTCTCATTCTATCCATCTCTCTTCTTAATAAGTCAAAAAGTCACAACTAATCTCAAGCTAAGCTTTCTACTTCTGTACTTTGTATTTTTCATTCCATTTCTGAAAATAACATGCAATCCACACTGATATTATTCAAACTTGGTGGATTATACCCTTATACAGAAACGGAAATAAAGAGAAATAGAAGTGGTCAGCTCTCTTATAAATGAATTACGATGAGATAAGATGGCTACTTTATAGTGTCACTATAATAGTCTACGGTAGTTGACTTACAGTACACCTCTCAAAATATTTATGTCGATTCATACTCTAAATGAATATCAAGCTTGTCAAAACTTTGAGGGTGAAACATGTCATACAGGGAATCTAAAAAAAGAGGAGGGAGGAGGAGAGAGAGAGAAGAAGAAGAGGAGGTAGGAGATAGACAGAGAGAGAGAGAGAAGAAGAGGGAGGAGGAGACGAAGAGAGTTCTTCCCATTCTCTTCCTAATAAATGAATTAAGATGAGATTAGTTAGTTACTTTACAGTTTGACTATCAATGTATTCTGGTAGTGGACATACAGTATGCATCTCAAAATGTGTACGTCGATTCATATTCCAAATGAATATCCAGCTTGCTAAAACAAATTAGGGTGAAACATGTTATACAGGGCTCCTAAAAAAAGAGAGAAAGGAAGTAGGAGATAGAGAAGAAGAAGAAGAGGAGGAGGAGAAGAGGCGGAGAGGGAGAGAGAGAGAGAGAGAGAGAGAGAAGAAGAAGAAGAGGACAAGAGGCGGAGAGGGAGAGAGAGAGAGAGAGAGAGAGAGAAGAAGAAGAAAAAGAAGAAGAAGAAGAGGGAGGAGAAGTGGAGAGTTCTTCCAATTCTCTTCCTGATAAATGAATTAAGATGAGATTAGATATTTACTTTACAGTTTGTTTATAACTGTCTTCTGGTAGTTGACATACAGTACATATCTCATAATGTTAATGTAGACTGAAATCCTAAATGAATATCCAGCTTTCTTCTTAATAAGTCAAAAAGTCACAACTAATCTCAAGCTAAGCTTTCTACTTCTGTACTTTGTATTTTTCATTCCATTTCTGAAAATAACATGCAATCCACACTGATATTATTCAAACTTGGTGGATTATACCCTTATACAGAAACGGAAATAAAGAGAAATAGAAGTGGTCAGCTCTCTTATAAATGAATTACGATGAGATAAGATGGCTACTTTATAGTGTCACTATAATAGTCTTCCGGTAGTTGACATACAGTACGCATCTCATAATCATTTGGCTAACTCATATTCTATATGAACATCCAGCTGGTTATAGAGTGATTGTAGCATCTTGAGAGTCTTGCGTTGGATTCCATCCACCTGATTGGCAGGACAATAATCATCATGTGACGATCTGAAATGATAACAAATTGGTAAAACTAAATTAATATATATTGTATGTGATTTTTGCCATCAACTTGTAGACTAACATTTGCACTTGTAACTTATAAGTTATTTATTCTAAGAGTAATTAATACTACCTTGCAGTTTAATGATATTGTAATTTCTACAAAATGTTATATTTAAGATGCATACTTATTATATAATCATTTGTATTTAAGTTGTATTTGAATATTTCACATGGTTTATGATACTTCTGATTCCATATCTGGTTTATTTATAATTTCAATTAATTTTGATGCAGTCCTTATTTTACAGTTTAGTGATATTACAGTTTAATGATATTGTAATTTCTATTGCATAATGTTGTATGATATGTATTTTAAGATGCATAATTGTTATATTGAATACAATAATTTGTATTTAAGTTGTATTTTTATATTTTACATGGTTTATTATAATTCTGAGCCCATATCTGGTTTATTTATATATTTTAATCAATTTCGATGCAGTCTTTATTTTGTGTAATGTCACATTCTTTTTTGCCGTTTACTTGTAATTCAATGTTTTTAACATGTTTCTTTAGTATTTCTCACTTTTCCTTCCTTATCCTTTCTTCTTTCTCTTGCGCTTAGAAACATTGTATGAAGCGCATTATAAATGTAATGTATTATTATTATTATTATTATGTAACATTTTACAGCATGAACACAAACGTTCTAATATCTACATATCTTAAGAAATCATTTAACCTTTTGTGGAAAGTTCGATTTTATAAATACTAATCTGATACACCTACATGTAGTATACAAATTAACTACGATTAGTTCAGCCCCTTCTTTGGTGGATTGGCAAAAACAGCAGGTTATAAAGGAGGTAATGAGCTTTATCGTTGTGTTTATAATTTTTATATCAAAAGAAGATAATTTAGGTCCAAAAATATCTGAAGAATTTTTACCCATAAAGTACTGACTTCTTTTATTCCTATAACTCACCTTGAGATGGTCACCATGGTAGGTGTATGCATCTTCCCGAGAAGTTCTCTCATCGTCGCGATCAAGCTATCGATCTCCTCGTCAGAGCTGACGTGATGGGGGAGCTCACCGTGATCGTCGCACGTCAGCCCCGCCATGTGCACCATCTCCGGGTCGAGGCACTCCGGTTCAATGTCGGGCGTCGACCGAAGAGATCGGACCAGTTCAACAATCTTGAGGAAACTAAAGAGCATAAATAAGAATGTTTGAGATATAAAGAGGCCAGAGGCAGAGCATGGGCCCGAATATTAGGAGGACACCAGCATCATGGGAGGGGAGGGGGGGGGGGGGCGGGGCGGGGAGGGGGTCATGACAACAAAAGCTTCAAAAGGTCATGGGCAAAGCTAGAGAAAAGGCCTTAAGCGTTAGCAATCGTGTTCATGGCACTCAATTAGCAGGGGCAGGGGGGTGAGGGGTGGGGGCAGGCGGTTAATGTATCATTATTTACATTTCCTTCTTCTTTTTCTTTTCTTGTCTGTTTGTATTTGGGATGGGAGTAGCACATAATTTACCTCTAGACATCCCAAAAATTCCCCTCACATGGAAATATCTAAGTGAATTTTTTTATGGGTAAAATAACAAAAGCTACATGAATTTTACCACAAAGCGACGAAAATAGCACAAGTCATTTTGGGGCCTACAATTTCGTACAATTCACAAATTTACACTCTCAAACAAGAGAGGTTAAATTACCTATCTTGGTCACCGAACGATGCATCATAATCTTCACCATTGAATGAAGCCTTCAGCCCAGCAGACAGTTCGCTGATCTGCTTTGCTCTTCTCTTCTGACAAGCTCCCAGTGCTTGTGCAGAGTCATCTACGGGAGCAGCGAATCTATACAGCTCATCCATCAAACCGTATTGCTCCTGAAGAAAAAGAGAGCAAGAAAAGACACAAAATCCAAGATTTTATATATTCCTACATCTTTGCTAAAATAAAACTCTTTTGGGGGGGTATAATTCTATATACTTGTATATGTATGTACCTGGTGCTCCGTTCTAACAACCTACTAACAAGCCTTGACATCTAGGGGCATTCACATTCTCTTCTAGGTGATCGATTATTTACTGCCTGTGCATTGAGATTGTGGAATGGTCTTCCCCAAATCCTTCGCTCTTGTCACCACTTATTCACTTTTCAGAACTCAAGTTTGAGTTTGAGTTTGAAGTTATCCAAAACAAAAAGTAAATCAATACAACAAATCAAATATAAATGGTTAACATTGAAAGGATAAATGGGACCAGAAAATAGCATTTAATGCTAATCGTGTCTGGTACCACTAACACACAAAAGTAACTAAAGACATACCTATTTCAGATTGCTTACAATTAGTCACTGCCATTTTTTTTTTTTCTTTCCCAGTTAGAATCATGAAGAGACATTTTTGGTAGTTTTTCAGTGTCATCAGCGCCTATGATTATCGGTAGGCAACTAGATGTTGGTGCTTTATAAATTCCTGGATTGGATTGGATTGGATTGGATCCGAACCATTTATTTCATATTCTTATTTTGTCTTACATGCTTTTTATATTTTATTTTTAATGTAAATAAAAGTGAACTGAAATGAAATGAATTGTCGCCAGAGCAAATGTAGGATCACCAAGGGGGTGTTTCACAAAGACCAAGATCGTCTTTAAGTTGGACTTAACTATGGCAGGCCATTCATGCCACTGGTTGCTCTCACCATTGGTCTCTCAATTATGATCTTTAGATAATATTTTTTCCTTCAATAATGAACTACTGTATCAAAATATGTAGATTCTGTAGATTTGTAACCATTATTTGTACATCCCTTGAGAGACCAATGCCAGTAAACGGCGAGAACAAACAGTGGCATGAATGGCCTGCCATAGTTAAGTCCAACTTAAAGTTCATCTTAGTCTTTGTGAAACACCCCCATGTATCTCCATGCCCTTTCAGTGGAAGGCAATTTACCTTTGTGTACATTTGCTTGAATGGGTTCCTTGTAGAAAAGAAATCCAAATCGATGTCTAAAATGAATCTTCCACTGAATTCTGAGAACTTCTGCACAACAGCGTCATTTGTGACGGACGACGGAGCCCCTGATCCTTGCACTTGTTGAGTACCATCTCCGCTCACCAAATTGGCAACACTACTATTGCATCCACTACTATTGCACTTGAGAGAGTTAAATGTATGTAGAGGTGCATCACCGCCACTACTAAATTGTAAAGAATCATCTTTCTTCATCACCTGCTCACAGTCGCGGTTGTTCAAATTGGCACCATTATCAGCACAGTCATGACAGTCTCTTTGTTCAGTACCGCTATAAGGTTTCTGAGTTGGACAGTTCCTCTGACCATCTACGTCTTGTTCATTGTCAGTAGTACATGACTTCTTCTGTAATGTTGAAGAGTTGCTGTGTTCTGTGGCAGGTGAAAGGCCTATGTTCTCTTGGTTTCTACTCGTCATCGAGTGTGAACATGCCAATTTGTCTGGCTTCTCAGTATCCCCATTGGGTTCAACATTGTTCTGATCATGTCCTGCATTTGATGAACCTCTGTCACTCTCAAAGAATGTTCTGCTTTGCGTTTCAATGTCAGCATCTTGAATATTTACACGTTTTCTAACGCCATGATTGTCATTCTCTACGGTAGATGCTGGTTTGTGTCTCGACTCTTCACAGACTGACGGGGAAGTAGAGAAGTTGCTGCTTCTCAGACAGTCTGTTTCCATGGTTACAACATTGATGATCGCATCCTTGCTGTTCTCAAGTTCTTCTTCAGAAGCAAAGAGGAGGTCACTGAGAAAGTAACTATCTGGCCAGTTGACTCTGGTGTAAAGTATGAGATTGGGAAGAGAGTAAGGAAACGATCAACTTATGCAACAATATTAAGGGGGTGTTTTACAAAGACTAATATCGACTTTCAGTTGGACTTTACTATGGCAGGCCATTCATGCCACTGGTTGCTCTCACCATTGGTCTCTCAATTATGATTTTTAGATCATATTTTTTCCTTCAATAATGAACTATCAAAAAAGGTAAATTCTGTAGATTTGTGGCCTCGATTTGTACGTCCCTTGAGAGACCAATTACCAGTAAATGGTGAGAGCAAACAGTGGCATGAACAGCCTGCAATAGTTAAGTCCAACTTAAGTCAATCTTTGTCTTTGTGAAACATTCCCCTGATCAGGCTCTCCTGTAAAAATGCTTAATAACGAATCATTATTATTATATTATAATTTTTGTGTGGCAAATACTGGGTTGAAGAAGATTTGTTTTCACTCAATGATACCCGACAATAATGGCAGCTACTGAAAGATAAGAGTTACAGAAATTATATCGATAGCATTACTATCATTTTCACACTCACCTTAATTTTCCAGATGAACTGTCTCTTCCAACTTTGACCTTCCGTGACCCCTCAGGAAGTTGATCAGCCCATGGTGGTTTGACCCAGGTCACATGACCAATATGACCTGCATAAATGGCCGGCATAATCCAGTTCTCAATGCTTAGGGCACTGCAAGACAACAAAATAAATAATGATAATGATATTGAACCAGTCTTTCAGAGGTGCCGTGGTCGAGTGATTAAGTCGCCAGACTGTTGATCACAAGGTCCGTGGTTCGAGACCCGTCGCAGCACTAATGTCCTTTGGCAAGACATTGATCTATATTTGCCACACTCAACCCAGGTGATGTTAATGGGTACCTGGCAGGAATTAATTCTTTGAAATACTAGAGCGCCGCAATGGCAGCACAGCTAAAGCTAGGGTAATAATCTCCAAGTTTGGAAGCGCTTAGTGATTCTAATAAGCGCTATATAAAAACTGAGTATTATTATTATTATTATTTTAGAGCGTATTGATGTACCTCTCTATGTGCATCCTTTTGGTTTGGATATTCAAGTTCAAGTTCACTTTATTCAATATTTTCATTAAATATGTACAAAGAAAAGCAAACACATAAAAGTTAAAATATAATACATGTATCAATATATAACATGAGAATAACACAGTTCGAGAAGACATGAAGAACAAGGGGTAAAAAAAACATTTAAACATACTTACTTTACTTTAATACACGATGTTGTAGGTCTAAGCCTGTTCATTGATCCAGGATTCTTCTATGATTACTGCTATTTGTGGATGGAGGAGGTTGTGTAATAACATGAGACAATAGACAACACCTAGACCGGCTCATACAAAAGGCTTGCATTCTTTGACCAGTGACTATCAATTCTATTCTACCACATACATTAATGAAAGTATTTGGAGACTAGACAGGGGCTTATGTAAAAGTCTGTCTTCAGTGATTGTTTAAAAGGCTACATGTATGTACCCGGTACTGGTTCATTATTTAAATTATTATTTTATTCAATAAAAAGGGAAAAAAGGGAAATTATTTACTATTATTATCCTAGCTCTAGTAACCATCTTCAGTGCATAGTACATGTACGTTTCAAGGAATAAATCCTTCCAGATACCCACTTATAACCTGGGAAGAGAGAGACAATGGTAGATATTAAAGGCCCTGTACAGTATTTGAACCTCTGTCTGCAGAATACTTTTTTAGCAATAGAGTTGTGGAAGTGTGGAACGGTCTCCCAGAAAACATTGTGGCAGCTGGGTCGGTCAACTCATTTAAAGACCGTCAATACTACTGGGCCAGAATGGATTAGACAACCCAGCCAGGTCACTGACAGGTGGCTATCACATCAACTCATCTCTCAACTAACATAAGAAAAAGAGGATCATGGGGGACCAACAGGCACCGATTGGGGAAGTTTTCTGGTTTTTTAAAATAGACTTGATAGTCACTGGTCAAAGAATGCAATTAGCCTTCTGTATGAGCCGGTATAGGTGTTGTCTGTTGTCCCATATGTTATTTCACAATCTCCTCCATCCACAAATGGCAGTAACCATGGAAGAATCCTGGATCGATGAACAGGCTTAGACCTACAACATTGTGTATTAAAGTGAAGTAAAGTAAAGAAGAAACAATTTGGGCTGCGTCTCACAAAACCATCATAAGTAGTAGTACAAGTTGAGCGACATCCTATTGAAATGCGTGTATTAAGTTTAAAATGCGTTTCAATAGGATGTCGCTCAACTTGTTTCGTGAGATGCAGCCCTGATGACCAAGTTTAATATTGGCAAATTTGAAAATCTGTTAACGTTTTTAATACCAGTATGCTCTTGGATAACAATCAAGTTGACTTTTGAATGTCGACTGATGATCCCCTTGAAACAAAATCTAACAACGGCCGTTATGGGTTATTTATGGCTTCCCTGAGTATCCCACTCACTCCAATAAATCCTGCTTCTCAAAGACAGTATCTGCAGGCATGTCGGTGTCTATCTGTAAATCAGGATGGGAGTCAAAGTGGAGCATGGCTATCCCTTCAAACGGTAAATGCCTCGTCGCAACGGCTCTGTAGATAGGCTCAAGAACCTGAAGAAGAAGAACAAAAAGGAAGAAATAACATTATTTTCTTCAAGGAGCTAGGTAGGTCTATACAGGCTACACATGTGCAACTTGAAATTCTGAGGTTTGTTTTCCTTGTATGTTTAATTTTGAGTGATTCAATGCATGCTTCCTATACAAATTACAACATAGAGGTCGCAGACGTTTTTTTTTCTCAAAATATATAGACCCTAGACCTAGTCGACTAGATCTAGCCCAATGTCATTCAAAAATGTAGAATCTTGTGATATGGTCACTGTCTAATGCCTGTAATTGTAAAGACATTAGATGATTAGTCATCTTTGTTTTTTCATTATTTCAAGAATTGAAATTTGAATGGATAATTTTCATACAAAAACTCAAATCATAATCATTTGCATTTCACAGAATTTTCTGTATTTTGTTGTTGTGAAAAACTCTCAGTCTCTCATTGATTGATCTTGTACACCAAAATATTATTACTTTCTGTAATTTGAAATGGTCACGACTTTCATGACTTTTGACTTTTTGAGCTCACACACACAGTACTAACTTCAGGGAGCTCCCACGCCCATCTTCGGGGTCGGAGCTCCCTTGACTCGAGTTAACACAGGACAGGACAACATACATCTCGTCTGAAAGACATCGATAGAAGTAAGTGGGACTGAGCTGAGGAAAAAAAATATTCGTTTGGTTAGTCCAGAACGCAGAATAATGCAGCCAACAAAATATTGGTGAAATGTACATAATTACCTCATTGTGATTTTCCACTATCCATACAGGTAGCTTGTTGTATTGACGAAGGGCTGACATTTTCCACAGAAATACCCCAACCTAAACAGCCTCAGGAGCAATTCGACTAGAATTATTTTTCAGCAACCTCAAATAGAGTCTGGACAGTAGACTATTGTTTTCCATGTCTGATGTGGTGGTCCTTGGCCTTTGTGATAATTTACATTTGAATAAAAAGGTAAATAGAGAATATTACTGATTAGTATGTATGGAATGAGAGCATTCTACATTATAACTTTCACTTGTCCGAGCCATTCATCCACTAAAATCACTAATTGTACGCAGAAAGAATTAAAACCAAGCGATCTCGCGTGCCAGTCGTCGCGTGGTTTTGGCAAAGGCTTGTCTCTGCGCCTCGGCTAGCTTCCCGGTCCCTCGACCGCCGCTAGCGCTGGGCGCGGCCGCTTTGGCACCGGAAGCTTGGTCTATGAGCTTGTATGATTATGATTATCATGATTATAAATGGGTATGATGCTGTTGCTAGTAGGTCTACTTGCTGCTAGCTGGTGCCTACTAGTCCTAGCTTAGTTAAGCACCATTTTGCTAATATTATTTAGACTAACTTTAAGTTTAAGTTGAGATAAACATTTTGATCATGTTGATGTTTTTTATTGTTTAAAACTTTTCTTTTGCCTACTACAAGTGTACTAGTACTAGACTCTAGTCTAATCTTGTTGTTGTTGGTGATATTCCATTATTCGTGATAATTAATGATGGTACAGTCGACTGATCTATATAGTAATATTTAAGTACTCAGTTAAGTAGGCCTAATCTTGATAATGACAGTGAGTGTGTGTGTCTGTGTTTGTCATTCGCTTTTGATTCTACAGAATTAGGGTCTACCGTCTAGACGTAAATCATCACATTGTCATTAGATTTAGTTTTTTTTCAGATTTAGATTAGATCATGGATCATAAGATGGGCAATTTGTGTGTAATTGCTGAGCTGTGAATCTCTGGAAATATAAAGAATTAAAGGTAGCCGGCCCTGTTCTTGACGTTTTACTCTTTAATTTTCTCTTGACTTTTGTCTTACTTAGATCTATCTCACATCACAAAATATGGAAGTCAATCCACCAGAACTTCTTCTTCTTTTTCTTCGTCTGTAGAAGAACAGACCTTCATGGTGTATCTTCGTACAGTGTACTTTTAAAGTTGTGCAGTTAATGAGTTATATGTCCAGTGATGGAACGCGATGGAACTATTATGCAACAGTGACAGAAGTGACTATGAAAGGAGAAACAAGGACGAGATAAACCTGAGGTGATGCTAAAGAGTGTGCAGCCTACTGATGAAAGAAACCATGATGGTAACTAACACTGGTGTGGGACTAGATAAGGCTCCAGAAACTTGGGGGTTGAACAGACTTGACGAAAACATGATGGAGATTGAAGAAGAAACATCAGAGGTACTGGTAAAGAGTGTGCAGCCTACGGATGAAACAAACCATAATAAAAAACAGTGGAGGGGGAGTAGATAAGGCTTCAGAAACTCAGGGGTCAGACTGATTTGACGGAGACATGATGGAAAGTGAACGAGAAACATCAAGAGGTGCTAGTAAAGAGTGTGCAGTCTACGGACGAAAGAAACCATGATGGGAACACTGATATGGGAACACTGATGTGGGACTAGATAAGGCTCCAGAAACTCACGGGTAGGACTGATTTGACGGAGACATACATGATGGAAAGTGAATGAGAAACATCCAGAGGTGCTAGTAAAGAGTGTGCAGGCTACGGATGAAAGAAACCATGATGGTAACACTGATGTGGGACTAGATAAGGCTCCAGAAACTCAGGGGTCGGACTAATTTGATGAAGGCATGATTGAGATTGAACAAGAAACATCAAGAGGTGCCGGTAAAGAGTGTGCAGTCTACGGACGAATGAAACCATGATGGGAACACTGATGTGGGACTAGATAAGGCTCCAGAAACTCAGGGGTCAGACAGACTTGATGCAGATGGAGTCAGGCTAACTCAGACCAGGGGACGACTCGGCCCAGCTGCTAAAACGGTCAGTTTTTGCCTGTTTAGGGTTAGGGTTAGAGTTAGAGTTTGGATAAAATGACCAAAAATGACTGTTTGCAGCTGGGCCAGGTTGTCCCGTGGCAGAGTTAGCCTGGATGGGTGGGCATTACAAGACATTGTCTTACTAAGGAGCCTGAGAAGACAGGGGAAAAATAGGTGAATACAGCTGAAAGATATTTACGTCTGGGGACGAATCTTTAAAATCACCATCCGAAAAACATGTCGTGGTACATGTATCTAACCTAAGGATCCACTTAGCCTTGAAAAAATGTGTCTTTGGGTTTGTGTTTCTTTTAAAGAATGTTGAATAACCTAGCATGAATTTTCTATTGCCAATGTGAAGAAGTGATGATTATTCAGCTTCAAAGAATGTGTTTATTTAATTTAGTTTTTTTATAGATTTGTCTGTCATTTTTGTTCTTTTATAGATCTACCGAACATTATCATGAATCCCTCAATGAGCCACGTCCTGGGCATGGTGTCAACGGGCGGCTCCAGCAGCTCCTCGGCCCAGCAGGAGTACCTCCTTGTAGGGAGCATCATGGACGCGGCCAGTGACTCCCTCCTGCTCCGCCTCAAGGCGCTCTGTGACAACGTGGAGATCCCAGAGACCTTCAGGGACCATGAGATGGTCTTCATACTCCGTGAGTCCTCAGTCGTCCCTGTCACAACAAACTCCTGCAAACTCGTGCAAAGGGTCCTGTGTGATATATGACATCGAAAAATAAAATGACTGCTGATTAATCGTTCTTCTTGTATCAAACATTGTTAAGCGGGACTGCGCTGCTCACTACTTGCACCCTCTAGATAGCAAACAATGCCTAAGCAGTACCTGTTGGTCCCTCCATGATCCCCTTTTTCTTATGTTAGTTGAAAGCTGATTTGATGAGATAACCACCTGTCACTGAACATGCAGGGAGGTCTAATCCCTCCTGGCCAAACTAGTGCAGACAGGCTTTAAATGGTCATATTGAGAGATTTTTCATTGTTGTCCTGATGGTTTTGATCAGATTGGTTTTACAGGGCAAATTGCCTGGAATCACCCTTTTGAGCATGTATCAGCCCAATAAAGGTCATAAGTAATCCAGACTAAAGGATATTGTTTAGTTCATAGAAGATTGACAATTCAAATATTGTGTTTTTTTTTATTGTGTTAGTGATTCCTTTCAATTTTCTTTTGAAGGTGGGCAAAATCAGCAGGCAATGTTGAGAGCAAGGAGATCAGTAAATCCACCAAGTTCATCATGGTAAGTCAATTAGGAGGAGAGACGTTAGCTCAGTGGTAGAGCAGTGGTCTCCTAACCGGGAGGTCCAGGGTTCAGAGCCTACTTGATACGCTAGTGCCCTTTGGTAAGGCATTAATCCTCAATATCAAGTCCCTCGGGGAGGACTTTAAGCAGTCGGTCCCCTGGTTGCTTACTTACAGAGTGACAGACATTGAGAGAGAGAGAGAGAGAGTGAGAAGAAAGACAGAGAGAATGAGGTGGGAGAAGATAAGAGAGATTATAGAGAAACGGAGACAGAGAAATATTATGGAAAGAGAAACGGACAGACTTACTGAGAATAGGACAAAGAGAAATATGGGGAAAGCGATAATACTTCTTTTGTATGAAAGAGAGAGTTAGAGAGAGCTCAGTCTGGATCCCTTTCAAAAGAATTAGTGTTCAGTTGTGCATATTGAGAGAGAGAGGGGAAGGGTAGGGAAAAGAAACAGACTGTATAGAAATAGAGAACAGTGAAAACTGTGGGAGAAGGTGAGAGAGACATAATAGAGAAACAGAGAGAAACATGGGAGACAGAATGAGAAACAGACAGACATACCGAGAATAGGACAAAGAGAAATATGGGGGGATAGAGATTTAAAAATTTGTATGAGAGAGAGAGAGAGAGAGATATAGGAGAGGGGGGGTTGTCTTGTGTATGAGAGAGGGAGACATGTTTGGTATTTTAACATCATTCTGGCTCTCCTATGATGATATTGACTTTATTTCTCTTTTCTTTGCAGGCAGTTGAGATATATTGGTCAGCCTGATGTTAGTGATAAAAGCAGGATGGTCACGGTTCGCAGTTACCACGATTGTGCCACATCCAAAAACTTGCCCAACTTCCTCGACGAGATTGGTTTCAAGTAAGTATATTTCCATTTCATCTTCCTCACTTAGTTGTTTGCTACTTTTTATAATTTTATTAATTCTACCATCATTACCATAAAGGTATAAACCAGTTTTGGAAACGCCCCCCTCTCAAAACATAAAATGTAAGCTCCATTACCAATCATGTGAAAGAATATGTTTTGACTAATACATGATGATAACAATTTTGCCTAATTGATATATTTGGTAAATTATTATATCTATCCGGACCAGATAGATATCCGTACGTGTCGCGTCGTCCCATAAACATCTTTCTCTGTACAGTGCTTGTAACTTTACCAAGACTGGGTCAAATTTCAAATATCATTTTGATGATTCCAGAACCTTGCAGTGCACACCAATACTTATATGCTAGATGATCAACCTTTTCTGATCGATTCACATTTCTTTTACAATGCGATCGCATGACCAGAACTGGTCTTTACCTTTAGCAATTAGCAAAAGAGATGTTATCAATCAAACTTTGGGGGGTTTAGAAACATTAGAAATGTACAAATGTTGCTACTCATATTTCCGGAGGCATCATGTTTTCGGGTTGTCCGTCCGTACGTCCGTCCCGTTTGACCGTTATCACAATATCTCAAGAACCACTGGAGATTTAAACTTCAAACTTAGTGATAGTGTGTATCACTATAGGAAAACAATCTGATTACATTTTGGAGCACGTAGGTCAAAGGTCAAGGGCCATAGAGGTCAACTTATGAGATTCCATACATTGAGATTGTTATCATGATATCTCAAGAACCACTGGAGATTTAAACTTCAAACTTAATGATAGTGTGTATCACCATAGGAAGACAATCTGATTAGATTTTGGAGCACCTATGTCAAAGGTCAAGGGTCACAGAGGTCAACTTATGAAATTACATACATTGAGATTGTTATCATGATATCTCAAGAACCACTGGAGATTTAAACTTCAAACTTAGTGATAGTGTGTATCACTATAGGAAAACAATCTGATTACATTTTGGAGCACGTAGGTCAAAGGTCAAGGGCCATAGAGGTCAACTTATGAGATTCCATACATTGAGATTGTTATCATGATATCTCAAGAACCACTGGAGATTTAAACTTCAAACTTAATGATAGTGTGTATCACCATAGGAAGACAATCTGATTAGATTTTGGAGCACGTAGATCAAAGGTCAAGGGTCACAGAGGTCAACTTATGAAATTCCATACATTGAGATCGTTATCACGATATCTCAAGAACCACTGGAGAATTTTCACTTCAAACTTAATGATAGTATGTATCACCATATCATAATATCTCAAGAACCACTGGAGATTTAAACTTCAAACTTAATGATAATGTGTATCACCATAGGAAGACAATCTGATTAGATTTTGGAGCACGTAGGTCAAAGGTCAAGGGTCACAGAGGTCAACTTATGAAATTCCATACATTGAGATTGTTATCATGATATCTCAAGAACCACTGGAGATTTAAACTCCAAACTTGTTTAAATTGCTCTATGGCGGAGGCATCATTTTCGACTGCGCGCAGTCAAAATTCCATCTAGTTATTATTCATTTCTTTTTCCTTTCCCAGATTAGACTATGAGTTTGTGGCCGAGGGGCACATGTTCAGGAAAGGCAGGCTCAAGATAACAGTATCAAAGTTGTACAAGGTAATATTACATTTATTTGACTTTGTTTTAACAAAACAATTAATCTTCGAATCCACTTTAATAAATTATTATTTTATTTTACCGGTAGTCTTTCCTTCGCCAAAATACAAGTGAGTTTCTTCTTTTAATTAAAATAGAACATTCTTATGAACGGCTCAAAGTAGTTTTATATTTATGATCTCATGATTTGTCTTTGGATATTGAATAATGTATATCTTTAATGTAATTTATATAATTGTATATATACTTATGTAATATACCATCAGCTAACAAGGAGAACATTCTTCTGAATCTCAATTTTTTTTTTTGGGGGGGGGGCAATCCACAGGCATTAGCTGATGGTTTCTTTTCATCTGTTATTGTATTTATCATTGTACTTTTTATTGTTAAACTTCTTTATGTTCCCGGAAATTAAATAAAAATAAAGTAAAGTCTAATTGTCAAATTCTAAAGGCTTGTTCACATGTGCAGCTTTAAAGCCCCACTGCACTACTTGTAGCTACTTCTGCCCTCTATATACCAAACAATGCCTAAGCGGTGACCATCCCCCATGATCCCCTTTTTCTTATGTTAAGTGTGAGCTGATTTTATTAGATAACCACCTGTCAGTGACCATGCAGGGAGGTCTAATCCCTCCTGGCCAAACTAACGCAGATAGGCTTTAATCTGCAGGATTTTTGAATACCTCATCCAATGAAAAATAATACAACTTTACATCAATAGAAACTTGAATGAACGTAGAATACAAAATATAAAAGAATAATAAACTTTTGACCTACGTGCTCCAAAATCTAATCAGATTGTCTTCCTATGGTGATACACACTATCATTAAGTTTGAAGTGAAAATTCTCCAGTGGTTCTTGAGATATCGCGATAACGATCTCAATGTATGGAATTTCATAAGTTGACCTCTGTGGCCCTTGACCTTTGACCTACGTGCTCCAAAATCTAATCAGATTGTCTTCCTATGGTGATACACACTATCATTAAGTTTGAAGTTTAAATCTCCAGTGGTTCTTGAGATATTATGATAACAATCTCAATGTATGGAATTTCATAAGTTGACCTCTGTGACCCTTGACCTTTGACCTACGTGCTCCAAAATCTAATCAGATTGTCTTCCTATGGTGATACACACTATCATTAAGTTTGAAGTTTAAATCTCCAGTGGTTCTTGAGATATTATGATAACAAACTCAATACAAGGAATTTCATAAGTTGACCTCTGTGACCCTTGACCTTTGACCTACGTGCTCCAAAATCTAATCAGATCGTCTTCCTATGGTGATAAATACTATTCCAGAGTCTTAAGTTTAAATCTTAAATGGTTCTTGAGATATTGTGATAACGGTCAAACGGGACGGACGTACGGACGGACAACCCGAAAACATGATGCCTCCGGCACCACCTTCGGTGGCGGAGGCATAAAAATGAGTCCTTATTGTTATCCTTTCCTTCCAAATATTGAATTTTTATTCTTTCTCTCCGTCCAGTTCTCTCAGCCTGGATTACCCGAGAGCCCTCTGGACGTCATGACTCAGTCGCAACTCGTTGAACTCAGCGTTGTGGCGCCCTCAGGGTCAGAAAATGTGCCAGAGGACATGCGGCTCTTCGCGGAGCAGCTCAAACCGTATCCTTTTCAGAACAGATGATAATAATAATAATACAGTTAAACCTGTTTTAGTGACCACCTGTCTACAAAGACCACATTTTTTGTTTCCCTTGAAAATGGTTTCTCATTGAAACATGTATTAAAGGAACCTGTCTTCAAAGACCACTTTTTGTGTTTCCCTTGGGTTGTTGCTATAGACAGGTTTGACTGTACTTCAGTAAATAGCACTTTTCCCATTAACTGTCTAAGGCGCTTTGAGTATTTTATTATTACCCCAGTCACTGTATTTAATTACTATTCTGCACATTATAGTACACACAGTATCCGCTCCCCGAATATCCTTCCAGCTGGGTGCCTTTTTTTAAACAGGCACATACATGTTAATCCAACCACAATGATGTTTGCAGCCTACTGGGTACCTCTCTACACCTGGGTGGAGAGGAGTAATTTTAGTAAAATGCCTAGCTCAAGGACAAAGTGTCGTGGCCGGGGCTTGAACACACGACCTTTTCATTTTCAGTTGAATGCATTAAAGGGACCTGGGGGTGTTTCATAAAGACTAAGATTGACTTTAAGTTAGACTTAACTACGGCAGGCCATTCATGCCAATGTTTGCTCTCACCATTTACTGGCATTGGTTTTTCAAGGGATGTACAAATTGTGGTAAAAAATCTGCAGAATGTATATTTTTTTATAATTCATTATTGAAAGAAAAAAGATCATTTGGGTGAGAGCAAACGGTGGCATAAACGGCCTGCCATAGTTAAGTCCAACTTAAAGTTGATCTTAGTCTTTGTGAAACACTCCCCTGGTTCAAGAAACTAGTAGGTTAACTAAATTTAGGAAGAGGCAAATTGGCAATGCAGCCTTTTATCTTGTTTGTTTAGTTTGAATCCATCATGCTGTCATTGCTTGATATTTTCCTGAGCTTTTTTTCTTCCATACAGTTTGGTAATTGTAGATAAGCTACATATATGACTTCAACTTGGATGCTGCTCGTAGAGGAGTGCGCTGTAAAAACATTCTCCAAAGTGCCCATTTTCTGCACCTGGATAGAGAGAGGCGATCAGAGATGAAGTGCATGGTGTATGTTTGACTTGACTCTCCAATGTTGTGGGAGTAAAATGAGACAATTGATCAATGGTTGCAACCATTTACTACACCTGGATCAAGATAGTCAATTGTGGCTGAAATACCGTGTGTACTTTTCTTGACTTTACAATGACGTTGTGAACTGTTATGGTAAAGAAAGACTAAAATCAAAGGTTTAAATCACAGCAATTGTAGATGAAATGTTGTGAGTAGGAGACCATTGTTCCTTCCAACACTGCACCTAGATGAAGATAGGCAACTGGAGTTAAAGTGCTCTTGACATGACAATGACGTAAATTAAATTATTATGGAGGAGGAAGAGTAAAATCAAGAAATTGAACCTTTATTCCGGCAGTCACTCTACTACACCTGGATTAAGAGAGGCAACTGAAGAAGAAATGTCGTTTGTAATGATCTTGATCCGAAATTTTTCAGTTATTAAGAAATCAAGCCATAGTGAACGAGCCAAAATGTTGTTTATGTACTCTTTGTGTATACTGAATAATCCTCTCTCTCTCTCTCTCTCTCTATGATTTTGCTTTTCTTCATCTCTCTCTTTCCTTCTCTGTCTCTGTTTTTCTTCCTTCATTTTCTTTTTTGCTGATTCCACTTTCAATACACTTTTCTTTTCTCTCTTTGTCTCTATCTCTTGCCCCCCCCCCCCTCTCTCTCTCTCTCTCTCCACCCCCTCTCTCTCTTGCTCTCTCTCTCTCACTCCCTCCCTTTCCATGATAATTATCTCTCAAGAAGAACCTTCCACATACATTACTTATAATTCCTTGACGGAATCCATTGTTGACACATATCTAATGATCTATTATTTGTTCGCATATATGATATTCTTATAATAACTCTCTCTTAAACGCATATCATGAATTCAAGCAGGTCAAGCCTGGTTCAAAAATTAGAACCAGAAAACTGTATATTTTGTATATTATCGTTTTTTGTAATAAACTAAATATCAAATATGTTAGTGTTGCCATGGTCTAAATGTATTAACTGTCTTGCATTGGTTACATGATGGAATGAACGATTGAATTTTGTTAGATAGAAATGAAACACATTTGACAAGCTTTTTTCCCAAATCATATCCACATTTTAATACAAGCGGTGAGGTATTTATACAATGGTGGGAGGGAGTCTGAAGCAAGTGAGTAGGAAAAGTGGAAAAGAGAAAAAGCAAGATGGTGGAAGAGAGAGATGTTGGGCAGTCGGATTGGGAGGGAGAGAATAGAGAGTGAAGCAGGTTAAGAGAATGGTGAGAAGGAAATTGGCAGAGAGAGGGAAAGAGATCGTGTATCCCCCAATTTCATTTTGGAGCTGGGACAGAATACTGGCTGTATGGCAATAGAGGATCAAATAGAGTGAAAGGGATAGTTTTAAAGGAGGAGGGGGGCAAATCCAGAGAAAGTGTTGGAGAGAGACAAGGGGGGAAAAGAGAGATGCCAGTCAGTCGGAATGGGAGAGAGGATAAAGGAGAAGCAGTCAGAAAAAAAGTGGAGAGGGAAATTGTCACAGAGAGAGAGGGAGAGAGATAGTTTTAAAGGAGGAGGAGGGGGCATATCTGTAAAAAGAGTTGGAGGGAGGCAAGAGAGGGCCGGGGCTGTCCGTGTCAGTGACAGATTGAGAGAGATAGGGAGTGACGAGCGGTGCATTGAGATAGAGGGAGGGGGAGATGACAAGAGAGAGGGAGGAAGGAGACGTAAGATAGCAGCACCTTTTGACAGAGACACGTCACACAACTATCATTGACAAACTCGAATGAAAAAAAATCAGGGACTTCGATAGACCATTTGGAATATTGACAACGCCGTGTTCTCTACCGAAAGATCAATTTAGAGGACCAACACTCCAACGCAAGATTGGATAATTATTTCTGTGATTTTGATCCAAAGTCAAAAGAAATCGTCAAAAACTCTTGCGACGTCGGCCAAGTTTTTCGGGCGGTAATATCCGTACAGTTCGAAATCCAGGCGATAATAATCGCATACCATTTGAAATACTTCTTCACTCAGCTGTTGATAATATGAAACTAACAAAGTTTCGTTATGGCTAACTTTATGGCGATCTTTATACTCTGATCCAAAAATCAATTTATCATCGACGCCTATAACTGCTTTGATAAAATCCATATCCTCGTCTGAAGTTTCTAATTTAACGATGATGTCATAATTGTGCTGGCAAGGTCGGCTGCGTACGTGCTGCGGAGTCCAATGGGGATCGCTTTCATCATAAGCTGGAGTTGAGTTTCGCGTCACAAAGTCCGCGAAATCAGAGAAAGTCACGCGCTTCATTTCATCACTAGCGTTCGCACCCGGTGCACGCGCTTCCAATACACGCGCGTCGTCGTTGCGTGAATCGACAATCAGCTTCGGAATATCCTTGCGATATCTATCCGTGTGTTCGATGAATTTATCGCGATAGCATGATATGAAACGGATAAGAGGATGGCGAACCGTCACAATTTTCAAATAGTTGGTGAGTCGATACCGGATTTTCTCAGGTGATCGTGACAGACGGGATAATGGCAGTGTAGGCTTCGAGTGAACATTCTGTAGTTTGGATGTAAAGTTTCTGACCGTACTGCCTTGCTCGGTCGCCAGTGCCTCCAAGAATTTCCTCCAGTTATCCGAGCCACACTTGAAACATAAAATAAGATGGAAGAGAATATAGTTGCATCATCCCTCAACAAAATTTCATTCAGTAACGGTGTGTTTTCTAATTTTGTCTGTTTTAAAGATACTATGTCCCTTTTGCAGCCAACATCAAATTCTGTAGAACTTTGCAGGTATTATGAATATGTCATGTATATCCTATCTGTGATATTTAAACGGTAGCAGTGTCCTAATATTCAAGTTATGCAAGGAAACCCGTTTACTTGCTAGACTTCACTGTCAGACACTATTGAGTGAGCGACTGGCTTTTTTTCTTCTTTGGTAATAACATACATAACATGAGCTGTAAATGGTAGGCCTACCCGAGCATCTGTTTACATCAATAACCCACTTCTTGTAATTGCCAAAATTAAACTGATTAAATCTTTGCGCACACAAAACGTACGACCATTCGGTACAATGGTCTGGAATTCAGAATATTAGTATTGCTTACTGACTTTGTAGCACTTAAGTCGATTCGCAACTAATAATCATTATTTTCCAAGACATTTTCAAGCCTCCCCCCCCCCCTTTTTTTTATTTTTTATTTTAGGGAAGTTCTAAATTAGTATTATCTTTCAAATGCCGTTGAAATATAACCTTTTAATTTTTGGGGCCTGCAGATGGGACATATACCTTTAATATGAGAAACAGGAAGGTGGATTTTAAAAATAGAACAAGATTAACAAATAGTTTTGAAAAATCAGGCAATTTCAAACGCCTGGTCCAATGATCATGCTATCAACTGTACAGATCAATGACGATATAATATAGGTATTGCAATGTCGTCATCAAACAGTTCTTCTATGGGATATTACAAACACTGTATGGTTTGATTTTCTTGAAAGTCTTATAATTATCATATTCATCATTCCTCAAAACTTGTGTAAATGATATGAGAGAGTGAGAACCCGAAGATTGTAAGGGCTTAAAAGGAATTTGACAAATCCGATAAGAAATCTTTGCGTGCTTGAAAACTGAGACCATTATTATATTTCTATGTGAACCTGAAAATGCCAAATTTGTTCAAAAACAATTCAACTTAAGTACTGCAACCTATATACCTCCCATTAATTATCTTGACTTGGATTGGTCAAGAGCACATGATCAAACATAAATTGTGTTTAAATTTTTAATAAAAAATGAACACAACCAGGCTTAATTATTCTTAACTGTGACGTCAGGCTTAGATATGTTTCACCATTGCCCAGCTTGCGTATGGCGATCATTTTATTTCCAGACACTTTGGCCCGAATTTAAAGGAGGTTTGTCGACAAACCTAGGTTTATGTGCGTCATATGACGCGTTTCGACGCTTTTCAAACCAAGGATACAGACCTTGGTTTGAAACGCGTCGAAACGCATCATAATATGTGACGCTCATAAACCTTGTCGACAAACCTCCTTTGTGAATTCGGGCCTTTAAAGCTAACACTCCATTTACATAGACAAGTATTTTTTTGCTTACCTTGAAAATCACTGATGTTATAAATTTAAATTTATCATTCCAAAACAGCGTGTCAAGATTCCCTCTGTGTGCGATGACGTCATTCAAATCATCCGGGTCCTTGGGATTGAGTTGGCGCATGCCCAGTAGAGAGCATGCCTTGCGTAGGTGATTTTGTCTAGCTATCATCTTCTCCTTGATGTTTAATAGAGAGTGGTCAAGGGTTCTTTGCTCGAGTTTATTGACCTGAAGTAAGAAAAGACGGTAGATTTTTTTTTTTAAATAACTTACAAGTAAAAAAAAAATTAGAGGATGAAAGAATATTATCGAAGGTTGTACAACATCATGTTCCTCTAATGCGACAACCGCTATGCCCAAATAACTTCCTACACTAATAAAACCGAATTTCTCCTTTCAACTCTGAATCCAACACCATAATTATCCCTCACCCTGAACTTAAAGGGGCTGTATAGCATGACGAGACTAAGTGTCTTTCCCCTTGACTCGGGGCCAATCGGGTATACGGACGACGCGACCGTGAGTATTATATTCACGAGCATGCATCACCGGTCTCTTTCGTGAACGCTAGCGCGCTGACCGTTAATCAAGTCCATTCGTTTAAGTGCAGTTGTCCAAAAGAAGTCGTAGATGGCGTTAATCAGTATTTGACATGCTACACCCCCTTCAAAATAAAACCCAACTGCAACCGTACACCTAACCCTAAACTTTTGACCAGTGGCATATCGTAAATCCCACCAGTGAGAGGCATTATGAACGAAGTTGAGATGGGAGCATGCAAACCGGTGCGCCGAGAGGGTGCGGGAGGCCAGTAAACTAGGCGTCTTCTTTATTCTCTGCCCCGTTTCTCTCTTTCATCTGTCTCTTCTTTCTCTTTTTCATTCTTTTCACCTTTTTTCACCACTCGTGCCCCAACTGCTTTTGCAGAAATAAAGCCCAGAGCAATCGCCGTCGGACCACCCCTTCAAATAGTGATGATGATGATAATGTTGATAAGGATCGGATGATGATGATAATGATGATAATAATAATAATTATAATAGTGAACATTTGAAATGCGGTATGTCAGTCAAAATAATTGACGCTCCTGGCACATTGTGAGAAATTTTGATTGTGGGCATAAATTTATAAAATATTTTGTGTTAGTGAAAGCAAATTAACAATATTTTAGCATACTTCAGGACATAATTTTATCAATATAATACAATAAAAGAACAAAAACATAAATTCAATTATAATAGCAATTGTATGATATAAAATGAAATGCAGAACTTGAATACAAGGACATTAAAGTTGATTATGTGTACCTCTACTACCTGAACTCTGCTCTGTATACTTCCAACTTTACCGTCATTGACTACGCTGTTCTCATCGTCGACTGGCCGAGCCCTTCTATCGTTCTCTCTTTCGTCGTCGTCTTCGTTGAGGGCCTTGTTGTTGGGTCGGACCAAGTCGCCTTTGATCCGAGAGGGGGCTTTTTTTATGACAACGGGTATGTCGAAGGGCCGAAGCTCACCCAGGAATGAGGAGAATTCTTGTTCCTCTTCATCGATAGCTGTCAAATCAAATGATAATTGATTTTATAAATTGAGAAAACTTTATCCTCATAATAATAATAATTTATTGTTAGCATATTTGCTAGACTTTACCGCCCACTCTCTCTCTCCCTCCCTCTCTCTCTCTCTCTCTCTCCCTCTCTCTCTCTTGTTTGTTATTTTCTAGTTCGTCATCTTGTATCTTCTTCTAATTCTCTTCCTCCACCTCCTCCTTCTTTCTCTCCTTCTTGTTCTTGTTCTTTCTCCTTCTCCTTCTTTTCTTCTTCTTCTTCTTCTTCTTCTTCTTCTTCTTCTTCTTCTTCTTCTTCTTCTTCTTCTTCTTCGTCTTCTCTCTTCTTCTTCTTCTTTTTTTTTTTTATAAATCGTATTCTCCCCTTCTTTTCCTTCTCTTTTATTTTCCTTCTTCTTCATCATCTTCTGTAGACATACAACGCTTCTGAAAAACTGTGAGAATCTATATTATTTTCCTTGCCAGATATTTCTTGAGATCTTTTTCCACTAACAATACTCCACCGCCGCTAGCTCCTGAACCTCCTATATACTGCATAATGATAACTTCATACATAATTGTTTTGGGCCATTTGCGATTCTCTCTCGAAGTTGACGTGACTGAATACCAAGCTGAACTACCGATTAACTGTAGGGGGGCTCTTATGTTTCGTATTTCAGAAAGTTCATAGTTCAGAAGCCACAAACTTCCGACATCTGGCGTTCGATTACTCCGATAACGAAATATCGTTCTTAATTCCGAATATTTGAACTATTTACTCCATGCGCAGGTCGTGTCTCTGGAGGTTTAATTATTATCTGAAGGTTCATAATTCTGGAAGCGAAATGGAATGCATTATTCTAAAATTATTTTCGTAAATGACACAGGATGTTTTTTCTCAGTGTTCTCGCTGATGTAGTTGTTGTTATTGTTGTTGTTTTGTTATTATGGCTTCCGGACTTGAGAACGGGCCAGTTGTATTTTCGAAATTACAAACCCCCTTACGGACCTTCGGATAGCAAACCTACGGATTAACGATCATTCGGATACATGAACCTTCGGAAAAACGATATGTCCTTACCATTCTCCTTGTCACTGTCGACGTTGAGGAGATCGGATAGGTAGATGGTGACGATCACGAATAGGAGGATGACCGCGATGTTTAAGGTACATCGTAAAAGATGAGTTTTAAACCTTCGGCTGCAAAAGAGCCTCATCTATCCAACCTGCATAAATTAGTATAGGAAGTATTTCAAACCAAGAGACACATTTTGGTAATGCCATCGATTTCGATAATCTTTGTATAATAACAGATTATTATGTTTATGTATTTTGAACTGTCGATGCAGAATAGCTTCATTTATCCAACCTGCATATAAGGAGTATAAAATTATTTAAAGCAATATCAACATTTTCTTGAAAGGACATAAATTTCTATCATAGTTGCATAATAACATATTCTCTTATTTTTAGATAATCGATTGCAAAATATCCTCAATTAGCCAAACTATGTAAAATAATGTTTATTTTCAAAGCAATAGGCAAATTTCCGGTGTGCCATCGAATTTTATACATCTTTTGATAATGACAGAATATTTCACGTATTCGAAACTTAGTAAAAAGGCACAGAGAGAGAGTGCCGGGAAGCAGGGTAACCAACCGCAGAAAAGGGTTTGCGTAGGCCCACATTAGTGACATTACAGTTCCTGTTCATTTAAAGAAAAACAAAAGAACTGAATCAGAAATACCCAACATCCCAACATCACCCCACCCCACCCAACTCACACAGGGGTGTATCGGTCATAACATCGCACTTACCTTAATGTAGATCAAGCAAAAGAGAATAATCCAATCATATATCGACCTATATAATTCATCTGCAGATCATGCAGCCGTTATCTTATTCGCTCTCTGAGTATAAGTGTTTTTTTTCTACTTCAGGCGAAAAACAAAAGATGCTGCACCTATTTGAGAATAGTTTTCGAACAGCAGGTCAAATTTATAAGATGTCTGTTACACGACAAATAATGCAATCATATAAGCTAAAAGGCAACAGAAACATTTTAAGCTGGCCAACTCGTACTTTCAACCGTTGCCAATGAATGTACACATTAATTTTGATGCCGCTGTGACAAACATACATGTCTGTATTACTGTAAGTGATGTGATGTCCATTCGGTCAATACTAATGTGTCTAGTCAATATAGAGTTCGCGGCCCATGTCACACTCGAGCTATCTTTCCAAACGAAAACCACGATCGTAACGGGTCCTGTTGCATAAAACGTGTCATCATTCAATAGCTTATATATAGGCCAAACGATTAACGATAACGTGATTGTAATAAGCTACTAAAATCATTGCATTTGAGTTGCCGCTGAAAGCAAATCTGGCATAGAGTTTTAGCATTTGTTTAAAAAGTTTTATGAAACATGGCCCATGTATATGTTGTTGATTCCGACAATAACGCTCTAGGGGATTTACATCCAGGCTTTGTTTCGTTGACGATAGGATCATGGGCTGGGGTTGCGGGTAATTAAGGTTTGTTTATAGGTTGGGTTAAAGATCGCTTTAATTCGTCGGTTCCGTGATGAAGGTATTATATTAATTAAGATATAAATTTTTAAAAAATAAAGAATTAAAAGAGTGTTAGAAATGACCCCCTCCCAAAACAATAGAATGGTGAGGGAAAAAAACGCAAACCAAACCACCAAAGATAAATGAGTGAAAAGGGATCAAGAGAGAGAAAAAGAGAGAGAGCGAGAGGGAGAGGGGAAAGAGAGAGAGAGAGAGAGAGAGAGAGAGAGAGAGAGAGGAGAATGAGAAAGAGGAGAGGGGAAAAGGGAAAGAGGAAAAGGATCATGAAAACCAAACAAAATCGACTCTCACTCCCATACCCAAATCGACCGATTCCTAACCATTTCGGGTAATGTTTTTTTTTTTTTGTCAGTTATATTATGCGGTCGGTCTGATGACGGCCCCTTGTCGTTGTGTTTCCATTTTAGACATGTTGCCCCAATGTGACTGGGCCCTTACTTATCATGACTTCATTGTTTTCTTTGTTGGCAGATGTCATTGACCAAGACAGCTGTCGAAAGTGGCGGTCGGATTTCGACCTTCACCACCGAGTTCGTTGAATAGGAACATGGATGAAAATATCGATCTGTCTCGCCGATAATTGCTCCGCGATAATTTCCTAAACTCTTCGCATATAACGTCAACATATAGGCCTACCTACCCTCACCCTATCCATAAACCTAACCTAAAACTCAATTGTAGCCCTAACCTTAAAAGGGGATAGTTGAGTTCTTGTTTGAGACCGCAGATGCCTTCAAAGTGCATGGTTCTTGCTCTTTTTATTGCTATATGAAGGTAATTTTAGACCCCAACATAATTAGCCCCACAGCTCCACTTTCAAAAAATACGGTGACCGTTGATTAATTAATTAATAACAACAATACACGGGCCGGTGTGACCGCACCGTTTGTCCTACCAGTTTCGTTTGTCCGTCGGACATAACATGCGGGTTTTCTGCTCGTGCGGTTTGCTATCCGCACAGTCTGTCCTCATTTTGTTTTACGTGTATATTTGATAAAAGGAAGCAACTCGGTAAATCATGTGGTAGACATTTTTTCTAGATATTACATAATAATAACTCTCTACAATTTTTTTAAAGCAAATGGGCCAGTCCTTTTGAAAGTAGAAGTGAATATTTTATTTAAAACCTTTATTCTATGAATATCGGCCCCACAACTGTTGTAATTGATTATACTTTTGTACGTGGCTTCGTTCTTCAACCCGAACTCACCACTAGTATATACTCGTGATCCAGGCCCCGCCCCTAAGTATTTGGGGGCGTTTCGAAGTATAATGAAGGAGTTAAATGGGAAATAAAAGTGATTAAAAATGTGGTTGAAAGTGAGTGGGGGAGGCTAGAGTATTTAAGATAAGGTAGAGCGTAGCACAAATTGGCGGATGCTCAGGGGGTAGGGGCATTTAATTACGGTCAGGTGAGCATATTTTAATACCTTATTTATGACACTAGCAGGTCACTAATTGGAGTATGGTCCAAGGGGCGGAGCCCCCGGAAGCGCAGGGGTTTTAGGAATTAAAATTACGGTCAGATGAGCATCCAGGGGCCAGCCTTAGGGCACAAGGTGGGATCCAGGGGGCAGAGCCCCCGGAAGCTCAAGGGTATGGGCATTTAATTACAGTCACATGAGCATACTTTCTTTTCTATTTCTTTCTATTTAATTATCTTTAATATACTTTTTCAAAAGTGTGGGGGGGGGGGGGCTGGAGCCCCCAAGCCCGCCGTTCCACAGGACCTGACAAGTATTGTTTCCCTGATCCGTATATAGGACAAGGCCCTGGGGCAGTTAGCCATAATCCGATATTTGGGTCGTTTTCCGGGTCAGAACTAGCCCTTACTATCATTCCAGGATTTTGTTTCAGAACCTGAGACAAAGTTACCCAATCCCTTTAAGTTTCAAAAAGTAGACTTCATTGACCTGTACAAAGGCTTAGGAACCGGGGGGCTCAAATATCACTGAGCCCCGCAAAAATGTTTGCGGGGCTTATAGATATCATTAAGCCCCCCAATTTGTCGGTGGGGCTTAGATATCATTGAGTCCTTAGGGGTTAAGATACCATTGAGCCCCCAATATTTAAGTGGTGCTCAGATATCATTGAGCCGCCCCCGATACTTATTGCGGGGCTCGGATATCATTAACCCCCCCCCCCCCTCCTCCCCAATCATTATATTCTAGGCATGAAACTCATGTATACCTATAATCTACAGGCTTACCATTCAAATATAAACATTTTATAAATATTTATTTGGGGAGGAGGGGGGGCTCAGACATCGGATCTCGCATATCATTGACCCCCAAAAATATATTTGGTGGATCTCAGATATCATTGAGCCGCCCCCGATACTTATTGCGGGACTCTGATATCATTGAGCGCCCGCCCCCATATTTTAATGGGGCTCAGATATCTTTGAGCCACCCCCCCCCCCCCCCCCCCCATATGTTGGTGGGCTCAGATATTACCCAATTGTTTTTTGTGGGGCTCGGATAACATCACGGAGCCCCCCGATATTTGTGTGGGGCTCGGATAACATCACGGAGCCCCCCGATATTTTGTGAGAGGCTCGGATATCATTGAGCCCCCCCCCCCCCCCATATTTTGGCCTGGCTCGGTTATCATTATCATTATAGATTGGTGCACATCATTATGCTCGATCATCCTCTCCTATCTGTTTGTTTTCATTCCTCTTTTAGTCATCCTTTATTTACTACCTATGATAATTTATTTGATAAATACCTATATATGTAAAATAAACCCTGGAGGTTTTAAGTCCAGGGCAGTTCAACACACGCAATCATGAAATAAGGATGTCTTCATCGAAGTGTCTCTGTAGGTTTAGAACCACGCCCTGTGCCTACCCGCTCAGGCCACTCTACATTCAGGGGCGTCGCTAAAGGGGGGGGGGTGTGGGGTTGAAGTCGGTGGGATTTTTGTTATGTCGGTCGGCCAGCAATTTTTTTCCCCTTCGAACTGTGACTTTTTATCGGACAAAGAAACATTTTTGAAAATTCAGACAATGATTTAGAGTCGGTACAATAAATCGTCTTCTTTTTCTAATATTTTAATGAAACGTTGAAGCTCCCGCATTTCGCGCGAGAGGGGGAGAAACTAAATTCAGACAATTAGGGTTAAGAGTAGAGAACGGTACACAACAAATCGTCTTCTTTCTATAATAACTTAATGAAATGTCTAAGCTTCCGCGCTGCGCGTGGGATGGGGAAACTGAATTCAGACAAGGATTAAGAGTCGAGAACGGTACAACAAATCGTCTTCTTTTCATAATAATTTAATGAAACGTCTAAGTTACCGCGCTTCGCGCGGGAGGCCTTTCACCCATCCCCTCCCCCACGCGCGCTCTTTAAGTGATTCGCTTGCTCAATACCGCCCCTCCCTAAAATAAGATCCTAGCTACGCACCTGCGTTTAAATATATAGCTATGATGCTAACTAAGTTGACGAAATAATTTGTATATTTATGTCGTCGACGAAAATGACCATTTGCGCATAACAATTTAGCCTTCGCATGATCATTTTTGCGCTTCTTGCTGCCAGCAAGATAGTTTCCTTCTGCATTTAATTTTGTTGCTGTTATGAGTTCATATTAATATTTTTGTTATCAAACAGGAATAAATAAATGAATATATAAATACATTTTGTACAATACGATTTGTACGATAGTTGTACAATGATGATAGAAGAACCAATGAAAATCGCAACTGATCTTCCCTAATTCTTTTCCCCCTTTTCTTTTCTTCCTCTTTCCCTTCCCTTACATCTCTCTCTCTCTCTCTCATTTAAGTTTGGTGAGGGAGGCAGGGACCTTTCGCCCCCTCCCCCGATCCACATGATGTCGGTGGGATTAATTGCAACTGATCTCTTTTTACCCTTTTCTTTTCTTCTTCCTCTTTTGTGTTCCATTTTAGCTCTCCTCTTTCTCTTTCCCTTCTTTCTCTCTTTTTTTTTTTTTTTTGGCGGGGAGGGGGGGGGGTGGTCGGGGGGGGGGGCAGAGGCAAAGGCCTTTCTCCGCGATCCACATCTTGTGTGCATGAAAATTGCAACTGATATCCCTTCTTTTCTTTTCTTCTTTTGGTTCTTTCCCTTTCCTTCCTTCTCTCTTGTTTTGCGGGGGGGGGGAGGCAACAGCATGGGCGGCAAGGCCCTTTCGACCCCCCGATCTCCTTCTTTTCCCCTTTTTCCTTTCTTCTTCCTTTCCTCTTCTCTCTTCTTTCCCTTTCCCTTCTTTTCTCTCCTTCTCTCTCTCTTTCTCTCTCTTTTTGTTTGCTGAGGGGCCAGGGGAGGGTAGGCGAAGGCCTTTCGCCCCCGATCCACACCGCGTTGGTGGGGAAAAAACACAATTGATCTCCCGTACCTTTCTTTTCTTTCCCTTTTCCTTCTATTCATTTCTCTCTCTTTTAAGTTTGCTGTAGAAGGGGGAGGCAAGGGCCATTTGCCGCCCCCCCCCCCGATCCCCAACTTGTTCGGGGGAAAACTGCATCTGATATCCCCCTTTTTTCTTTCCTTCCTTTTATCTCCTCTTTTCCCTTTTTTCTTTACCTTCTCTTCCTTCTCTCTTTCTTTTTGCTGGGGGGGGGGGGGGGGCAACAGCCTGGGAGGCAAAGGCCTTTCGCCCCCCCCCCCCCGATCACCTTCTTTTCCCCTTTCTTTTCTTCTTCCTCTTCTTCCTTTCCCTTACTCTCCGCTTTACCTTTTCTCTCTCTCTCTCTTCATTTTTTGTTGGCGGTTGGGGGTCAAGGCCCTCTCGCCCCCCCCCCCCCCACCCCCTGGATCCGCGCCGGGAAGACCTGTAGTGTCATCCATAGCTAGCTGGCAAAGCTGAATATGGGTTATCCAGTCGTTTCATTCATTGAGTATAATTATACTTGTATTGACTATGTATACGTGTGGACTAGAGTACGGACAGGTGCGGCAGGCGGACTATTGGTGCGAGACCTCTTCAGCACAGATTGTCCGTCAGACATTTGAGGCGTGCACGGAATGTCCGACACGGACATTCTGCGCGGATAAAATCCGCACCGATCGTCCGCTCTCGATCGATCTCTAATAGTCGGACGATCGGTGCGGGTTACATTCTACGCGGTCCAACCGGTCACACCGCACAGTGGGCCAGGGAGGAACCAAAGTGCGCCAAAACTAAGTTTGGGTGATTTTTTTTTTCCAATTTTTTTCTTGCCCAGTTGAAAGGTAATACATAGAGGAATACCTCAGTGAAATATTTAATTCCGTTATGCACAATAAGGGTATAAATTTACTACTTCAAACAGCAAAATCCTACATATTCACAGTTTTAGTGCAAAAGTGACTTATTTTATAAATCTTTCAATTCAACATGAATTTTTTAAGTTATTGATATGAAATTGCTCTCACATATTCCTGATAGTTCATTTCGTTGAATGAATGGGTTAAAATTAATAGAAACACAATCTTCATGATATATTATAGGGTAATTCACTGAAAAATGGACTAATTATCCATGTTTTTTATAAATCCAGAAGAAATGTTTAGATCTCCGCAGTGTACCGCTTAAATTTTAATACCACCATTTTCTCTGATGTCTAAGCTTTAAGTTGATACCAAATTTGGCTGCCCGATCTTGCCCGTTGTTATGTTAGAGCCGATTTCCCTTGCCACATTGCCCCGAAAAATGTGGGTTTTGGGGGTCCGCGGCTGAATCATGAAGGATTCGTGGTCATAAATCACGGCGCGAGGGGGCGCGTGACACTTATTCTGACACCGCGGACCGAAATAAACACATTTTCGGGGCAATGTTGCAAGGAAAACGGCTCTAACATAATAACGGGCAGAATCGGGCAGCCAAATCTGGTATCAACTTAAAGCTTAGACATCAGAGAAAATGTTGGTAATCAAATTTTAGCGAAAATCCCTGGAAATCCAAACATTTCCTCTGGATTTATAAAAATAAATTCCCAAACATGAGTTTTGGCGCACTTTGGTTCCTCCCTGGCCCACTGTGCACCGGCTGCGTCTTATTTTTTCGTACCACGGCGAGCCCGGATTCCTGTTTTATCATGAATATTCATTACGCAGGGTCGGGGAAAGTCTCGATTCTCTTGAATATTCATATATGTTCGAGGCATGCGCAGCATCGAAAATAGTGTGTAACACGTACGTTGGATTAATGGCATGCCTATAATATGACATAGAAAAGCAATGTCATGGTCATTTAGATAATACAGTCATAAATGCTGTGTTTAATTACTAGTAAATGCCAAAATGTCAGTAGACAAGATATATAGCATATATTTCAAGTAAGAGTCTTTGATAGGCAATTTGTGAGTAGCCTAGCCCTACTTTTCTGAGGTCAAGTTGAATCTAGTTCTTTTTATGAATGGGAAAATAATCAGTTCTAGGTTTGCTTTTTAAATATTACAAGCAGAGGTTGCATTATGGTATTGAATATGTGATACAGTATTATAAACTGTATAAAATAAATAACAAGAATAGGCCTACATACAGACATTTATCAAAAATAAAATACTTGTGTAATGCACTTAAATTATTTCTATTATCGCTCATTTAACTGCATAAGGAAGAAAAGGAAGAAAGAAAAATGGGATTAGAAAGAAGAATAAAAAAGTTAAAAAGTAAAATATATATAAATAATAAATGAATGGAAGAAATAAAGAATACGGAATAGATACCAAGGAAGAAAGAAATAAATTGCAAGAAAATTGAAATGAAAAGAAGACAAAGGAAAAAGGGAAAGGAGCAAGATAATATTGATACCATATCTTCAATCTTTTTTCTTTTACCTGCCTCTTGTTTTTGTTTAGGCCTAGCTACCATTTTTTCCTTTCCTTTCTCTTTATCTCTTAAAAGTTCTCTTTGGTTTCTTTCTTACATTGTTCTATCCTTACTCATATACTGTGCAGAAATGATTTCCTCCTATGGCGTATTTCATCTAGATTATATGTTTGTCACCAGCTGACAAAATAGTGAGGGAAGGGGGGGGGGGGGGGGGGGGACTCGATGATAATTCATCATTTGAAGGTTTACAATGTGATGTCCATGAGTTATATGCACCCACTGAAGAAAATCCATGTATAGGGTTGCTGCAGGAACCCCAGCACCCACAGATCCCATGCATGATGAGACAAACTCGAGAGAAAACTACACATTCAAAGATCAAAGTCACCCTCTCAACACCCAGTATTCTTTCAACCGTTCTGGAATTCGATTAAACGTCCCACGCACAAACCGAGCACGCTTCCGCCAATCCTTCGTACCAAACTCTATCCACATGTTCAACCAATTCGTTAAGAGATAATAATAATAATAATTATAATAATAATAATAATAATAATAATAATAATAATAATAATATTAATAATAATAACAATAGCAATAATGATTATAATTATTTAAATTTATAAACTGTTATCATAAAGCTATTTCAAAGATATTTTTAATCATCTAATCAAGTTTAACAATTTTGGATGGCTTAAACAATTTTGTATTATTTATGTGAAATGACGAGATCTTTTCTGTTCTGAAATTGCTTGCTTAATTGTTCATATGTTCATATTATTGTACTCTGTTTCTCGTATCATTGTAATGCTGGTGGAAAGCATATTTCCACATTGTGGACGAATAAACTCAAATCAATCAATCAATCAATCAATTCTTTCACATACATTAAAAAAAAAAATTAAATCCAAGATCGGTTGAACTCTTTTTGACCCCTCCCCAGGACGTCGATCAACTACATGTATATGCCCCCCCCCCCAAAAAAAAAACCCATCAAACTCTGGCTACGGCCCTGGCGATAATTACCCACTATTCAAATCTGACAGCTGCCCCTTTTTCTTCAACAAATGCCCCTTTTACTTCATAATAAGTGCCACTGTTCCATTTTCATAAGTGCCCCTTGTGATACCTGATAAAAGCGCTTTTATTTTTTTACTTTGACACGCGTCCCCTTACACTTTCTAACAAGTGCCCTTTTACCTTTTGATATGTGCCCCTTTCCCTGTTTAATAGGAGCCCCAACCCTTTCTCATAAATGCCCCTTTGACACATGCCCCCTTTTCCTTTTTTTATAATTCCCCTTTTCTCTCTTTCTCTGTCTTTCGAAAACTATCTTCTGCAAGGTTTGTTCTCTTGACTGAGCAACCTGTTGCAATTCCTTTCTGTCTCACTTTCAGTCGTACTTGTTGCCACTCATTTGCATTCACTCGTTATCAACTACCATCAACCATTCCATATTCACTCCATTACTGTCCACATTTCAATTTCATTCTCTTCACTCTCCCTTTTTGCAGCCTTTCCAGGAGCTTTGCTAGAAGTAGAATATTTTTAATGTAGAGGCCAGAGAAACCGGAAAGTATGTTAATCATTTTATTCAAATATCTAACTTGAAAAAGGGAAAGTGAAACATTGTTTAATTACATTATATTGACATAATTTTGTTTGAGAAATTTGAATTTAACACTGGAAATTGTTAATTGGCATGCCAGCCCCCCCCCACCCCCCCCCCCCCCAAAAAAAAAACACACAACACAAAAGTGGTACTAGGGTTTTTGTTAGGAGGCCCATGTCCTGTATAATTTTTATTTTTAAGAATAGTTTTCTCTTTTTTATTAATTTGACATTGGCATACCGTAAATTTCACCAGGAACCCCCCCCCCCCCCCCATTAACAATCGACACTGCCATTACTTCTACCAACAGTAATGCTATAATTCAAAATTTCACTTTCTAAATCCTTCTAATATAAACATATAATCATATTTGTACACTTTTGCAACCTGTTACATGGACCATGTAGTAACAGCACCTGGAAGAGGATAGCAAGCCCCCCCCCCCCCCCCCCACTCCCTGTTTTCTTAAGTTGGGAAGCATCGAAACATGATTCTATTAAAGCTAGCAGTTTGGATACGAAAGGCAATGAGGATTAGCAGTTTCCATATTTAATGCATTTAGAGTGTTGTCTTTCAAACCTTCTTACATACAATACTTGAAGTAGCAATAATTTCATAATCTACAAAACTTCCCACACAGAAGTCCATAGAGGTAAATGAATTTTAACATGTATAATTATAATCAAAATATATCATTGATTAATTCAATCTTTAATATACACTGATAGACCTTTATCACTCAAATTTGAAGGAGAATCTTTCTGCCCAGTCCTCAGTTTCATCCTATAAGATGGTAGTTGACATTGTTAGAATTTTAACGTTTATTCGTTGAGGATTATTTATCTTTAATTATTTGAAAGTCGACAAGAGGATAAACTTCATTACCTTTATTGAATGTAGTATTCTACAAACATATAATACAAATAACAAATAGATATCATGTAAATATTCCAGTGTAAACCCATCTCTATTGTCCTCTTTCATTATATGAGGGTGGCAACTTTAAGACGTAGTCTCGTGTAGATATCTTCTGCATTCATCACTAAAGTTGTAGCCTAGTTTCCAGAAAAAAAATATAACCCAAGTCTGTTGAATGGAAAAATGAAATAAGATATAAAAAAAATCAACAATGACTAATAACATACACCCTGATACCTGCTCAGAAAAAGGAAGGACTGGAATTCACTTGGGGTTCTAGTGGGCAAACCTAAACTATTTTTTGTACAAGACTAGTTTAAATACTGACCACATCTTAGATTATTATTGATGATGTTATTAAGGACAATAGGCCTGCTGGAGCTCGGATCAGACAAGGTATGAAATAAGTTATACAATGTAAGACAACTCGTGCTCATACCGGTAATTGAATAATACTTGTTTAAGTATGGGACAAAAAATAACCAAACAACTTTGACCAGAGAATGTACTGGAAATAATGCTATTGAAACATACGTAATGTAGACTTATATTTCATCTATATTGACATTTAATTTTTAATTTAAATTACAATTGTGATATTCAGTCAATTATTCTTTTACAAGTCAACTGACAATGAAAAATATCTGTTTCAGATCTATAATTTTCTCCATGACATTTGTTCCACAAAAATTTGTTGGGGGACCTTCATGTATATTAGCACACTTGCTCGTATGAAGTGTAGTAGGCCCGCATCTCTAGATATGATCCAGTCAACATCTGTTCTTTGATCCTCTCCCGAGTTTGCAAACCAGAATGCCTTCACCATCCGCTGTAGAGAAGCATCATCCTACATGAGAGAAAACAAAGTAGGTACTTCAATTAAAAACTGATACTGATGGATACATATCAACCATATAAATACATCCAATAAACAGACTTTTATCAATCTTATTTTGTGTTCTTCTTTATCTTCATTGCTCAAGAAGTGAAAGGACCCCTTACAAAAACAAATGAGGGGTCCTGTGTATACCCTACATGTAGTGCTTACGATGTGCATTTGATATGGCTCTTCTAAACACAGGACCTCCTGTAAATAAGGACAAATTTTCCTTTGTAAACAAAGAAAGAAAAGACATCAATATTTGTATACTAGGTGCAGAACTAGAATAAAATATACCCTCCACTATATATGCTTGCAATGTCAACTTAGTTCCATTTCCTTTTGAGTGAATTAATAAGTGGTCGTTTAATATTTGTGTGCTTAATAACCTGATAACTGTACCTGCATGGGACTTTCTGCTTCATCTTGCAAATATAAGAGATGTTGTAATGTCCTCCTTCCAGCTCTTCAGTTTCAATCTTTTGGAACAAAAAGAAGAAAAAAATCAATACGACAATCAAGGCATCCCTTTCTACTTAACGAAATAAAATAGATCTAGCATAATACAAATTAATAGCTATTTTTTATGTCATGGTTGGCCTTAATTTTAATATGGTGTGGAATCAACATTCCTATTTAATGAACCACAGTACAAAGTAAAACTAAATGGAAGATTTAACTTGTGCATCAAACAGTGGTTTCTATGGCCTATGAACACGAAGTAGTACTAAGTAGAATTAGTTTATTATAACAAGAAGAGGTGGACTACATACCACAGTGCCCTCCCATTTTTTCAAGTACCCTAAAAGTGCCCCTTTTTGCATGGGAAAAGTGCCACTTTTTACATAGGAAAGTGCCCCTTTTACTTTGACAAGCACCCCTTCCCCTCCTAGTCAGTATCTTTTCATCTCTTATAAATGCCCCTTTTATTTTGACACGTCCTCCTTTTCCTTCCTATATAATGCCTTTTTTCCTTATAAGCACCCTTACCCCTTATCATATTGATTACCACTTTTCGTCTTTGATAAGTGCCCCGTTTATTTTTTTCTTTTTAGTAAGAGCCACTTCCCCTTCTCATTACCCTTTTAACAATGATATGTACCCAATTTCCTTTCTTATAAAGAACCTATCCCTTTTTCATAAATGCCCCTTTTCACTGCTTATAAATGCCCCCTATCAAAATCTGATGGGTGCCTCTTTTCCGGCGTCGATAAATGCCCATGTCCTTATCATCCCTGGTGCATGCCTCTTTGTTTAGGTGTAAGAAGTGCCCCATTTTCACCTCTGATAATTAGCCTTTGTACTTTGACACATGCTCCTTTTCTTTTCTGATAAGTGTCTTAACCCTTTCGATAAGTGTCCCCTTTTCCTCTCATCATTAAACGTGTCCCTAATTTCGAGCAACTAAAAGCAATTTCCCACAAAGCTCGCTCGCTACGCTCGCCCATAGTTATAGATGTTATAATTATGTAACTTATCAAAGATCTATTCAGTCTTCCGTTATGAGATTGTGCTTATAACCCCATCAGGATTGGGTTTTCCTCTTTATAAGATGTAATTTTTCGCACTGCGACCTCACAAATCTTAAAATTTTTCCTCGCTCGCAAATGAATTTTTAGACCATCACACCCAACTGCAAAGTATGATACTTAAGCAATATCTTATATGCTGTATGAAGAGAAACAAATATTGAAATCATCCCTGATAATGTAATCACAAAATAGGGGTATATACCAATGTCAAAAAAATTGTATATTTTCCCTCTGAAGGTGCCCTTTTTGCAAGTGCCCTTTTTGTTGGTGCCCCCCCCCCCCCACTTTGGAAGTTGCTCCGCCGCCTCTGCATATAAGTAAACATAATTGTTGACTACCCTAGGGGTCTTCTCTTATACAACGTCCAAAAAAATAGATTTATCAAATGAACTGCACACTTTGGAGAAGAAAAACATCTTTAATAGCTCTAGACTCTAGATCTAGATCTAGAAAAGTTATGACAACTTGACAAGCACACTGGACACACACAACATCTAAACATTAAATAAATGAATCCTATTCCTAGGTCTAGTTTGTTTGTTTTTGAATATTTTTATTAATAAGTTCCAGGCCTACGTCTAAATGAAATATGGTTTGGAGCCGTTTGATTATCCATGGTCACACAATTTTGGTCTAAAAGTTGACACGCACCAATGATGCAACTGAGCGAACGGATGGCACTTATTATATAGAGTCTAGCCAACATAGATCTAGTCCACATCTACTAAAGATATAAACAAGAATTACCCTCTTGGATTATTAAAGAAATCATACTTCATAGATTATTTTAAGGTGTAAAGTTTAATCTAGATTTAAATTCGATGGATGATTGGTGAATAAGATTCACGATGACGATCAAATTTGGAAAAAACCTGATTAGAAAGTTTTATCTTGATGCAGATGAGCACCGAAATTCCCCGGGGTGGGCCTGCCGGAACCCCGGGGCTCTAAAGGGTGACATGACGGCAAACTGCAGTCAAACTACTTCACGACGATGAAAATCAAAGTGCAATTTCAAGAGAGATATTTTCCTAGCCTTTTCCCCGAAAATCTGTTGAGAACAGTCTCAAAATGTAAAGAAATTACAGTAGATCACGAATTACAGCTTTTTCAAATTAATGACTAAATTCTCTTAATCTACTGATATTTCAATCAATTACTCACCCATATGCATTCTCCGTGAACTAAATCTTCTCACTTTGTGCGAGTATAGCGCACGTCGTGCATGCATAGCGCATGGCCTATGGGTCTGCGACAGGTCTGCGACCTCAACACACAGTTCCCACCTCGGTTATATGAATATTCAAGAGAATCGAGACTTTCCCCGACCCTGCGTAATGAATATTCATGATAAAACAGGAATCCGGGCTCGCCGTGGTACGAAAAAATAAGACGCGCACCGGCTGCAGGTTGTGCGTATTATAACTAACACGAAAAAGCCAACATCGGCATTGGCTGGAATAAAACGTATAATGCGCCATCTCGTTTTTTCAACAGCTGGTTAAAATTATCGAATATTAATTGTGGTGCACCACAAAATAATATGAGAAATGGTCATAATATTTCAGCCATCTCTGAACCGATTTTGATCGAACAAAAATTATTTTGTCATTTAAATCGTATGTTCTTTCAAATTTGACGCTCAGTTTTTCATTGTCTCACAAAATATTATTTTGTTTAGCGCCCTCTGCAATAAAACTCAACTATCCCTTTAACACATAATGTCGTCGGAGCATTGTCCGCATCATCCCCATTCCGGACAGACCTAAAGTTAGAAGGACAACTTAATAATGTTCTACCTCTTTTCAGAACTGTGATTCAGTGATTATAATTTATTCGGCACTTTCATTTATCAAACACATCCGTTCATTGAGCCAGTTAAACAAAATAATGATAATAATAATAATACTGCTCTTCCCGCGGGCCGCGCATATTTTTTTTACACAACTGTTTAGCCATTTTCGCGAAAAAAATCCAAGAAGTGCTCTGGTGAAAGAGTCTAGGTCGTCAGCGCACTATTATGTGCAAGCACGTACACCCAGCTATTATAGGGAAGGGAAGATGATAGAAAGGGGAAAACAAGGATAGTGGAGAGGACATGGAGAAGGAAAAACAAGGAAATACATAAGGAAAGAGAAGAGGATAAGTCAAAGGAAGAACATAGAAATACATAATTGAAGAACTAAGAGGATCATAGATCTAGACTAAGGAAAAACAGGAAAATACATAAAGAAGGAGAAAGGGAATCTATCAGATTAAAACAAAGAAATAGATGACGAAGGAGAAAAGGATATAGATTGAATGAGAAACAAAGAAATACATAAAACAAAAGAGAAGAGGTTAGAATAAAGGAGAACAAAAGAAATACATAACGAAGGAGAACTGGGGGTATAGTGAAGGAAAAACAAAGAAATATATAACGAAGGAGAAAAGGAAAAGATTGAAGAGAAAAAAAAATAAATACATGACAAAAGAGAAGAGGATAGATTAAAGGAGAAAATAGAAATACATAATGAAAGAGAAGAGAGGATAGATTTAACCCCAAACAAATAACGAGTATGTACACATGTACAGCTCCAGCAATCCAACAAAACTGCCAATTAGACTCTGTCTCTAGTCGTTTGCACAGTATATTTGACTCAAGTGGCTAAACAGTAAGTTGTGTAAAAAAAATATGCGCCCGCGGGCCCTGTAATTATTATTTCCCCCAGCATGAGCATTGTCAGGTACCCACTAATTCACATCAGCTCGAGATAGCCAAATATCCCGCTATTTTAACTATTCCGATCGCAAGTTATCCAGTTATTCTTCAGTTGCGTCCTCATCAGCCCGAAGTTGCAATTAGCGGGATATTTGGTCGAGATCATCATCCCAAGATATCTTGGACTAGTTTGCAAAATATCCCGCTATTTGTCCGGTGCATCTTCACCAGCCCAAAGACTCGTACTATAATTATGCGCGAACGCTGAGCAAAAATTAATATCTCGAACTAATTTCTCGAGCTCGAGTTTCGAGTTTCGAGGTCGAGTCTCGAGCTGATGAAGACGCGATTTGTAACTTCGGGATTATTTCCCAAATCATAAATAGCGGGCTATTTGGCAATTTTGGCAATCTCGAGCTGATGATGACATACCTTTTGTCAAGGTACGTACCGAGCGAGGAACGAACCAGGGATATATTAGGGACTTTTAGATTCTGCACGACGAGAACGTGGACTGCCCTTTTAAGGCAATGTGACGTCACTGCCAGTGCCTTATTGGACGTCACATTGCCTTAAAAGGGCAGTCCACGTTCTCGTCGTGAATCTAAAAGTCCCTATTTCATCTCTCAATGCATAACAATAAATATATTATAGAAGACTTTTGATTTCAGCTGTTCGCTGCCGAGGAAGAATAGGTCAAACTTAATTAGCCCCACCCCCCCCCCTTCTCTCTCTCTTCTCTCTCATTCTCCGCTTTTCTCTACATGTCGGTCTCTTTCTCTCTCTCTCTCTCTCTCTCTCTCTCTCTCTTTCTCTCTCTCTCTCTCTCTCTCTCTTTCTCTCTCTCTCTCTCTCTCTCTCTGTCTCTCACCCTCTTTATCTCTCTCTCTCTCTCTCTCTCTCTATCTCTCTCTCTCTCTCTGTTCCTCCTCTCTGGCGGCATCTCACTCTCTCTTTCCCATCTCTGTTTCTCCCCTCTGTATATTATATTGATAGTAGTCCAAATAAATGTTTATATTGAAAAACATTGAAACAGTACTTTATTAGAAATTATTACATAAGCTTCAAATTGTAACCATAAGTTATTAAATATAATTATAATGCAATAATCAGTTAATAAGAGACGTAAGGTCCTTACTCTTTTCTTGGCAGATAATGATGTAAATATAATTGAGTAGTCCTACTAAACTTCCGTATGAAGGTAATCATTACATGAGCAACCTAGATAAATTTTAGAAATCAATATTGTTGTAAAAGGTGATCTGATCTGGCCAAACACTACCAAAGTTGGGCATCAAATTGCCAAAAGTTGGTCGGACGCATAATGCCCTCAATAATTATTTTTACCTACACGATAAGAACTTCTATCGAGAAATCAACCTACAAGAACAAAGAAGTAGTGACGCAAGAATGATGGATAAAGTATTATCTACAATTGAAAATTACATAGGCCTAGTTCAACTCCAGCAAGTTTAATATCAATCAAATTTAATTAATTCTTCATTGATCACGATGATCGTGCATGTAAAGCTATTACCAACGAATAAACAATGAACAATATTGTATGATTATATTCATAATAACAGTATTTATATGAAAAGGAGAATGGAGTTAAACGGGGAGAATGGAGGCGGAGTGGGGGCATGGGGAGGGAGAGAGATTAGGAGAGCAGACAAATTTAGTATTATAATAAAGACTATATGGAGAAAAAAAGGCTCTTGAGAGAGAGAACAGAAGATAAATTAATGATCAAAGACTGTGTGAAAAATATTAGACAGATAGAAAGAGAGAGAGAGGGGGGAGAAAGAGAAAGGGAGTGTGCATAACACATGCGTTAATGTTCTCACATTCTGGTTGGTCCGATGTCTATGTTCCATCATCGGACTCACCTCGGCTAAGATCTCCGCAAGTTAAAAATTTATAAGGAAAGTTGAGTTCTGTTGCAGAGGGCGCTACACAAAATATTTTTTTTTGTGAGATAATGAAAAACTGAGTTACAAATTTGAAAGAACATAATATTTCAGTGACAAAATCATCTTTGTTTGATCAAAATCGGTTCAGAGACGGCTGAAATATCCATAAATATAACGATTTCGTACCACCACAAATATTAGATAGGGTCTATTTTGAAAAATTTGAAAAAACCGTTGAAAAAACGAAATAACGGCTTTTACGTTGTATTTCAGCCAATACCGATGTTAGCTTTTTTGTTGGCATTTTCGTGTTGCTTATATTACGCGCAACCAGCCGGCCCATGTATTTTTATTTTTGATTAAATAAATTAACTTAATTTAGATAATTAATGGTCACCATGTTTTTTTTTAACGTGGAGCTGAATTAGTATGAACGTATTGGCTAAATTCACACATTTTGGGGTCTAAAATTACCCGTTCATAGCAAGGAGGTTCTAAAAGGGCACTAGAAATATCATAGATAAGAATAAGAGCAATAACCATGCACTTTGAAGGCATTTGTGGTCTGAAAACAGAACTCAACTATCCCTTTAAAAGAAGTCGTCAAAAATTCTTGCAACGTCTTTCACACTTTTCGGGCGATAATAACCGAACAGTTCGAAATCCGCGCGGTAAGAATCACAAACAGCTTGGAATGTTTCTTCGCTCAGTTGCTGGTAGTATGATGTAACCAATGTTTCGTTATTGCTCACTGTATGGCGGTCGGTATACTCCGATCGAAACCTCATGTTATCGCCGATACCCACGACGCGCTTGAAGTAATCGATATCATCGTCTGACGTTTCTAATTTAACGATGATGTCATAATTATGCTCACATGGTCGGCTGCGGATGTGCTGCGGAGTCCAATGTGGATCATCACTGCCTGTACCGGGTGACACGATGAAGTCCGCGAATTCAGAGAAAGTCACGTGCTTCGTTCGAGACGCGCGCGCATCGCCCTTTCGGGAATCAATAATCATCTTCGGAATGTCCTTGCGATATCTATCGACGTGCTCGATGAATTTATCGCGATAGCCTGAGAGGAATCGGATAAGCGGATGGCGAACCGTGACAATCTTCACGTAATGTGCGAGTCGATACTTGACTTCCGGAGGTCTTTTTGTCAGAGTTGATAGCGCTTTATCCGGCGTGTAGTGAGCTTTCTGTATCTGGGGTGGAAAGTTTATGACCTTGCCCTGACTGTCCGCTAATGCCTTCAAGAATTTCCTCCAGTTCCCTGAGCCACTCTTTAAAAGAATAGAAAAGAATGAGAAAATCGTTATAATGCATACAATAGTCTAAAATAAAGGCGATCCGACATTTCGATCCCACGACAATTACCCCAAGATTGATTTCGCGTAATACAGGTACATGGTTATGATTAGAATAATTTTGTTGGGTTAGGTTTAGGGTTAATTGGAACCAGAGTAATTGAAGTTAATAATTCGGTTAAGGTAGGGGGCCTATAGCAAATCCCCCCCTCCCCCCCCCCCAACTCCGAGAACGGACGGACCCCATGCGTGTTACTAAAATGTCCGTCAAAGGGGTACTTTTCGTGCGACAAAGTCCGGCCAGAAAATTGTTTTTAAAAAAGGGGTGTATTAACTTTTCACCCGGAGATTTCTTTAAAAAGGGGGTCGTTTTTCGTTTTTTTCTCTCATCTCTTTGGACTCCATAGAAATTATTCCGGGGGTACATTGAGCATTTTTCATGATTTAGGGGGGTCTCCAAGGCAGGAAAAGTCCGCGAAAAGCCCGCGAAAGGGGGGTTCGGAAATGTTGGCAGTCCTCAGATAGGGGGTGCTTTCAAAAAGAGGGAACAAGCATATGCGTACCCTAAATAACACTGAGTGGGGGGGGGGGGGGGGGGGAGGAAATTGACGTCAAGCGGTTGTTGCAGGAGCACGTGTCGTATATCCAAAATAAATGACGCAGGTCTCTGTTAAAGGTAATACAAAGTTTTGGTATGGGGTCATGAATCGGGTTCAAATGAACATATTGGAAGCATGCGATCATATACAATGTGCAGTGATCGTTGTCGCGGTTGAAATCGAGTCTAAAGTGATGAAATTGTAAATAATAAGCTTTTTGTGTTTTATAGCTCCCTCCCAAGGTCAAAATATTAATTAAGCCAAGAAACAATTTTTCTTGACTAAAATCGACCGATTAGCAATTCCCGTTTGGAAATTAATGTATATATCACAACTAAATATTCTGAGATTTTCATGGTCGCAGCTATCATTGTACGGCCGTAGGCGCTATTTGAAATTTATAAAAATTTACTGGGAGCACCGGTAAATTTTTATATTCAATTTTTCTCGAAAGCAAAAGTGTTTTAGGGGCAAAATTTTCTAGTGCTTGTAATACATCCACAGGGGCATCCAAATATATCAAAATTGTAAAGAATAACTATCCACCCAATTTTCAAAATTTCCCAAAACTTTGTGATACCTTTAACTGTTTTTGCATTTGGGGCTTACGGGACCATGCCGCAACCCCCCCAAAAAAATAATAATAATTTAAAAAAAATAAAAATCTGTTCCTTCTTTCACTATAATACTCTTAGAGCTTCAGTGGTAGAATGATCCTGTATAACTGATGTAAACGGGTAATATGCCTAAAGTTCGAAGACAACTTTTATCTGACTACCATGAATAATAATAATAGTAATAATAATAATAATAATATTATGTTTTTTATATAGCGCTCAATACATCGACCCCCCCCCCCCCACCACCAATGCAGAGCCATCTATTTATAGGCCAACCCGGAGTTTGGCCAATGTGGTTTTAGTTTGTAACAAGTGACGTAAAATATATTTATTTGTTTTGTGGCAGCTCAAAAATGCAGTATTTGCCATAATTGTGCCTCACTGGAACTGGCCGGTTTGGCCGAACAATCCTAATTCCATGGCTTCTGCCCGACGTTGCCAGAAGGAACCGACCGACACCAAGACAACGACATATGCCGGTCTCAGGAATGTTGCGAGCCCCTAATTTCTTAATGCATTTAGGGGGCAAACCATTGTACACAAAACCACTGCCGTAACGAGCAAAATCTTTATTGAGGGCTTTGCAGAAAGAATGAAGAAACAAAAAAGTGAGAAAAAACCAGGAAAATCATGTAATTTCAGCAACATTTGTAAATCACTGGTATCGAATTAGAAATAAACCACGTTTGAATTTTATTTGAGGGGGGACCAACAAAAAGGGCACCTGCAAAGGGAAATCTCAAAGCGAAAATATACAATTTTTTTCAGGCATTGGTATATACCCCTAGATTGTGATTATATTATTACAATATTAGGGATGATTTCAATATTTGTTTCTCTTTATACATCATATAAGATATTACTTAAGCATCATACTTTGCAGTTGGGTATGCTGATTTGAAAATAAGAAAGGAAAGGGGGCACATGTGAAGATATAAGGTGCGCTTATCCGAGTTAAAAAGGGTAGTTATTAAAAGGGGAAGGGGCACTTCTTACAAAGGAAAAGGGCACTCGTCAAACAAAAGGGGTGCCTCTCAGATTTGAATAGGGCAATTATCAGAGGTGAAAGGGGTGCTTATCAAAAGTTAAGAAAAGGGGCGTTTCGCGTATCTGAATGGATCAATGTTACTAGAGATTATAAAGGGCACTTATGAGAATGGAAAATGGAAACCTGTCGAAGGAAAAGGGTACGTGTCAAAAACAAAGAGCACTTATCAGAGGTGGAAAGGGGAGGGGGCACTTTTACAAATTAGGGGCACTTGTCAAAGTAAAAAGGGCACTTTTCAATGTAAAAGGGACAATTTTCCTATGTAAAAAGGGGCCCTTTTGGGGTACCTGGAAAAGTGGGGGCACTGTGCCCCCCTCCCCCCACCCCGGGAGCACCGCCTTTGTTGAGTGCGTACACGTGACCAGGCATTTATTTTGCCTACTAATTTTAATAATGACCGGTCATTAGTAAATAGCAACATCATGTTATAAAACATAATTTTATAAACCAAATAAGACATCATCTTATAAAAACAAATCATACACATCATTTTATTCAGGCACTAGTAAAATTACCCACACTCGGCACCTTACAAACAGTCCAAACACCCTCGGCTATCGCCTCGGACGTGTTTGGCTGTTCCAAAGGTGTCTTGTGTGGGTAATTCTTACTATAACCACCACATATTGACCAAATCTAAAACAAAAATTAACATGCTGAAATTTAGTTTTTTTAAAAACGCATCAATATTATTAATCATGTATTCCTTTTCTTATTTTCTTACCTTGTAAATGACCGATGCTACAAACTTATACTTGTCGTTCCAAAAGAGAGTGTCGAGGTTTCCTTTGTGAGCGATGACGTCACTCATATCTTTCGGGTTCTCGAGATTGAGTTTGCGCAAGCCCATACGAGCGCATGCCGTGTGGAGGTGGTCTTGTCTGTCAATCATCTTCTCTTTGATTTTTAACATGGAGGGGTCAAGGTTCAACTGCTCCATTTTATTCATCTATAACCAAATTAGGAGAGAGTATGAGTGGGGAGAGAGAGAGCAAGGGAGAGAGAAAGAGATAGAGAGAGAGAGAGAGGGAGAGGGGAAGGGAGAGGGAGATAGATATGGAGAGAGAGAGAGAGAGAGAGAGAGGGGGGCATTAAAAACAATCGATTGGGTGAAGTATGACTGGGTGTACAAAAGCATTAATTACAAAAGCATATTTCCCTTTGAGAGTGGCCCGTTAGTTTGCAGCTAGGCAGGAACGTTTTGTTTACGTATCTGCAAGAAAGATCCAGTAGCACATGTCTGAAATATTTTCTCCTGGCGGCATCGAAGGTGGTACAAAGGAAATGAGCTAGATATGACTCCATCTCTTAAAACTCCTTGGTTTGGCTAAGATCGTTTACAAAATGTACAATATTAGGTTTTAGCCTATAAATGCAGCGTTACCAAAATCATGGTAATGATAATACTTATTGGAAGTGCGATATGGACGTGTATAAGATGATGAAGCGGATCCTAATCGAATGATGGTTGAGAGCGTACACATGACCAGGCATTTATTTTGCCTAACACGTAATTTTACTAATGACCGGTAAAATTTGTTATAAACATATAAAACAGATAATACACATCATTTTGTTCGGGCGTTAGTAAATTTACCCACACTCGGTACCTTCGAAACAGTCCAAACACCTTCGGCTACCGCCTCAGGCGTGTTAGACTGTTCCACAGGTACCTTGTGTGGGTAATTCTTACTAATGCCCTCACTGCTGTGTATTATGTATAATAATAAATGTAAATGCATGAACAGACAGATAAAATTATACCTGATCTCCATTCATTACATTATCGGCGCCAATGACTCCGCCATCGAACGCATCACCATCGACACCATCGACATCCTGAAGAACATCTCCGTCTTCTTCATCCTCGCCGACGTCACTCTCGTTTCCATCGACATCACCATCATCGTCGTCGTAGGAGGCGGCTTCTTTGACGGAGACGTCGTTGCGGTGGGCGACGTCGCCGTTGATCCGGGATGCAACCTGTTTGACCACGCCGGGGAGGTCTACGGGACGCAGCTTTCGGAGCGACGATGAGAACCCTTGGGCCTCTTTGCCGTTTACTAACAAGAAGGAGAAACGAAAGCGTCGTCGGTTGAAAGCCAGAATGGCGTTATCTTTACCTGAAATACTTTTAATTATTGGATATACAAAAAGTTTACAACAACAACAACAATGCAACTCCTGACGTCAACTCCTGACGACGGATAGTCAACCTGTTCGAAACCGTCGAGCCACTCATCCTCTCCAAGCGCTATAGTTCTCCTTAGAACTATAAGCTAAGAAAGATAACAAACAGTCCTTTTCAGGACTACACACCCCCAAGAAAGATTACCGAGTCAGAGTCCTTTTCAGAACTCCTCAACCCTCTCTCTCTCTCTCTCTCTCTCTCTCACTCTCATAATTATGGTGCACCCGCAAGCCTACTGTCTAACAACAATGCAATACCTAATTATTCATACAAAGATTCATGATACAACGATATAATATGTACAATGTACAACATAAAAAATACCGCGGCCCGTGAAGTTGAAATTATAATTTGCTACCTCTTTTCTTGAAATGATTATGAAAATATGATTTATAATAGATAAATTATGTGGCTTTTCTTTTTTTAGGACTTAATAGTTCAATCTACACGGCTCTTTAGATTGCTCAATGAACTTCTGAGAAGATATAAACTTATCTATCAAGAATAGATAATATTCTTACGATCCCTTCATGAAAAAGGGTACACACATATCCCAGTTATAATATGGACGACAGTACAGTTTACAACAAATACCATACAATAAACGATAACTTACATGATTTACAAGATTACATGAGAATACTTTCACTAAAGACATCAACTTACATATTATGTAAGTTGATTAAGATATATACACATTAATACACTTAACGCGTTTCATTCTTATTTCATACCTTTAACAGAAAAGGGAGAGCTCTTTCGTTATGTGTCTGTTATAATTTATTTATTTCTGATTATGTACATCATATATGTATATATATATATATATTTGTATTTGTAAGCGCTATGATACTTATTGTTTTTAGCGTTCCTAAATATTCGATATTATTATTATTATTATCATAAGTTTGGCCGCCCCTATATAATATTCATTTACTGACTCGGAGGCCGCCATTACGTTCAAGCTCTAGCTTAAGATGGCCGTCTCTTGCATTTTTCAATATTGAAATAATTTCAAGCTATCTATTTTTAAAGGTATAATCATTTGATTCATTGATATTTTGATAAAGGTTATACAAACAAACCTGCTTTAGTGACCACCTGTCTACAAAGACCACATTTTTTGTTTCCCTTGGAAATAGTTTCTCATTGAAACATGTACTTAAGGAACCTGTCTACAAAGACCACTTTTTGTGTTTCCCTTGGGCGGTCGCTATAGACAGGTTTGGCTGTATGTGTTTTTAACTTTTGTTAATAATATATAATGTACCTAGTTTGTATAAATTTGTTATTTACTTTTCATTATGCTGAAAATGCAAAAATAAAACCAAACAATCAATCAATACTTTGATATAGAAATAAATTACTTTTGTCGTTGATACTCTGGCCGATCAGGAGAACGGATAGGCACACGATGAGGGTAATGAGGAGGATGATGATGTTTTTGAAGTAACGTCGCAAAAGAGCCATTTTGGACCGGGCGCCTGGAATCTCACCTGTGTAAATCGAGATTTTGAAAGGGACGTATTATAATTATCATCATCGTCGTCTTCATTAGTGCCATCTCTATCATCTATCATTATCATCATCAGCATCATAATTATCTTCATCAATCCATTACTTCATCATAATTTCATCATCATTGTTTTATATATCTTCATCATCATCATCATCATCATCATCATCATCATCATCAACATTTTTGTCAAGATAATAATAATAATAGTAATAATAACAGTAATAATCATCATCATATTAAACTCAACAACTACACCATCATTATCATCATATTCGCCTCCTCATATTTGTCAATTATCGTCATCATCACATTAATTATCATCATTATCATCACTATCGCTATCATCATCATTGTCATCATAACCATCATTTTTATTTTCATATTCATCATAATTATTCATCATATTTTCATTTCTTTACATAGTCATCAACATCCTAATCATCCTCCTCCTTTTCTAGAAAGCTGACTAATTTATAGATCAAAATCATAGATCTATAGGCCCCGTCTTATAAAGAGTCGCAATTGATCCGAATCAATAGCAAGTTTACAGTCTTATGTTTCTTATGTACATACTTAGTTGCGATAAGTTGCGATTAACCGTAACTGTTAAAGACTGCACCTTGCTGTATTATAATGATATTAAACCGAGTTATATCAAATAAATCGCAAGTTAAAAGTTTCCTATAGTTGCGATTAATCGTAATTGTTTATATAATACGGCATCTTGCTGTATTATAATATTATATCAAACTGATTATATTAAAGCAATCGCAAGTTTACAGTCTCCTATACTTTATGAACATAGTTGCGATTGATATCAATCGCATATAAGTTACGCTTAATCGTAACTGTTTATCAGACTGCGCCTTGCTGTATTATATCAAACCGCTTAACTTCAAACTTTGTTGTATAATAATTTCATACCCACTGTGAATTTAATAATATATATACTTGCCTTTGTCGTGTTCCAACGTTATTCAGGGATCCGCAATGCAAGTCTTCATATTAAATCGAGATTCTTTTTTTACACTGTCCGTTCTTCCCGGCACTTCGATAAGATCTAGAGTTGACACGGTTTTAACCTTATTGCGATTTTAGCGGTTATATTGCTGAACTTTTCTTTGAAAAATAAAGATGTCTGCAGGACGAGGTTATGACAGTGTAATGGATTCTAAAAACCGGTGTGAAGACGTTCCCAGACGAAAAAGGCAAGATTTGATATAAACAGATAACGCTGACAAGTTACAGCCTTTCGAATGACTTCCATAAACGTTTATCTTTGTAGGGAGCATGTATGCTGTGATGTATACTGTGTTATAGCGTCCCGCGAAGTTTGTCTATAGTATACCTTTGCTTATCTGCCTATTGTTTGGGTTCCATCATAGCGATCAATGATCGATATGAAGCGATTGTCGATCTCTGAACCACGAGGTCCCGATCAGGCTTATAATAGAATAACTCCGAAGGAGATATTGATCTTTGTGTTCGAGAGGCTATACTTCTTCTTTTTTTTTTAATTCTCTGAACATAATAGAATACAGCGTTACTGATTATGCTTTGAACATAGAATATACGTAAAGAATTATACCACCAGAATATATCAACGTAGTGAATGAGAATGATTCGGGAATTGCAATTTGAATTATGGTTTCAAGGTTTCTTTATTGTTTCCACATGATATAACATAATCAGAAATGTATGCAATATATTCAAATTCAATAACATAATATAACCAAACATTTTACAAATGATTATACAATTATTATTTAAATAAATAATTTAAGATTGGCAAAGTGGTAAAACATAGTGGAGGAGTCTATTAAGCATGCCTTGCATTTTATAGACCCCTTGAGAATAAACAAAAAGCTACAAGTACTCTGTAATGTATACTGCTTAGGTAATCCTACACCCTCCCTCCCCATCCCCCACGCTACGTACAAAACAAAAAGGTTGTCTTTGATGCACAAAGCAATTTACAGATAATGGAAATATTAATGTCAACCTTTCTAGCAGAAAAGAGAGAGAGAGAGAGAGAGAGAGAGAGGGGAAGAGAGAAAGAAAGATAGAGAAAATGGAAGATGAAGCATGAAGGACGGGGAAATTATGATGATATTGTCATTAGCAGCAATAATATAATAATAATAATAATAATAATAATAATAATAATAATAATAATAATAATAATAATAACAATATAGAATAATGAATATTTCAACATAATGATCGTAATTTCAATATAGAATATACATCATGAATAACATCACTAGATATATCTACATCGTGTATGAGTATGGTTCGCGAATTGCAATTTAAATTAAACTAAACAATCAAAATTCTCTAAAAAATTCATCAATATTTAAATCAAATTTGTCAGTTTTGTTTGCAAGTATAATCAGTTGCCTTCCATTTTGTGTAACAATTCCTGACAATGGAAATGAGCAAAGTTCCCCAATACCAGGGTACTAAATGTGTCAAAAGTTTTTGGCAGTCATAAGGTTAAATTCTTTAGGCTATTTTACTCAATTCTTATTTTTAAAAGATGACCGTGATGGGCAAAACACTATTTAAATTGGCCATTAAATTGCCCCAAAGTTGGTCGGGACGTCATATCTTCATGTTGGGTTTTTGTGTGTAAAGACCCATAATTTTACAACTCTAATTTACATGGATACTGATCTAATTGCTTACTTAAAGAAAACAAAATCGTCCTCATTATGCTTCTTCTCTTTTCTTCTTCTCCTTTCCCTCTTCTTCTTTTTTTTCTTCATCTTTTCTCATTCTTCTTCTTCTTCCTTTTTTTCTTCATCTTTTTCTCATTCTTTTTCTTATTATTCTCCTGATCTGTCTCCATCTCCTCCTTCTCCTCCACTCATTCTTCTTGTGATCTGTCGCCTCCTCCTCCTCCACTTTTCTTCTTGTGATCTGTCGCCTCCTCCTCCTCCTCCTCCTCCACTTTTCTTCTTGTGATCTGTCGCCTCCTCCTCCTCCTGCTCCACTTTTCTTCTTGTGATCCGTCTCCATCTCCTCCCCCTCCTCCTCCACTTTTCTTCTTGTGATCTGTCGCCTCCTCCTCCTCCACTTTTCTTCTTGTGATCCGTCTCCTCCTCCTTCTCCTCCTCCTCCTCCTCCACTTTTCTTCTTGTGATCCGTCTCCTCCTCCTCCTCCTCCTCCTCCACTTTTCTTCTTGTGATCCGTCTCCTCCTCCACCTTTCTTCTTGTGATCCGTCTCCTCCTCCACTTTAATTCTTGTGATCTGTCTCCATCTCCTCTTCCTCCACTTTTTTTTCTTGTGATCCGTCTCCTCCTCCTCCTCCTCCACTTTTCTTCTTGTGATCCGTCTCCATCTCCTCTTCCTCCACTTTTTCTTCTTGTGATCCGTCTCCTCCTCGTCCTCCTCCTCCACTTTTCTTCTTGTGATCCGTCTCCTCCTCCACTTTTCTTCTTGTGATCTGTCTCCATCTCCTCTTCCTCCACTTTTTCTTCTTGTGATCCGTCTCCTCCTCCTCCTCCCCCTCCACTTTTCTTCTTGTGATCTGTCGCCTCCTCCTCCTCCTCCACTTTTCTTCTTGTGATCCGTCTCCTCCTCCACTTTTCTTCTTGTGATCCGTCTCCTCCTCCACTTTTCTTCTTGTGATCCGTCTCCTCCTCCACTTTTTTTCTTGTGATCCGTCTCCTCCTCCTCCTCCTCCTCCACTTTTCTTCTTGTGATCCGTCTCCATCTCCTCTTCCTCCACTTTTTCTTCTTGTGATCCGTCTCCTCCTCCTCCTCCTCCTCCTCCACTTTTCTTCTTGTGATCTGTCGCCTCCTCCTCCTCCTCCTCCTCCACTTTTCTTCTTGTGATCTGTCTCTATCTCCTCTTCCTCCACTTGTCATTTCTCTGATCCGCCTCCCTCTCCTCCTCCTTCACTTTTTCTTCTTGTGATCTGTCTCCTCCTCCTCCTCCTCCTCCTCCTCCTCCGTTATCATTCTTCTGATCCGGCCGTCTCCTATTTTTTTGTTCTTGTAATCTTCAACGGGACGAGCCTGTCGCGAAAGACGAATTAAAAAAGAAGAAAGGCAAATTAATACAAGTAGTTGCATCAAAGGACAAGACCTTAAAAGTGTTTTTGTTAAATGATCCAGCGTGTATTTCGTGGCATAACTGTCATCATTTCATCATCATCATCATCTTCATAATCGCCATCATCATTATTATCTTCGTCATCATCTTCATTATCGCCATCATCATTATTATTATCTTCGTCATCTTCGTTATCATCAACATCATCATCTTCTTCTTCAGCTTCATCACCACCTTCAACACAGTCCACCACCACCGTCACCACCATCAAAAGTCATCGTATATATCATTCTAATCATCATAACCGTAAATTATCCTCCTCTTCCTCCTTCTCATCTTTATTTGTCTTTCTAGTTGCTTCTGTTGACATTTTGCGTAGTTTTCTTCTTCTTCTTCTTCTTCCAGTTAAGTGCCGCTTCATGGTGATGAAGATAATCGCACTGGTTTTGTGTGTATATGTGGAGACTTTCACATGTCCTGTCATTCCACATATTAACTTGTTGTTCTTGTTGTGCAGGTGCATATATACATGTGTAAGTAAAAAAAAACATTCCCAGTCTTGTAGACATTACATCTGCATCCCACTCAAGAAGACCTTGAAGGCGTCAAGAGAGTGGTATTGGGCTGGGTCCTGTGGAAGGTTGTTCCAGTCCTTGCAGGTTCTTGGGAAGAAGGAAGAAGCATAGGTCTGACTACTGCAGTTGAATGGCCTAAAACGAGATCCATGTCCTCTTGTTATTGATGTCAGTTCAGTGAGAAAGGACTGCCAGGTAACGTCGACAAGGTTGAAACGGATGCGATACAGCATGGCAAGGCGGCTGTGAAGGCGTCTGGTGAGTAGCAATGGCCAATTCAGGTTTTCAAGCATAGCCGTTACACTGGAGGTTTGATTAAAGTCACCGGTGACGTAGCGAGCACACCTTCGTTGGACCATTTCAATCTTGTTGACATTCCGCTGTGTGTGTAGTTCCCATGCTGTTGCAGCATATTCCACCACTGGTCGGACGTATGTAAAGTATGTGGCCTGCTTGATCCGCCGTCTACAGTGTTTAAAGTTCCGTCGCAAGAAGCCTGTCACAGAATTAGCCTTCTTGACTGTAGTATCAACATGACTATTGAAGTTGAGCTTCTGATCGATGTTGATTCCAAGATACTTGGCGGAACTCACTAATTCCAGGTCGTGCCCGTGGATGTTATACAGGCCTAGGATTTGTTTCCTCTTGTTGGTGACTCTCAGAGTCTGGCACTTGGACGGGTGGAATTCCATCCGCCACTTTCTCTCCCATTCCTGCAGCCTGTCAAGATCTTCCTGAAGATTTGTACAATCTTGGACTGATCTGATGCGTCTATATAGCATGCAGTCATCAGCGAAGAGGCGTATGGTTGAGTGCTTGACACTGTCTGGTAGGTCATTGATGTATATGAGGAAAAGCAGCGGGCCGAGAGCACTACCTTGGGGCACTCCAGATGTAATCTTGGCCTCGTGACTACGCTGGCCCTCCAGTGTGACTTGTTGAGTGCGGCCACTAAGGAAGCTTTCGATCCATTTAAGAGTAGTGCCACGTATACCATAATAGTCAGCTTTGAGGAGGAGTCGTCGGTGAGAGACTTTGTCAAACGCTTTGGCAAAGTCTAACAAGACGCAGTCTATCTGCTCTCTATCATCCAGTCCTTTGGCAAGGTCATTGATGGCAAGGATGAGTTGTGTTTCACACGATCTTCGCTTCCTAAAACCATGTTGTGAGTCTGACAACAGGTTGTGATTGATCAGGTGATGTATGACAGCACAATGCACTATGTGTTCACATAGTTTTGATAAGATTGCTGTCAGTGAGATTGGTCTGTAGTTTGCTGGAGATGACTTACACCCTTTTTTGTGGATAGGAACAACATATGCTTTCTTCCAGTAAGAAGGAATTTCGCCTTGAAGTAGGGAGGCCTCAAAAAGCAAACTAATGGCAGGTGAAATCTGATCAGCTGTCACCTTGAGGAGTCTAGCAGAGATGCCGTCTGGCCCAGTAGCTTTATGTGGCTTCAGTTTCTTCAACAATTTCGCTACACCTGCTCGGCTAACTGATGTATCATCCATGGCTGGATAAGGACTGGGTCCCAGGTCTGGTAGAGCTGTGTCATCATCATCAGTGGTGAACACCGAGGCAAACTGCCTGTTCAGGATACTGGCTTTCTGCTTCGGGTCACAGTGAAGTATGTTGCCTTCCTTCAATGGTGCTACTCCCATGTGATCACAGCGCATGGTTCTCACAAGGGCTCCAAGACGCTTGTTGCAGCCTGGATCATTGTCAATCAAGTCAGCAAGGTACTTGTTGTAGGCTTGTCTACACAACTTTTGTGTGGTCGTCTTTATAGCGTTGTAGCGATGCCAAGCTTTGATTGTTGCTTTTGCATCACTACCACGCATGGATGAGATCCTCTTAGCCTTCCTATAGGCTCTGGCCTTCTTGCGACATATGCGTTTCGTGGCGGTGTTAAACCAACACTGGTTTGGCCGTGTCGAAGTCATCTTGGTTGGCACATGGTCCCTTAGAATTTTATCCAGGGCTTGTTGGATTTCAGCAAAGAGAGTTTCAACTGGAGATGTTGTGTCATGAGAAGCTACAAAGCAGTCTGCCCATGCTTTAGCATCTGTATGAATACCGTCAATGTCTGCCTTCTTCCAGAGGAATATCTCCCTACGGATAGGTTTATTCCTATACGCTCTGACAGACAAATCCATGAATACCACATCGTGGTCACCGAGTCCCGGCATAGGCTCACACTGCCCAACCAACGTTGGGCGATTTGTGATGATGACATCGAGTGTGTTAGATCCTCTTGTTGGGAAGTTGACAATCTGACTAAGTCCTACATCTGCCAGAGTCTGCAGGTATGTCTCACTTAGGGATTTCCTGTATTGATGGGATCTTATCTCTTCTGTCTCCCAGTCTATATCGGGCAAGTTCATGTCTCCTCCGATGCACAACGCTGTGCCAGGATTAGACATGCACAGTTCTCGTATGAACTGGTTCATATTGTCCATATAAGGTTGGTTGGTGTTTGGAGGTCGGTAAACAGCTCCAAAAATAACACTGTTGTTGTTGTTTCTGTTCACGATTTTTGCAGCAACCACTTCAGCTTCACTAGTCACCTGCACCTGATAGCTATCAAGGCTTGAGGAGATGGCGAGCAAAACTCCACCATACCCGTTATTACGATCTTTCCTATACACATTGTAGCCAGGCGGGAAGATTTCTCCTTCACTTATGCTCGGTTTGAGCCATGTTTCACAGCCCATGATTACATCTGGCTTAACTGCATCCACAAGGCACCAAAATTCCTCCCTCTTTGAAACTATGCTCTGGAAGTTAATAGTCAGAGTTTTGAAGCGTAGTTTACCTTGGGGAGACAGGCTCTTCGAAGGAGAGGACGAAGTCTGTGGTGGTCCGGGAGAAGCAGAACTTGAAGTTGAGTAGCTGCTGTCATGTGTTAAGCTTGATGACTCGCTGCTTCTGTTAGTGTCCGATGATCCGGACATTAGTAAAGTGTCAAATAGGTTGGATGAGAACTTAGGCAATCCACAGTTACAGCATTCCCATGGTGTATCACATCTTCCGAGAACAGCCAAGAAACTATTGCCAATGTTTACACAATCAGCATGGAACCAGGTGTCGCATGATTCACACAGTATACTTGCTTTGGCTCCTTTATAAGACGTGCATGCCTTGTGGCATTCACCACATGGAAACTTGGGTTTCCTAGGTCCGGGATTTATTTCCACATCACCACTCAGTAGCAATACTGATATCAGTATGAACACGCACACAAACATGGCTGCAGGGGTTGAGTTACCAGCCAATGCCATGGTGAGACTTAATATTAGAATCTCTACCCCCAATGCAGCACAAAAATGGCAATGTTGTGATGCGCCCGAGATTCATACCTATGGTGCACTAATAGTATCACACACCGACACTAGATTGAGTTACCAGCCAGTGGCATGGTGAGACTAAGCATACAAGATAATGTATTATGATATAAATACATACATACATGTACATGCATGCAGATTCAATGGCAAGCCATGGTATGACTCCAGTACAGCATGAATAGTAACAACTAGTGAACCAGCTTGAATATATATAGGTGGGCACAGTATGTGAAGTCAGTCCAAAAAGCCAAATCAAGTACCACGAAGTAGCTCAAAAATACAGGACAAAAACTACTCCATTCCATCCCAAGAGTATGCTCACAGATGAACTAGTCATGTATAGCATCAATATTCATGCAACAAATCCATTTATACCAGCAAAAAGATGTCAAACAAGATCAAATTTGACTGCACAAAAACAGGACCTGTGTACTGCTCCACACACACATGATCAAAATTGGGCTAGCAGGATATAATCATACTCATCTTCTTACTCTAATATTCCATTTCCGAGACTATAATAGTCAGATTGATCATAACAATTAGTTTTGCCTAAACTAAAGAGAAGGAATAATTTCTAACTTTCAGCATTTTTGCCGAAAAGTCTACTCTGCGAAAAATCAAGTCAACTGATAGAAGTTGAGCGCCAGCTTTAGTCAATAAACCGTAAAACCCTGGTTCACGATTCTAGATCTAGCTAGGTAAACACTGCATGCATGCAATATATGCAGCGCATATAACATAGAACTAGAAATTATCGTACGATTCAACTGGAGCCAACAAAATTGAATGAATGACTTGTTTGTGGACCGTGATAAACACGGTCAATTAAGAGAAATCAGCAAGTTTAGAAGCCGGTATCACATTGGAAGGGGATAATAACAGACTGTGAGTATTAACCATTCCACAGTAACTTTGAGAGTTGAGAAAATGTTGAAACTACACGAATAATGTCTCATTTATGGCTGAGAGCCTGAGAAAGAATTGTGAAAGTGTACGATACGGTATACGGTACCGTAAAGTCTGTGCGGTATCTTGACTTGTCAATTGTTGTGTGTGTTATTGACCTAATTGACTGTTGCACGCTGCAGAGTCATTTATTTGCTATCATGATCATGTTGACTGTAATTTGTAGTTTTCCGGCATTATCCTGAAATAGGAAACCGCCATTTTCTCTGCAGCTCGCAGAGTAGCGCTTCATTGTGTCAACTGTCACATGAAGTGACGTACACGCATTGGTTTCCTTCTCACGCATAGACTCTAGGGCTAGGCTACACATAGTCTAATTCACAAGCTTGTGCATGCAGACGAACGAGTGGTTTCCAAAAAAATGACGTAGCCAATACACAGTTAAGGCCGCCATTTTAATTTGCATGTAAACATGGCGTCATCAATGTTTTCAGATTGGCATGTTTGGCTAATGTTGCGTCACTGCCTGCGCTGCGCTCTCACATATCGACAGATGCACTTTGCATGCTGCATACAATAAAAGTTTGATCTACTTGCAATATTTACCAGTAGGGATGCTGGTCCGAGAAAGGATCGTCCTCATAAAGACAAATCGTGTCCTTAAGAGTAAGGATCGTCCACATTTTTGCGGCAACTTTTTTCTATAGCGCTTTGGGGGTTTCGGGTTCTCGATCCTCGCGGTAGCGAAGCGAAAAATGGAATCCATGTAATAAAATACCCCCAGTTCACCATCTTTTTTTAGGGGTTGTCCATCTTCCAGAGGATTTATCGCTCATAACGTGAAAGTCCCTGTACAAAGTCAATGTGAAATGCATCAAGAAAATCATAGTGGAATCCGTTTTTGTATCGCCAACGTGCGGATCCTTGTTTAACAGTTTATGCGGACGATCCTTGTTCTCGGACCAGCGCCCCTACTGTTTACTCGCAATTTAAAATGACGCCCATGTCTGTGCAAGCGCACTTTTGTATCCGCGAAAGGGTTTATCGTCCAAAAATCTGATTTTTAAGTCTCATCATTTAAGACATGCATGTACAGTGTACATGTACATGTAGGTCTAATAGTTTCTAGAAAAATGACAGTAACGTAAATAGGAGGAACATGAAGAAACCATAAATGTTCTGCACAGCTTTGATCCTTCATTACATTTAATTGCCATTTTTGTGTTTTCAGATTTCATTCATTTAAATTCCACTACATGTTTGTAAAAAGTAGATACTGCCATCATTAGGAACCAACAAATGGCGAATACACAGAAAAATCCATCTGCTCGGAGGAGCTTTTAAACATATTCTGCCTTTAATGCTCTCCTCCATGGCCAAGTAGTCTCAGTGTGCAGCGGAACATATCCCTGAATGAAATACTTGGGTCTAAAACCAGGGAGAGCCTCTCTCCTCATGAAGGCATGTACATATACATTTGGCATCTAGATCTAGAGCATGCACACGCATGACGAGTGCACACACTCAAGATGTTGTACATGGGGCCGTAGACGGGTGTTGCTATGGTACATACCGGTTAAAAAGCAGAGAAAATGAAATGAATATTACCATGCCAACTTTTTTTCTCAGGACTTTTCTTTTGTTCAAGCAGTGACAATATGCACTTCCATGATTTGAGTAAACGAATTCTAGGAAGAGAGTTCTGAAATTTGATTTTGTCTTTTAATGATAAAGATAAAGTTGAGTTCTCGTCATGCGATGCATTGTAAAAGAAATGGTGTGGAATCGATCAGAAAAAGTTAATCATGTAGCATTTGTATTGGTGTGAACTGCAAGGTTCTGGATATATCAAAATAATAAGAAATTTGGTCCAGTCTTGGTAAAGTAACACGCACTGTACGAAGAAAGATGCACATGGGACTACACAAACATGTGGCATCAAAATTGGGCCTCATTGTCAAGCTGTTACTTGTGATACAGTATTTAGAATATGGAGGCATTTGAAGAGCCATGCTTTACTTTGCAGGCAACTTTTTTCTCTAATGTTCTTCCACACCTGTAGTAACAATCAGTGAACAAAAATACATGGGGGCTCGGGGCGAAATAGCCCCCGAAAATCAGAAAAGAGCCCTGTAAATTTGCATAGAGTTCAATGCAAAACAAATTTTAGAATGTTATTTTCATGCAGGCAAGCTTGAAAAGTAGCACCCGAAAAAGAAATATTAATTTTTTCCCTGGACTATGATAACGCTTACAAATTATTTTCACTCTCCCCAGAACTCAACCTTCTCTTTAATTAAGTGTTTGCAAACCACAGTGATCAGTGAAAGTTTTTCCCTACTTTTCTCTTTAGTTTAAGTTCAACTATGGAATGTACATGTACATATCCGGAAAAAAAATGTCTTCTTTATAGGCTAAGGTCTTTACTATAAAAATAATATTTGAAATCATGTTAATGAAATTGGTTGAGTAAATGTTTGCAGAAGATTTGCATTGTTTTAATAATCTTCAGAAGAAAACTATTGCTTACATGTATCTACATTTATTTGGAAGCTATATTTCTACATTTTCATGTAAAAAGGTCTGTATTTGAAGTCTAGAAGCAGACCCTCTACATGACCTTTGCTTTTGACCTCAAAAAGCCTGACTGACTGGTCAGCATTGCTCCATCTTCTCCCTAAAAAAAAAACCATTCACCTCATGCTAGTCTGCAGCTGATGCAGGGACAGACTCTAATTTGACTCTTAACAACAATTCCTAAAGCCTTGCTTTAGCAGAACCTACATCATATGTAGCTCGGGAGACGTGAGTTGGTCAAGCAATGTCCCCAGTCAGCCCTCTGTCTTGGCCTACAGACTGATTCTGGTCGGACTCGAAACCGAGTCAGGGTCTTTTTAGATGGTGAAGTTAAAGGTCGGTCCCGAAATAATCGTATCTGATTGATACACGTTTGTAAAACCCTAATTACACCCATACATTACAGAGTCTATGGCTGTGACAAGAGCAGAGTAAGTCTAGAGTGGTCAAGTATGACATCATCCAAAATCCTTATTTTAGAGTTTCCAAATTTGAACTTAATTTTCCGACAGAGCATAAAAAATAATGTCCAAATGTCGAAAACCAATTGAATATGTTAAGTATTGGCTGAGATATCAATAGTGATCTGTCAGTTTATGACAGGTTCAGTGACCCAATCAAAATTTTATAACAAGTGTCTCTCCAAGTTCCTCGGTCTTGGGCCATCCATTTCAGCGTTTCATACCCTGTTGCTACACATTCTGTAATTACATCGTCTAGAAAGCCTTTACGAGGTCTTCCCTTCTTCTTTCCATGAATACGACCTTCTATGACTCGGAGCAGGACCTTCTATGACTCTGGCTGAGATATGACCATCCAAATAAATAGATTTGGATAGGAAATCACTGTTATTTTGCTCTGGTTGGTAATGTTATGAACCAGAGCAAAATAACAGTGATTTCCGTTACATGAACCAGAGCAAAATAACAGTGATTTCCTATTGAAATCTATTTATTCGGATAGTCATAGCTAATTCTTAACATATTCAATTGTTTTTTCGACATATGGGCATTATTCTTTATTATTATCAAATTGAGAAATTCTAAAAAATAAATTTTCATGATGTCACAGCTTGGGTACTCTAAAGAGGTCAGATGCACTATGCTGTCTGCCTAGTCTCAAAGTGCAGACACTGTTACGCACAACGATGGAAAAAGGTTTGCAACTACAAACTACACTCCACCTTCGTTTAGAAGTCCCGCTGGTTTCTTTGATGTCACAATGCCATATTTGGCTCTCTTGTGCTACCATAGAATCTAGAAATGGAAAACCTCAGAAAAGAGTCACTTTGACATTGAAAATTGTCACTTTATAATACACTTTGTTCTAAACAACTTGTGTAAAATGATGAGGGGCAGCAGAATTCAAGGAAGAGAAGGAGAGGGAAGTGGGAGCTGGAGAAGAGAGAAGAACAAGGAAGGGAAAGGAGGGGAAGAAGAAAGAGGAGAAGAAAGGGAAGGAAAATGTAGAGAAGTAGGAAGAAGCGAGGGAGGAAGACTGGAAGGAGGAGGAGGAGGAGGAAGAGGAGGAGAAGAAGAAGGAGGAGGAGAAGAAGAAGAAGGAGGAGGAAGAGGGGAGAAGGAGGAGGAAAAGAAGAAGGAGAAGAAGGAGGGGGAGAAGGAGGAGGAGAAGGAGAAGAAGGAGAAGGAGGAGGAGGAGAAGAAGAAGGAGGGGGAGAAGGAGGAGGAGGAGAAGAAGAAGGAGAAGGAGGAGAAGAAGGAGGAGGAGGAGGAGGAGGAAAAGGAAGAGGAAGAGGAGGAGTAGGAGGAAGACTGGAGGAGGAGGAGGAGGAGGAGAAGAGGAGGAGGAAGGAGGGGGGGGGGGGGGGGGGGGGGGGGGGAGGAGGATGAGGAGGAGTAGGAAGAAGCGAGGGAGGAAGTCTGGAAGGAAGAGGAGGAGAGAGAGAAAAAGACATGTACATGTAGAATGGTCGAGGAAGGTGGGGGAGGAAAGCATGATAGAAGTAACCATGGCAACAAGTAGGATAGAGCATCTGATGATGATGACTCGATGCTAATATTACTCATAGCGCACACTTTCTCTTACAATCAGCCTCTCTGTCTGTCTGTCTGTCTGTCTGTCTGTCCTTCTGTCTACTTCCAAGATGCAATCAATCTTTTCCAGCTCTGCATCTGTGGTTCACTTGGATCCTATTTTCTGTTTGTTGTTTATGTCAGATTATTTTGGTTGTAACTTGTATGACATGTGCCCTTGTGGTAATTCCTCATGGCTATATCTAGCAGAATTCTTAGCGTGAACCATAGACCAATGGACACGAAACCCTAAATCTTCCTTAAAACCTGATTGCAATGCTAATCCTAACCCTGACAAAATAATGCCTACATGTGTAGCAATAGCTCTGTTTTTTTAAACCCTAAAAGGGCCAGGGCAGAATCGACCCT